GCAACAACACATTACATTTATATACAGCGCCTTTCAAGTCTTGTCCCAAGGTGCTGGACAACCAGAGATTTGGACCCAAGTAGGGGGTTGGCATCAGGAGGGGTGGAAGGCAAGGGTTGAATGGTTCGAAGGGAAGGTTGAAAAGGAGGGTCTTGAGATGGGCCTTGAAGGAGGTAAGGGAGGGAGCAAGGCGAAGGGACGGTGGGATGGAGTTCCAAAGGGTGGGGGCAGAGAGGCTAAAGGGCCAACCGACAATGGTGTGGCAGGCCGGGCAGGGGACGTTCAACAGGCCAGAGCATGCCGAGTGCAGAGAGTGGACAAGTAGATATGGAGCTTGCAGGTCACATAGGTAGGGAGGAGCAAGGACACGGAGGGCTTTGAAGGAGAAGACTTTGAAATCTATCCTCTGGGGAATGGGGAGCCTGTGGAGGATGGGGGTGATAGGGTCACAGAGCCTGGTGTGGGAGAGGACACGAGCTGCGGAGTACTGAATGCTGTGCAGCTTGTGAAGGGAAGTGTTGGGAAGGCGGCAAGCAGGCAGGTAGCGCGAGTTAACCCACTAATCCACAGAGAATTAGCTCTGCTTGTTACAGTGAAAACCAAGGACTGAAGATTCTCAGTAACAATCCAAGTCGAATGGCACTCATTAAGGTATTAATGGGTTAATAGCATTTGGTTTATGACAAAATCGACTAACACAGAATTACATAATCCAACTTGCAATTTCCCAGAGAAAAAAATAAATTGCACAACACGGCATAACTGTAGAATTTCAGCAGTAAGCAAAATTCAACATTCACCACACCGCTCACACCACCCTTACAACATTTGTCCAAGGCCTAGTGTTGGATTGTATTCAGGGAGAAAAGGAAGAACACAGGTGGAAAATTGGCAAGAGAGAAAAAAAAAGGTGGTTTGGACGTTTTATTTGCACTTGAATGAAGTCCGGAGGTTTCAAGTTGTCTAACCCTTTTGTTTCAGCTTCTGCTACTTACCATTCAGTGAGGCAAAAAGTTCACAGAAACAGGATATAATGCAGGATATATATTGCTCCATAAATATTTACATATTTCACTATCACAATATTAACATACCCACATCTTTGAGAAACAATGAAATGCTAAAGGTAGGTAAACAATAATTTATGGCTCATGGACGAAATATTTGACCCAGCAGAGTTGCCTCATTACATTAGACTTGGGCCACCCAACAAGATGAGGTAATAAAATATTAAAAGGAGTAGAGGAGCAAATGGACATGGGAGTTAATGTACACAAATCCTTAAAGGTGGGAAGGCAGGTGCACAAAGCTGTTAAGAAATCAAATGGAATCTTAGGTTTTCTAAATACGGGTATAGAATATAAAAGCAAAGAGGTAATGCCAAACCTTTATAACTTGCCACAGTTAGAATAGTGTTAGTAATTGTCACCTCGAGGGGGTGCAGAGGAGATTTATTAGGATGACACCAGAGAGGAAGGGTTTGCCTATGAACAGAGGCAGAAAAAAAGAGTCAGCTACAGGGGCTTGAAGAAAGGGCAGGTAATTGGGACTGAAAGGATTGCTGAGGGAGCCGGCAGACATAATGGGTCTAATGGCCTTCTTCTGTGCCGTACATTTCTATGGTACTTCTCATTCCAGAATAAATTGCAATTCATTGGAGATTTTAGGTATGATAAGATTGTGAGCAGGCAGGAACTGGGCTGTGATGCTCCAAAATCCATTCTAATATTCCTTTCCTGCTGGATTGAAAACACCTTCCCTGCTGCAGAGTAGGATGCATCCCATCTGGACTGGGTGATGTATATACCTTAAGCATCGACACCTTTTCAGTACCTCCTCTCGGTTTATTCTTATCTTATCCAATTTCTCTACCCTCTCCTCCGATACTGTGGCATTGGCTGCATTCTCTTCTTTTGTGAAGACGGATGCAAAGTACTCTTCCAGTACGTCAGCCGTGCCCTCTGCCTCCACAAGAAGATTTCCTCTTTGGTCCCTAATTGGACCCACCCTACTTTTGACTAATCTTTTATTCTTTTTATACTTATAAAATACCTTAGGGTTCCCTTTTATGTTACCCGCTAATCTTTTCTCATACAATCTCCTTGCACCTCTTATTTCCTTTTTCAGTTCTCCTCTGTACTTTCTATATTCTATTTGATTATCTTCTGTATTTTCGACCTGACATTTATCATAAGCCTCCTTTTTCCCCTTTATTTTAATCCCAATTTCCTTATTCATCCAGGGAGGTTTGGATGTCCTACCTTTCCCATTTATGGGAATGTATTTGTTCTGTCCCCGAACTATCCCCGAACATTTTCCTTCCAGTCCACCTTGGCTAGGTCCCTTTGTAACTCACTGAAATTAGCCCTCTTCCAGTTGAGTATCTTCACCTTTGATTGCTCCTTATCCTTTTCCATAAATACTCTAAACCTAATGATATTGTGATCACTGTTGTCCAGATGCTCTCCTACTGAAACCTTCTCCACTTTGCCCCACTTCATTCCCCAGAACTAGATCCAGCACTGCTCCCTTGCTCGTCAGACCAGAAACAACAACATTTGTAAAGTGCCTTTCACCTCGGGAGAACGTCCCAAGGCGCTGGAAACATACTGATCCAGAAAGTTATCCTGCACACATTTCAGGAATCCTTCCTCCTCCTTGCCCTTTACACTGTTATTTTGCCAGTCTATGTTAGGATAATTGAAGCCCCCCATTATCACTACTCTATTGGTTTTGCATCTTTCTGAAGAAAGACTGGAGTACTGTATTGGGATAAAAGTTAAAACTGCATAGTTGGTCATGGAGCACTGCCTGGCAAGCTTCATGCTGCTTGTGCAGCTATAACCTTTCCACCCATTAAGGCTTTGGTTTGCAGGATTAAGAGGAGCTGAGTGGGAAGAATCTCTGCCCCAGTGACTGGTCAATTCGTCCAAGTCCTGGCAAGAGCTAGGCTCCCCCTGAGTACAACAGATCACCTGTCTCAGCAACCAGACCACCAAGATCACATCTGAGGATTGACTCGATTCTGTTACTCCACTGTCAAAGCTGTCACCCTGGAGTCAGCTCATGTCCAAGGCGATTCCACTTACTCCTCTGCCCCCACCCACCAGGACGATAGTCACTACCTGCATTTGATGTAGTGCCTTACCAGGTATCAAAACACCAGATTTTTTTGTAAATATCTGCTTTTATAGGGAAATGCTGCAGAAATTTTGCAAACAGCAATGTCCCAGAAATAATTTCTTATCTGAGGAGTGTTGGCCAGGGCACTGGGAGAATCTCCTTTCTCTTTTCGAATAGTGTTCTTTAACATCGACCTGAACAGGCAGAAAGGACCTGGGTTTAACATCTCATCTGAAGCGCAGCACCTTCCACAACGGAATGCTCCACGAACACTGTACTCGAGGGTCAGTCTAGACTGTGAGCTCAAAGTCCTGACAAGGTTTGAGTCAAACTTCTAACCTTCTGACTCAAATAGCAGCACTACCAACTGAGCCAGGCTGACAAAATCCATTTATAACACACAACTGTGGAATGACTACCCTTCACAAGTGGACAAGATTTTTTTTTTGAAAACCCGTATCGCCGGAAAAATATGGCTTCACTTTCCAGTTCCTTATTCTGCTACAAACTGCAGGTGAGGGAGAGGAGGATAAGCTGTGGATCACTGTTGCTTTTAAAAACAAGGCAAGAACCGTGTTCCAACAGAAAACCCACAGGGGATGAAAAGGATTGCTCCCAGTTCAACAGCACAACCCATACGCCAATGCCACAAAACAGCTAACTCAGCCCAAGAACCTGGATCAAAAGGAAAACAAACAGCAAGAAGTGCCAATGTCGGACGCACAAAAAAAATTTTTTTGGGGGGGGGGTTCAGCCGGGTGTCTGACGCATGCGGAAACCCATCCCCGTGCTTAAGAGTCTCCAAACCGAGCTGAGAACTCCATGCGTCCCACCTACAACAACAACAACCAACAGCAAAATGACATTTACAGAGCGCCTTTCATGTCGGGAGGACGTCCCAAGGCGCTGGACAATCGAGGGGTCGGGGCCCGTGCGGGGGGGGGGGGGGGGAAGGGTGGTGGGGTAGGGGTGAGGGAAGGCGGAGAGGTGGGAGGGCGACCGAAGGCACAGTCGAAGAAGAAGAGGAGGGTGTTGAGACCGGGCCCTTGAAGGAGACGAGGGAGGAAGCGAGGCCAAGGGACCGTGGGATGGGAGTTCCAGATGGAGACCACCTCAGTGCCTACACATGGACGGGATCGTTGGAGTGGAATGCGGACTCTCCCTCTCCCCTCCCTCTCTCCTCTCTCTCCCCTCCCTCTCTCCCCCATCTCCCTCTCCCCTATCTCTCTCCTCTCTCCCATCTCCCTCTCCCCTATCTCTCTCCCCCCTCCCTCTCTCCTCTCCCCCCTTTCCCTCCTTCCCTCTCTCCTATCCCCCCTCTCCCCTCCCCTCTCTCCCTCCCCTCTACTCTCCCTCTCCCCCCCTCTCCCTCCCTCCCTCTCTCCTATCCCCCTCTCTCCCCTCCCCTCCCTCTCCTCTCCCTCCCTCTCTCCCCTCTCCCCCCCTCTCCCTCCCTCCCTCTCTCCTATCCCCCTCTCTCCCCTCCCCTCCCTCTCCTCCCTCCCTCTCTCCCCCTCTCGGGACTCCTCCTGCTGACCCAATCCCGGATCGGGTATGGGGTGCCGGTTGGCGGGAGCCCAGGCCGCGGGGTGGGGGGGGGTCTAACCGGCCCATTGACCACGCTGCCCGGCGAAGGGTTCCCCGCCAACTTGACCCACGGGGTGGCGGGGGGGGGGGGGGGGGCGGCCGTCCGGCTGCAACGTGGAGGGGAAGCCTCTCCCTCCCTCTCCCGCCCGGTGAGCGGTGGGGGGCGGCCTCCTTCTCCCTCACCCCCCCGCCCGGAGAGTCAATTGAGCCCACCCGGAGCGAAGGGGCGGGGGGGCGGGCGGCCTGGTGCCGGGGACAGGGGCGCTGAGCCCCGGGGCTGCGGCTGTTACCTGAGGCCGGGGATGGCGGGGCTGCACCGAGCGATGACTGACTGAAGGCGCACTCTCTCTCTCTCCCGCCCCCGCCCCCCCCCACCGCGCGCGCGCGCGCTCCGGCTGTCACCTGACCCTCTGCCGATGCCATTTGCCGGCCAACCCCCTCCCGCCCATTGGTCCAGACCCCCCCTCGTGATCGCCCCACCGCCTCCTGATTGGCGGACGCGGCACCACCTTCTCTCCTCCCTCCTCCTCCACCTCCTCGACCCCACCCCCCCCCGGGTCGGATGCGCGCGCAAGTGCGTTGCGCGGTGCGCCCTGGGAGTTGTAGTCAGCTCCGGCCAGCCTCATGCTCCTGGGCACTCCCACCAGCTGTGGGGGACACCTGCTGCCCCACCACCCATTCGCTCCGTCGCCAACGGTGGGGCTCCCAAACCAGTGCGCTTGCGTTTGGGTTTGTGGGGCAATTGGCCGTCGCGTTCCGCCCGCAAAATACACCCCGTGGGTTCACGTTTCCAGCGCATCCAACGCCAAACGCTTTGAGAACGTCCCGAAGACACGCGATAAGGCGCTGTGTCGAACGCGGGGATAATAATAATAGTAATGATAATACGTGGCGCTCACCTCGCAAGCGAAGAGGACCCGGGTTGCGTGCCCGGGCAGGTCAGGGCCAAACCTTGGAACAGGTTTCCTTCCTTCCTCCACACGCACACACACGCCCGATGGTTGCCCAACACTGAGTGAGAACCCGGTCATTAGTCAACTGGTAGATCGCGTTTCCGGGGCTAATAATTCCTTCAAAAATAAATAATTTATTGGCCACTCAAACCACGATTGCTTGTGGGACACACTCCCGTGCACAATTGGCTGACCCTTTCTCGCCCACCACACTTTCATTATGTTCTGTGAAGCACTTTGAGACGTCTCAAAGACGTGATAAGGCGGTATATCAAATGCAAGGATTATCATTATAAGGTGTAGATAAAACAGAATATAATAATAATTTGGTCGCACAATCCATGACTGTTTGTGGGACGCTGCTGTGCGTAATTGGCTGCCGAGTTTTGCCCACAAAATATACAGTCAATTCACTTTACAGTATATTCTGTGAAGCGCTTTGAAGACGTGAAAAGCACTGTATCAAATGCAAGGATTATTATTATATTTAATATCTGATTAATTCTATCCCCAGATAAAAATTAATCATTCACTTATAATAAACCTGTAGCTCAGTGGTTAGAGCACTCGCTTTGCAAGTGAGAGACCTGAGTTCAATTCCAGGCAGAGGGCGAAACCTTGGGCAAGTTTCCTTACTCCACACACCTAATAATAATCCCTCCAAAACCAAAAACAATAATAAATTGGTCATTTTCAATCTACGACTGTTTGTGGGACATTGCTGTGCGCAATTGGCTGCCGCGTTCGCCCACAAATATACAGTCAATTCACTTTACAGTGTGTTCTGTGAAGCGCTTTGGGACGTCCTCCCGACGTGAAAAGCGCTATATCAAATGCAAGGATTATTATTATTATTATATAATTCTCTACCACACAGCACCTAGGAATGTAATAATGCCACCTGGCTTGAATATACAGTACATCACACATCGCATACGTGGCTGCCTGTGGATACACTAGTCTGTAATGGAGTTAGAAGTCTAGAGCACATGAAGTAAAATACAGTGTTGATCATTTCTAATTGTCAGTCTGTTACTGAGTGATTCTTTCCTTCCGGTTCTTCTCATGCACAAAGGTGCAGCTCGAGCCAGTGAAAGACAGTGGGGCCGGGGAAATAGTACTGAAGCAGAACCCACGCTTCTCTCATAGTGTTGCACACCACCCAGCAACAGAGCATTGATGATGGCAACTGGCACCAAGTGGTCTGATTATCTCTCTGGGGAATGCTGGAATGGGAGAGGAAGCTTCAATTAGGCAAAAGCTATTTAGCAAAACTGGTCTTGTCACATATTTCTAAGTGTGCAGGTAGGTATCTGTTCACCTACTCAGATCATCCTTTGTTCTTGCATTGTCTGCTTTCAAACTGATTATCAGAGAATAGATGTTTTGTAAAGAATTGGCTTCTCAACGCGAAACCTCAAATAAATAGTAATTATAATAATTATTGCATCTGATGGAGCGCTTTGCTGTATCAAGGATAACACTCAAAGTGCTTTGCTGTATTTTTGGAGTTGTGACTGGAGTTGCAGGCAAACAAAACAAATCCAGAGTTTCGATATCATTCAACACCCCAAATAAAATCGGTCATTCACTTCACAATGTTCGTGGAGCGGTGTTGTGTGCAAATATTGGCTACTGGGTTTGCCTACAAAAATACACTTGTACAGAATGTTCCATGAAGTACTCTGGGATATCTTTCTGACGTGAAAGGCGCTTACATCAAAATGTAAGGATCGTTGTTAGTATAAATTCCACATAAAGCAAAAAGAGGCGAGTGAGTGTTCAGTTACAAGTACTGTATCGTCCTTTATAACATTTAGCATTAAGTGACAGTTCAAATGAATATCACTTTACGTTATATTCTGTGAAGAGCTTTGAGAGAACAACAACGACAACAACAACTTGGATTTATATAGCGCCCTCCACGCCGGACGGCGTCTCAGTGCACTTTACAGTAACAGATCCCAGGACCGAGCCAGGGGAAGGGGGGGCAAGCCAGGGGGAGGGAGAGGAGCCGGGGGGAGGGGGAGAAGGTGACCAAAGTCGAAAAGAAAGGTCTTCAGCAGAGACCTGAAAATAGGAAGGGAGGGGGCGAGACGAAGGGAGTGAGGAAGGCAGTTCCAAAGCCTCGGGGCGCAGTGGCTGAAGGCACAGCCGCCGAGGGTTGGAGCGGAGGACTCGGGGGACGAGGAGGAGGCCAGACCCGGAGGAACGAAGGCAACGGGCACTGTGCTGAGGAGAGAGGAGGTCAGATAGGTCGGTGGGAGGGGGAGGGGGGGGTGCAGAGGAGTGCAGGGACTCGAATACGAGGGTGAGACGTCTCGAAGACGTGATAAGGCGGCTATGTCAGATGCAAGGATTGTCATTGGTATTATTATTGCAATTATTATGATTACTCCCCCAGCCCAGGCCCCCCCACCCCCCCCCCCCCCCTATCTCCCACCATGATGGGTGGGGGCTTACTGCCTTTCTGGGAGACGTGTTTTGCTACGTGCAACGCTGTCCCCGGGGGGGGGGGGGGCGGTGTTTGTTGAGGTGAGCACAGCCGCTGCTCACGGCTGACCATCACTTTTCCCAGTCGCCCACTGATAGCAAGTGGTCGCCCCACAGCCTCCTCCCAGCAGCTGGTCTTTGATGAACAGCAAAGAGAAGGACTCTCTCCCTCTCTCTCTCTCTGAGGGACACTCTGGGCTGAAAGGGTCGCCTCCGAGCCTTTGCCCCGAGGATAGACTCTGGGGGTCGGACCTCTGTGACCCCCTGAGCAGCGGAGGGGGAGCGGAGGGAGCGGCGCCTTTAAGAAGCGGTGGCGGCGTCTTGTTGTCAAGGCGTTGCTGGGAGACGGTTCGGTGGCGTTCCCGACCCCCGGCGGCAGCACCGCACAGCCCCGCACACCCATCCCCGGCCCCGCACACCACAGCACAGCCCCGCACAGCCCCGCACACCACAGCACAGCCCCGCACAGCTCCTCACACCGAGCACAGCTCAGCCCAGTCCAGTCCGGCATAGCCCAACTCCCCACACCCAGCACAGCCCAGTCCAGCATAGCCCAGCCCCGCACACCCAGCACAGCCCAGCACAGCTCCACACGTCCAGCATAGCCCAGCTCCGCACAGCCCAGTCCAGCATAGCCCAGCCCAGCATAGCCCAGCCCCGCACACCCAGCCCCGCACAGCCCAGCCCAGCATAGCCCAGCCCAGCATAGCCCAGCCCAGCCCCGCACAGCCCAGTCCAGCATAGCCCAGCCCCGCACAGCCCAGTCCAGCATAGCTCAGCTCAGCTCAGCCCCGCACACCCAGCCCCGCACACCCAGCCCAGCCCCGCACACCCAGCCCAGCCCCGCACACCCAGCCCAGCCCCGCACACCCAGCCCAGCCCCGCACACCCAGCCCAGCCCCGCACACCCAGCCCAGCCCCGCACACCCAGCCCAGCCCCGCACACCCAGCCCAGCCCCGCACACCCAGCCCAGCCCCGCACACCCAGCCCAGCCCCGCACACCCAGCCCAGCCCCGCACACCCAGCCCAGCCCCGCACACCCAGCCCAGCCCCGCACACCCAGCCCAGCCCCGCACACCCAGCCCAGCCCCGCACACCCAGCCCAGCCCCGCACACCCAGCCCAGCCCCGCACACCCAGCACAGCCCCACACACCCAGCACAGCCCAGCTCAGCCCAGCATAAGTTGGTACAGGACAGTCCAGCACAGTCCGGCACAGGGCAACCTCCAACATGTCTGACGAGGAGCATGAGGAGCAGCTGATCCAGGCACCAACCAGTAGCTTCCTCACCTACATGTCAGAGGGCGACCAACTCTACCAGAAAGGAGCCTATGCCAAAGCCATCAACAGTTATACAAAGGTAAGTGCCACAACCTCCTTCTGACCCCTCAACAACAACTGCCTCCCCCTCCCCTGAAGGCTTAGGGACAATCCGCAGCTGCTCTTTCCCCCAAGGGAACCGGGACATTGAGTTTCGGAACGTTATTCCGCTGTGGAGCTTCTTGCTGCCAATTCTGATTCCGTTCTCACCTCATGTACAGTCTACAGTATAATCTGTGAAGCGCTTTGAGGTGTCTCGAAGACGTGATGAGGCGCAATGTCAAATGCAAGGATTATTATTATTGTATTAAATTCCCTCCCCCCCCACCCATATAAACTTGCTATAAACTGAGTCTTTCACTTAGTTGCTTCGAAGCGATCCACGGAAACAATGGCACGTACCAAACTGCAAGGGAAACTTAAAGGTGTTTAACAACACCTTTGAGGTGAGATGTGCCTTGAAAAAGGCAAAGGGAGGGAGCAACAACAACAATAACTTGCACTTATATAGCGCCTTCCAGGCAGAGTAGCATCTCAGCGCACTTAACAGTGGAGGAGCCTGACTGCGAGTGGGGAAGGGGAGGTGACCGTAAGCATGGTCGAAAAGAAAGGTTTTCGGGTGGGACTTGAAAAAGGGGAGAGAGGGGGCAACAGAAAACTGGAATATATTATGCAATCTCTTCCCTATGAGGTGAAATATAATAATAAGATTCCTTGCATTTGATACAGCGCCTTAATACATTGTTGAAACATCTCAAAGTGTTTCACAGGATATACTGGAAAGTGTTTGTGGACTGTGTGTTTTATGGGCGAAATGAGGCATCCAGTTGCATTACGGCAATGTCCCACAAGCAGCCGGGAAGTGAGTGACCGATTTTATTTGGGGGATTTGTTGGCCAGGACACTGGGAGAGACTGCCTACCCTTTTGGAATATTGCCATATGGGGTACTTTAATGTTCACCTTAAACAGGCAGACGGGACCTCAGTTATCGTCTCATCAGATGGGCCGAAGTGCCTTCTTCATCCAGGCCAATCTTGTGATTGATCTTGTGAACTTGTGAAATTGAGAACAGATGGAAAAGAAAGGAATGTATTATTTTCGGAACTCTGCTCGTCGTTTAAAGATTTACCTTTTTCCTCACAAAGATCAACGTTTTATTTCAGGCTCTTAACCTTGAACCGTACAATAAGAACTGTCTGGTTGCCCGCTCTCGGGGTTATCTCTCGCTGGGAGACTCTTCGTCTGCTTACAGAGATGCTGAAACCTCACAGCAAGATGACAAGAAATTCTGTAAGGTAAGGTACGTGTTGCAGGTTACATAGCAGTTTCCACGGCAGTGTGAACAGCACAAACATTAGTGTAATAAAAACAGAAGTGGCTGGGAACGCTCAGCCAGCGTCTATGGAGAGAGGAAAGTGAGTTAACGTTCAGGTCGATGACTTTTGTCAGAACTGGGTGATGTTGGAAGGGAGCAGTTTATAAGGACAAACAGAGAAGGGGACGTGGAAAGAAAGACAAAAGAAAAAAATAGGTGGAGGACAGGAGATGATGAAATCACAGGTATTGATGGTGCAAGACAAGATGAGGCAATAGTAGGAGATTATAGAAAGAAAAGATGTGGTTGAGACCCAGAGGGTGTGTGAATGGTTACAGAAGAGTGGGAGTGGGAGGCAAGGCTGAAAGAAGATGGCAGCTGTGTTTAAGGTCTGAGGTGGTTAAGACCAATGTTGAGGCCAGAGGGCTGTAAGATGACTAGGAGGTAGATCAGATGCTGTTCCTTGAGCTTGCATTGTGCTTGATTGGAACAGTGTAGGAGGCTATGGACAGAGAGATCACAGTAGGGGTGGTAAGGAGAGTTAAACCGGAAGCTCAGGGTTGTACTTGCAGACGGAACGGAGGTGTTTGGCTAAGCAATCATCCAATCTGCGGTTGGTCCACCAATGACACCAATGTCCCCCCAAACATTGGTGTCTCTGCTACAGAGCAAAGTCCAGCTTCAGACAACAGAGGAAAGTGCTAACAGAGTATTTATTTTTGCCATTTTAGGGGCTTTATCGGAAGGCGGAGGCTTTGTACAGTCAGGGGGAGTTTGAACTTGCCTTAATGTTCTACCACCGAGGACACAAACTCCGCCCGGATTACAAAGATTTTCGCCTCGGAATTCAGAAAGCTCAGGAGGCCATCGACAACTCTGTTGGGAGTACGGTTATGTTCAGTTGAATCTTCTTCTTTTCTTTTCACTTGAATTTTTCACACTTTCATAAGATCGCACTTTTTCTCTTATTCACGTATTACACTCCTTCATTCTCCTCCAGTTGTATATATGAGCGCATGGTCTGACCCCTCCCATAACAACAACAACAAGATTACATTTGCATAGCGCCTTTCACGTCAGGAGAATGTCCCAAGGCGCTGGACAGTCAGAGTTTCGGACCCGAGCTGGGGGTCGGGATCAGGGAGGCTGGAAGGCAGTGGGAGAAACAGGGAAATCGAAAGCACGGTCGAAGAGGAGGGTCTTGAGATGGCTCTTGAAGGACGCAAGGGAGGGGGCGAGGCGGAGGGACTGTGGGATGGAGTTCCAGAGGGTGGGGGCAGAGTTGCAGAAGACCCGCCCACCAATGGTGGGCCGAGCGAGGCGGGGGACGTGAAGCAAGCCGGAGTCTGCTGAGCGGAGGGATAAAGTTAAGCATCCCTGACATCTCCATGAGTCCCTGCCTTCAGCCATTCTGCAAACTCTGGTACTCTCTCTCTCAATCCTTCCACCGAGCCCCCTCCCTACCCATCTTCAAATCCCGCCTAAAGACCTTCCTTTTTGATCGTGCTTATGGTCACCTCCGCCTTCCCTCTCCCCCGGCTCAGTGTCAGATTCCATCACTATCAAGCGCTCTACGTGAAGGGCGCTATATAAGTTGTTGCAAGTTGTTGATGTTGATGGCGATTCCTCTATAGCGCCTTACGCACGTTTAGGAACCAACCTCGTGCTGTAATGGGATTTTGAAGGGTGAATATTCCGGAAGGATGAGATCAAGTTGGACCAAGAACCTTCTTCGTTAGAACTTCTCATGTGATCTCTTGACATCTTGTGATCGTTTTCCTCTACATACAATTTTTTAGATATGGTGTGCCCTCCTTGTTTTCACTTTTGAAGCCCTCCACTGACTTTATCCTCCCTCCTCTGTGACCCATTAACATTATACTAATCTATCTGCTCCCTCCACTCAGCGAGGACTGAACTGCTCCATGTTCCCTGCCCTGCTCGCTCCAGCATTAGCAGTCAGGCCTTCAGCTTTTCTTCCAATCTGCCCCTTTCAAGGTCCATCTCAAGACCTTCCTATTTTCAACTGTGCCTTTGGCCACCCTCCCAAACCCCTAGCCTCTAACTCCCAAATCCCTTCCCTCCACCCCTCTTGATTCCAACCCCCAACTTGGGTGTAAATCCTTAACTGTCCATTACTTTGGGACATCCAAAGTCCACATACACAATCCTCTTGCAGAGGATCTTTCCCACATTTGTGTCAGCCTGGCTCTGTTGGCTGTGCTCTCGCCTCTGAGTCAGAAGATTGTGGGTTCAAGCCCCATATCGGAACTTGGAACCCATTTATGCTGACACTCTAACGCAGTGCTGGGTATGTGTTGCATTGCCGTCCTTCAGATGAGACGTTAAACCGAGGTCCCATCTGCCCTCACCTTCCCCAACACTGAATTGGAGTGTCAGCCAAGAATATGAGTTCAAAATCCCAAAATAATATTAATAACAACAATAATAATAATCCTTGCATTTGATATATCACCCTATCACATCATTGATACGTCTCAAAGGGCTTCACAGAATAAACTGTAAAGTGAATTGACTGTAGATATTGTAGGTGAAATATAACAGGGTAACATGGGGCGTGAACCCACAATCTTCTGACTCAGAGATGAGAGTGCTACCAGCTGAACCAGGTTGTCATAGATGCCCACAGACACAGTCCTAACCTGCATTGTTTAGATTTCTAGAGCTGTGTATCTACCAGTGGGAGTGTTTGCTGACAGTGGTGTTGTTTTTGGCAGGTCCTTCCTCAGTGAAGCTCGAGAATAAAGGAGACCTGTCCTTCTTCTACATACGGGATGAGGTGAGATCTTTCATAAATGGACAGACTAGCTGCGAAATGTAAAAGAGGTTTCCTGATACCTGTTTGGACCATTTCAGCCTAGCTCCTAATAGACATGGCTTTTATGGGCCCGAAAAATAAAACTTGCACAATAGTTTTATAAAAAAAAGGTTTATTTGAAGAAGGAAGCTCTAACTCTGTGCAACCGTCTCCTCTTACTCTTCCAGCCCCCAGTTATACTGGATTTCAATTATGACTTAGGACTGGTGCCCAAATATCACTGCCCTTGATAGCTCCCATTATGGTTGAGCGGCAACAACCATTAAAGGCAGTGATGGGGTTTCTCCCCCTGTCACAGCGGCCAAAACATTATTGATCTGAATTGATGATTTCACTCATGGAAGTTGCAATGCAAAGTGCAAATCGTAAGTGACCAATTTTATCTGGGGGATTGTTGGCCAGGAGACCAGGAAAGAGAAACTCCCTTCTCTTTTTGAGTAGAGTCGTTGGATCGTTAACGTCCACCTGAACAGGCAGACGTTTAGCATCTCATCACATCTCATTCGAAGGAAGATACTTCCGATAACACAGCACATCCCCCAACACTGAAGTAGACTAAAAATAACCCATTGCAAAATACTACAGATGCTGGAAAGCTGAAATAAAACAGGGGCCGCTGGGAACACTCAGCAGATCAGGCATCATCTATGGCGAGAGAAGCGTGAGATAACCTTTCGTCAGAACTCAGTTCCTCTCTCCATAGATGCTGCCTGGCCTGCTGAGTGTTCCCAGGGACTTCTGTTTTTATTACTGAATTGAAGAGTCGGCCTAGATTTTGAGATAGCTGTGTGTTGGGGAGGAGATCATCCGAATGGGCTCAGCTCGTTTTTCGGACACAGTGGAAGGATTTTGCAGCGAATCTAGCAATGCTTTTCCTGCCCTCCTAAGGCTGCGTCCTGGAAAGTGTACCAACTCCCAGCACTAACGTCCGTCCCCCTCAAAGAGCATAAAATTCACAGGAAATGTTTAAGAAAAAAGATCTTTAAAGTAACCACAGTGCACAGCAGTTATTGTTGGCGGCCACTGCACTTTTCTGAAAATTGAAACCTCTTGTGTCTCTTATCGCCCACCAAGAATTTAGCCCCCAAAAGCAAAGCTCAACTCCGACGGCAGAAGCAGGCTTCCAAAATGCAGAATAAGAAAGTGGGAGAGGAAGAACCAAAAGCCAATAAAGTGGTTCTCAGGGAGTTGCTGGGAGAGCTTTACAGTGACAAGGAATACATGGAGAAGCTGCTGAAGGATGATGGTAAAGTTATGGACCCAGGATCCCTACTGAGCTCTTCTGGCCATAGGGCATCTCAACAAATAGACTCCTTATAATAATAATAATGCTAATAATAATAATATACAATAATAAATAAAACAAACTTACATTTGTATAATGTTTTTCACGTCAGGAGGACGTCCCCAGGCACTGGGTTAATTATAATAAGAATAATAAGAATAATCCTTGCATTTGATATGGCTCCTTATCACATCATTGAGACATAGCATATACTGTGAAGTGAATTGACTGTATATTTTATGGGCGAAACGCGTCAGCCAATTGTGCACCATAGTCTCCCATGGATAGTGGTGGATTGAGTGACCAAATTATTTATTTTTGGAAGGGATTATTACCCCCGGATCCGCCAATCCACTAACAACCAAGTTCGCACTTACTGTTGGGTAAACAGAGGCGTGTGGAATAAGGAAACTTGCTCAAGGTTTCGCCCTGCCCAGGAATTGAACCTGGGTCCTCTCACTTGCGAGGCGAGTGCTCTAACCACTACACTACAAGACTCCACACTTTTAGATGATGCTCTTCATAATAAGAGGTCCTTTTAATATGCAGTATCCAACAGTTGTTACAATTATCTCTTTCATTTTCTGTTAACTGCGACTGTTATTCTGTTATTGTTTCGGTCGCTACCGTTAAGTATATTCCTATAAACTATGTGTTTTAGGGAAACTGCTGAAGAGAGGGGTGGGTGGGCGGAGGGGAGGGGCAATGGGAAGGGACACTGGTCCTGATAGTTAAGTGAGTGTAGATGGACAATTATTCCAGAACTTGTAACTCAGCTCAGCGAGTGTGGTACGTGTGTCAGCCTGGGGCCGTGTTGGGGGTGGCAGCCAAATGCTGCCCTTGAAGAAGGGAGGAAAAAATTCTGATCACCAGATCACCAGATTACGGGAAGGATTGGAGAGAGTGGAGCGGGGATTTAAAAGGATGTGAGTAGGGATGAGTGGATACAACGATCAAGAAAGATGGGGAAGGTTGGAGCTTTTCTCTCTGGAGTTGAGACGATTGTGAGGGGATCTGATCGAGGTGTTAAATGTTACGAAAAGATTCGATAAGGTGAGCGTTGATGGGCTGTTCTCACTTGTTGGTGAGTCCAAAATGAGAGGGTGTCAATATAAACGAGCCAGCAACAGATCTATTAGGGAGCTTAGGAGGAATGTTTTCACGCAGAGGCTGTTGAGAATGTGGAACTCGCTGCTGGAGGTTGTGGTTGAAGCAAAAAGCATCAATGCATTTAAAAGAAAACATGCATACAACAACAACTTGGATTTATATAGTGCCCTTCACATAGGGAAGCATCCCGGAGCACTTTACGTGAAAGAGAAGGGAATAGAGGCGTATGGGAGAGGGGAACAGAAACGGTGGGGCTCACGTGAAGTATAAATGCGAGTACAGACTGGCTGACTCACCTGTTTTAGTGCCATAGGTAACACTTCCTGCTCTCATAGCCCTCTTTCAGCCAGCTATTGTGCGACGCTTTGAGATGACCTCCTGACGTGAAAGGCAATGTAAATTGTAAATGTAAATTGTTGTTGTTGACATTGGAGACTTCCAATTGGCAGGAGACGTTGTATTGGGTTATAATGTGGTTTCAGGGCAGAATCCCTTCTGAGCGCGTCACTGACCAGCAATTCCTTTTTTTCTCGCAGACTTATCGCAGACCAGCACTAGCAGTGGGACCACCATCCTAGACCTGATAATGAGTGGCATTGCATTCCTGGATACCCGCACCGAGTTCTGGAGACAGCAAAAGCCCATTTACGCTCGCGAGCGTGACCGCAGAATGAGGGAGAGAAACTGGAAGATCACCAGAGAGCAGGAGCGAGCGAGCCCCACCAAATACATCCTTTATACTCTCGAGGAGATCGACCAAAGTACGTGGTTTGGTAGAGGGGAGAGGCACAGCTAATATCTTAACCAAATCAATCGTAATGTATTGAGAACCAAAGTCTGGAAATTCACTCAATCCCAGACAGGTTTGTGGGACACTGCTGTGTGCAATTGGCACCCAGCAAAAAAAAAAAAATATTTTTTGAAGGGATTATTACCCCCGGAAAAGGATCCACCAATCGACTAACAACTGAGTTCCTACTTAATGCTAGGCAAACAGAGGGGTGTGGAGTAAGGAACTTGCCCAATGCTTCTCCCTTTATTGGAGGAAGCAATACTGAGGAAGGGAGAACCAAATCCTCAGACTTCAGGTTCTGGGAAAGGGAATCTTTTTGTTATTTATTATAATGCATTTGAACCGGCCGCTGGGAACAAACCTTGAAACTTACAGGAAATTTTTTCTCCTCAACCTTCATGTCGAGTCCTGTAGCTTAGTGGTTAGAGCATTCACCTCACAAGCAAGAGGACCCGGGTTCGATTCTAAGGCAGGATGAAACCTTAGACAAGTTTCCTTACTCCACACACCTCTGTTTACTTAGCAGTAAGGGAGAATAATCCCTTCAAAAAAAATAATTGGCTGCCGTATTTTGCCCACAAAATATACAGTCAATTCACTTTACAGTATATTCTGTGAAGCCCTTGGAGATGTCTCGAAGACGTGATAAGGCACTATATCAAATGCAGGGATTATCATTATTATTAATATTTTTACTATTTCACACCCCTTCCAAAACTCCCTGACTGAGAGGCCACGCTGCTCCCAGTGCTCTGGTTATTCTCTCCCAGTGCCTTCCCTTCCAGGCAGTGCTACTAAAAGCTTCCTGTGAGCAAGTGCCCATCTTCTCAAAAGAAGCTATGATCTGCGCTGCATGGTGGGTATTAATGCTATTTCAAAACAACTGTGGAGTAAGACAAATAGATATTTTGATCTGTGCAGAGGGTTTCCGCTGACCTGTTGATGCTCTGTTTGTTCAGTGCTGGCCAGCGGCAATGCTGAGGACAGTCAGAAGAAGGCCAAGAAGCTCCTAGTGACTGTGGAAAACTGGACCAAACTCGACGTTCCCAACAAGGAAGAAGTCATTGGGAATCTGTACAGCTGCATCGGGAACGCTCAGATTGAGCTCGGAGACATGACCAAGGCCCTGGAGAACCACAAGAACGATCTGGAGCTCGCCCAGGAACAGTGAGTCAGACATGTTTATTTCCTGCAGGAACTCCCAGCCAGGACGAGCTCGCCACACTCTGCCGCCTGGTGCAGTGACTGGATTCAGAGCTTCACTCCCACAACAATTTCTCGTCCCTTTTTTATTAGTCACGATGATGAGGTTCTGATGCCTTCTGCACGTCCCTCATCCCCAACTCCTCACCATCAGCGGCCGTGGTTTCAGCCACTACGCCCTGAGACTGTGAACTTTCTAACTCTCTGCCTCAATCCCTCTGCCTTGCCCCTTGCCCGCTCCTTGCCAGTCTTCAGATCAATCTGAAGACCTTCCTATTTGACCTTGCCCACAGCCGTTCGCTGCAGTGGAGGTGACCGTAGGCACGGTCAAAGAGGAATGTCTCAGGATCAGCCTCCGGCAATCTTAAGAGCTCCAAAACTCTTCCGCGTGAAGGGTGCTGTATAAATGCAAGTTGTTGTTGATGATGAGTTACACACCTTCCTAAGAAAGAGTCTCTGCATCAGTTTTATCTCAAATGATTGTCACTCCTTCCTGGGTTGGTGGAGCTCCGTCCAGACCTCAGCCAAACCCCAGTTTAGCTGGATACTTCCCCAGCCATCGCCCCCTGATGGAGATGCCTGGACCTCGGCTCGGAATATGGACCGAGTGTGAGACTGCGCCCAGGGGTCAGTATCACACGTTGCTGCTTTGCACGCTTTGATCCTTCAGCTAAATCATTAAACTAAGGTCCATCAGAGAAGGGAGTTTCTCCCGTTGGGTCCTGGTCAACAATCCGCCCAAATAAAACGTTAAAAAATTGATCACTCACTCCATGACTGTTTGTGGGACACTGTTGTGCACATCTCTGCGCTCTTAGGGGGAAGCCCCAAAGCAGGATTACCAGTCACTATTCCTGTGGGCGATTGGGAGCCGTGGCTTGAGTCCCGGTGGGAATTCTGCATGTCTCGAAATTTCTATTTCAACAAATTAATATTTTCTCGCTCCAAACAGCAACTTAATCGACGCAAAGTCACGCGCCCTGGACAACATCGGCAGAGTGTACGCCAGGATCGGACAGTTCGCGGATGCCGTGGAGGTGTAAGTATAAATTTCGGCACAAACTGGGGCAACTCCTGAGATTATTAGGAGTCCTGAAGCTCAGTGGTTAGCGCACTCACCTCGCCAGCGAGAGGACTTGCGTTTGATTCCCTGGCAGGGTGAAATGTTAGGCAAGTTTCCTCACTCCACACACAAGCCTCTGTTTACTTAGCAGGAAATCGGAACCCAGTTGTTAGTCGATTAATGGATCGCTTTCCAAGAGTAATGTCCAAAAAAATAATAAATTGGTCACTCAATCCACGAGTGTTTGTGGGGTCGCTGCTGTGCGCAATTGACTGCCAAGTTTCGCCCACAAAATACACAGTTAATTTACTTAACAATGTATACCGTGAAGTGCTTTGAGACATCTCACCAATGTGATAAGGCTCTAAATCAAATGCAAAGATTATTATGACTTATATAGCGCCCTTCACGCCATCCAGCACTGTATCAGGGCGCTATATAAATGCAAGTTGCTGTTGTTATTATCGTGTCCAGAAGCTCCAGATTAGCAGCGTGCAGGCAACCCAGGTGAAAGCGTTTACTACAGGTTCCATCAGACAATAAGATAAATAAATAAAACGCTGAAGATCCCATGACGCCATTCGAAAAAGAGAAGGTGTTTCTGTCTCTCAGTCTCCTGGCCAATAATTCCCCCCAAATTAAATTGGTCATTCACTTCACAGTTTTTTGTGGGACAATTGACAAATGTGTGCAAATTGACTGCCGCATTCACCCATAACAAGTTACTGCAATTTACAGAATATTCTGTGAAGGCGCTATACCAAATGCAAGGATTACTATCATTATTATTATTTAGATTGTTTCAAGCGATTGTTCAGAAGAATAGCCTTTACTACAGGAAGCTCATTCATTTCCTCTTCTGGCCTTGTCCAGGTGGATGGAGAAGATACCTCTAGCCAAAACCAGCCTGGAGAGGACCTGGCTTTTCCATGAGATCGGGCGCTGTCACTTGGAGCTCAGCAACAATGAAGCAGCTCGAGATTTTGGTGAAAAATCCCTGAGTTGCTCAGAGGAATCGGGAGATGAAGAATGGAAGATGAATGCCAGCGTGCTAGTGGCACAAGCTGAAAGTAAGGAGACAAAACCAGGCCTAGTTTCTGTCATCGATTTCAAATCCCCTCATGTCCTGGCACCTCCCTACCCTCAGACCTGCTTAATCCCCAACCTTAGGCAGGTTTCCTTACTCCAGACATCTCTGTTTATCTAGCAGTAAGTAAGAACCCGGTTGTTTGGCGATTGGCTGATCACTTTCAGGGGTAATAATCCCTTCAAAATAAAATGTGGTCACTCATTCCACAGCTGTTTGTGGGACACTGCTGTGCACAATCGGCTGCCACGTTTCACCCCCAAAATATACAGTCACTCCACTTTACAGTATATCATGTGAAGTGCTTTGAGACCTCAAAGTGATAAGGTGCTATATCAAATGCAAGGATTATTATTATTACCTGCCAGTAGCTGGCTACTGAGTGACATTGGTAAGGCCAGGGAACAGATGTCTGTCCAATTCTCTTGGCAATGTTTTAGAAGCGTAAAATAAATTAAATTCAAGAAGTCTCAGCGTATTTTTCACACTGGGCAAACTCCTAAGAAGATCTTAGTTTGAGTTGAAATTTGAGCTCTTCGCTTCTCGACTCTTCCAGTGAAACTCAACAACTATCGGGCTGGAGTTATCTACTTTGAAAAGGCGTTGGAGAAAGCAGTGTTGTTAAATGATGAGAGAGCGAAAGAAGCCATCTTGCGAGTGAGTATCCATGTTTAAAACGGCTTTCCTGTGGAGAATTGGGGTCCTGTGAGTTACGGAGCTGTCAGAAGTAATGGGTTTCAAAGCTTAACTGGTGTTTCCTGGGCACAAATGTACTGTTATATGGAGTCTTGTAGCGCATAGATTAGCGCACCCGGCTCGCGAGTGAGAGGACCCAGGTTCGATTTCTGGGCAGGACAAGACCTCACCGCGCAGATCATTTAGTGTTTTACTGATATGCACAAACTGGGATCTGGAGAAAAAAGTGAGCACTCTCTTTGCTCTGGGAACCCTGAGATAAGTTTTCAACGTGATGAATTGGTACTTTGTCGACAATTGTTGTCAACCCAAAAAATGAAGGCCGGCGGCAGGTGTGACCACCCCCCACCCATTCACCCCTCACCCCCTAAACCCCCCACACGAGCAAAATAGTTGAATCAAGTAAGTTAAATTGAGACCACTGAGGATACATTCTGGCTCTGCATGAGAAGCCATAGCGACTGGTATTTGTATATCTGTCCACTCCCTCTGCTCATCAGGCTCTGGCCTGCTCCACGGCCCCCGCCCGGCCTTCCCCACCATAGGTGATCAGGCCTTCAGCCTCTCTGCCCCCATCCATTGGAACTCCATCTCACAGTCCCTTCGCCTTGCCTCCTTCAAGGTACGTGTCAAGACCCTCCTCTTTGGCCGTACCTTTGGTCACCCTCCTATCTCTACCCTCCTTGCCCTCGACCCCCACTGATCTCAAGCTCGGGTCCAAATCCCTTACGTCCAGAGCCTTGGGACGGAAAGGCGCTGTGTAAATGTAATTTGTTGTTGTTGTTGCGAGCCTCCAACTGACATTGTGTCACACTCTCCTCTCAGGCTCTGACAAATGTGAACAGTCTAATCGTTGAAAAGTTGAAAGCAGAAGAAATCGAAAAGCAGAAAGGCAGTATCTCATCGGTCTGGATGAAAGGTAGGAACGTTTAGCACAGAGCACACAGATTACACCACTAACACAGATGGACATCGTCTAGACTTAACACAAGAAGCAACCAAATATCAGCTACCATCCCAGGAAATTCTTTCCTTTTTCTTGATTTTTTTTCCCCAGCCCCAAGTCCCTATTTGAAGCACTTTACTGACCTGTGTTTGTACATTTACATTGATGGTACGCTGAGGTGTCAGCAGCCTTTGTGTTTTTCTCTGCTTGTGACTTTCATTTCCCTCAACATAGACTCTGGCTTACTGAGACGCTGCATGAGGGTTAGCCAAGTAGTAGGTGAGCTCTGACCAAGTTCAGAGGCTCTGGACTCTATATAAGCGACACATTATGCAGCATTGCACAGGACCTGTTTATTAACAGATATAAACACTTCAAACTACAATGGAAAAAATTTGATCTACATTTATTTATTCATCCAGAACCTTAGACATCTTGTGATGATGGTGATTGGAGTTTTGATGAACCGATGAGGTATATCTTGAAGGAGTGAGTGGAATTTGCGTAACTGGCTCTGTTTAATACAATAGGCTCAGCAATGCTTGATCCAGATCTGCACTTTACAGGACCTGAAACTATTATTGGTGTCACACTTTCTCCTCAGGGTATGTTCTCTATGTAGAAATCTATCTGTTGCAGACAGGGCAGGGGTGATTTTCTCATGTTGTTCTGTGTTTCCGAGTCCCTTTCTGAAATCAGGTTCTCTGCCCCCACCCTTTGGAGCTTGGCCGCCCCTCCTTGTCTCCTTCAAAGACCTCCTCTTCGACCACACATTCGGCCACCCTCCCACCCCTACCCTTCAGGTCCTCCACCGCCCCTAATCCCAAACCCCTGCTCGGATCCAAATTCCTGACTGTCCAGCGCTATAAAATGAAATTTGTTGTTGGTGTTGTTGAAATATTTTACCATCAGCCTTATTACACATCTGTCCTCTGCTTTATTTATTGCTTTACAAACACCATTAACCCTGGATTTCTGCTGTCTGGAAACTAAGGACCGGGAACAAAAATGTGCATTCATTAATGTTTCAGCCACAACAATCACATATTTTCCCTGGCAGCAGTCGTGAAATTGAGAGAAAGACATTCATTTTTCTGAGTGGGACTGAGAAGGTCAGACACACTTTTATACCAATGAAAATAATTTGAAACTACCTGTTGGAGCAATGAGTCAGGAGGTTTGTAGACTTCGTTGATGATTAAAACACTGCTTCGTACACGATGAGAATGACTGCTCAGCAGTCAACAGCATCTTTTAGAGCTTTGGTTCCCAGGGTTGAGGGCATTTTCACACCTTCATGACCTGTTCTACCTTCTTCCACCTCTGCAACATCACCCGGCTCTGCCACTGCCTCTCCCATCAGGCAGCTGAGACCCTCATCCACACCTTCATCACATCCAAGCTCAACTATGCTAACTCCCTGCTTGTCTGCCTTCCCAACTCTTCCCTCCACAAGATGCAGATCATTCAGAATTCTGCAGCTTTGTGTCCTCTCCCACACCAGGCTCCGTGACCCCATCACCACTGTGCAGGGCCAACATTAAAGGCACTATACAAATGTAATCTGTTGTTGTTGTGACTCTAATTGATGGCCAATCATCAACAATGATGTGAATTGCTGCAGACCTGTCTGGTTTGGCAGCCCCACATGTCACCCTTGAGTACTTGCCTCCTTCAAGCTCTGCCTGAAGACCTTCCTCATTGAGCGCACTTTGACTAACCCTTGAATGACTTTCCTTTGAGAGGAGGTAGTTTTGGAGGTGATTGAGCCAAATTTGGGGATGGACCACTTTGTGCCATCTTTCAAGCACTTTCAATCAAAGCAAGAGGCCAAAGCTGTATCTGTTTGTAATTGCCCAGAACCGTAGACCTTTAGGAAACTGATTAGTTTTCAGAATCACAAATACAGTGAAAGGGAAGGTGAGTTTATTATTGATGCGATGGTACTAAAAGAGGGAATACTGAAGATGAATCAGACTGTGAAGAAACTTTTCAGAGGCAGGAAGCCAGTGACTGAGAAGAAGACTACGTGATATTCTGCATATTTTAAAGTATTGTCCAAGGTCGTAAAAACCTAGGCAGATGTCTAGGGTTATGGAAATCTTGCTCCAAAACCCACCTCCATTCGAGTAATCGAGGTACGACTCCCTTTCTATGTTGGAAACTCTCCAATGTGGCATTTCTAACATAATGCAGCAAGATTAGGAACTCAATAATATGTGATGGAACCTTCATGCAGCATTGAGTGAGGCTTCTGAGCAGCCTCCAAGAGTCTCTTTCTCTCTATATTTCCTCCTCCTGTTTTCTCCCTGTCGCTCTGCTGGTTGCAATCTCAGGTATTGCTCACCCTTTGCTCTCTGGTCGCTGTCCGAGTGGTCATTCTCGTGTGAACCTGAACAGCGAGTGTTTGCCGGCTATTGAACCTGGGCGGGCAGCGTATTCCTGGCTGACCCTGTCCTTGCTGGACGGCCAATCCATTACTGTACAATGAATGGTGTACACTGCAGCAAGGCATCCCTGATAACAATCAGCAGGGGGAACCAGAGAAAATTATTTTCCTGTTCCCCAGGGAGCACTGAAGCCAGTTATGGGGTTCTCACAATCACACAGCTTCATTAGTTATGAAATGACTCCCTTTCACCACATATACCAAATGAAGTCCTGATAATAGAGCTTTCACAATGGCCAACTCTCACCTGCAGTTGCAGGTCAATTGCTCACTGAGACATTGGGAAACACAGCATCAGACAGCACTGGAAAGATATCCCAACAGGAGATAACAGCATATTAAACAAAGGCAGCAGCCATTCGCACTGAATTACAGAGCACACTCAGGCCTTGAGATAAGTGATGACACTGATTAGTATTTTGGCAAATTGATGAGTAGCTTTGTGTAACCTTTCATTTGCAAACAATAGATGAGAAGCCTGAGGAGTTGCATAAAGCTGAAGAGGATGCAGTTATGCACGAGTCTCCAGAGCCCACTGAGGGTAGGTTCTCGGTACAGTGTGTGTACTCCATATGGTTAACACTGTGTGGCTGCATCATGTCACAATCTCATTATCTGCATCCCGATGGATTCCATCCCATCGTATCTAATGGACTTGGAGTTTCAGAAAAAGGAGGAGTTTACTGGGATCCTGGCAGATCTTCTCATCCCAAGAGCATCAAAACTGCCCACCCGACCACATAGTGGGTCTTCATAACATACTGATCCCCACCACAGACTGCCTCCCCGCACCCCCCCACCCCTCACCCTCCTCACATACACGCACAAAAGCACATGCACACACACGCATAATCAGACTGAACTCTATAAACACGCCTGCCCCCACCACAGACTACCCCCCCACCCACCCACCATACACACACACACACACACACACATGTACGTACGTACGTACGTATGTGACTCACTAGAATACACTTTCGCCCTCAGCCAAAATAATAATAATAATCCTTGCATTTGATATAGCGCCTTATCACATCATTGAATCTCAAAGTGCTCCACAGAATATACTGCAAAGTGGAGTGACTGTGTATTATGTTGGCGTAACGCGCCAGCCAATGGGGCACAGCAGTGTTCAACAAACAGTTGTGGATTAAGTGACCAAATTATTATAATTATTATTATTTATTGATTTTGAGAAGGTGAGGAATCCAACAGATGTTTTATAACCTGCTATTTCCATGCAGTTGACAGACGCCCATCCTATGAATATCAGGATTTGTCCCAGGAGGAAAAGAAGCCACTTTCTCCAGAGACTGCTGAGGGTATGTTGCCTTGTAAACCATCCACAGTGAACCTGTGCTAATGTGTTCTTTCTTTCGCTCCAGTAAGAGGCGATTCGTGAGTCAGGTGAGTTCCCAGTACAGGCACCACTGGTCTGTAAACATCATGGTGTATTCTCAATGATTAACTCCCTACAGATTTCGTCCCATCATATTCACATCATTTATCACAAACTCTCTATACCTGCTGCCTGGTTGATTGTTCAGTTGGTAAATGACATCGCATACAAACATTTCAATCTGGAGCAAAACTACTAGGAAGTGTTTCTTCTCACAAAGCGTAATCAACAACAACTTGTATTTATATACTACCCTTCACGCAGACAGCTTCTGGACTACTTAACTGTGGCAGAGTTTGTTGGCAAAGCCGGGGAGAGAGGGGAGGTGACCATAGGTCAATTCCACACTCAATCAGGAGCAGGTCACAAAGAGTGACCCAAAGGACCTTCTTCACCCTCTCTTGTGATAGAATCAATGTGTCCCTACTGGCACAGATGTGGTAAAGAGGGAATTTATGCCTAAACATTTACATAGATGTTTAGGGAGCATTTTATAAGGTTTCTACATCGGACACATAGAATTAGAGACAAGCTATCCCGATGGCCAGAAACCTGATCCTATACTTGCTGCCAAGCGCATGTTTTATTACTCACAAGTAGATGAGGTAGTATTCACTATTGAACTGCAATTGCCCACACAAGGCGTTTAAACATAAATAATTCAAGAAATTTTATTTGCCCTCAGTTTGCTAGAAGTGCAGATCTTTAGTGACCTAGTGGGTTAGACATTTTATACGTTGATGAGGTATTATTCACAATCTAGTAGAGTTGTTACAATCTGGTATTCTCATACACTAGATGTGATTCCATCTGATGAAATCCAGCAACCTACCATGGAAGTGAAGGAAAGTGAATCTGCAGCTCCTGTTGAGGGTATGTTCGCTACAGGCTCCATAGTCTCATTGACAGGACCCGACAGCGACCTGTCATACAATATTGTAAAATACTGTAGAATAACAACCATCAGTGCATCCAGCTATCCATCTAAATTCCCACAAATTCCTTTTGATCTCTCTCTCTCTCTATATGTTATATATTATATATAAAGAGAGAGAGCGAGAGAGAGAACATGTATAATATATAATATAAAAATAATATATTTGATTTATAAGTGAAAGCTGAAAGCTATTTGCTATTAGACACTTGCTGAGTTCCTTTATGAAACCTTGTGTGGTCTCTCTACTCCACTACTTTGTTACACATGAATGATTTAGAAATAAAATACAAGATTATATACTTGTATGAAAACAGCCTAACAAATAACAACCAACCCTGACGTGCTCGATCTTGGTTGGTGAAGCTCAGAGATTCTTCTGAGAGGGTGATGTTCCCAATCACCAGTGAGAGACTGCATGAGGTAGTGTAGCTCGATTTCAAAAGGCCTTTGACAAAGTACCACAAGAGAGCTTCTTTTACAAACTAACGTCAGTGGGTATTGAGGACAAGACATCGCTGTGGATTAATAACTAAAGGAAAGGAAACAGAGTGCATTCAAGAGGGGAATTAGTTAATGGGAATTAATTCTATGATTCTTTAGTAGGGGAGTGGGATTCATTTGGATAGCTCTTTTAAAAGAGCTGGCACAGACACAACGGGCCGAATGGTCTCCGTCTGTGTTGTATAAATCTATGATTCGATGAATTAGTCTCAGTGCTCTCTGCTTGGATTTTCCTGTTCCTATTGTAATTGCAAACTAGTTGTAAATTAGTTAAGTTTGCAGGGTTTTTTTTTTGGCTGTGGCATCAAAGCAGCAAAATCCAAAAGAAAGAGTTGAAATGAGTGTGTGGGTGAGATGGTCATTGGCAACTGAAGTGCAATACAGATGAAGGCATAGTACTGTACATAGGATGTCAATAAGAGGCTTATGAACTCTCTGGACATACCAAAGGGACGATTGAAGGAGACCTAGGGGTGCTGGTTGACTCGTGGCTCACCGTATCATGTAGGACGCAACAAGAAACAAGGCAAAAAAAGATGCTGTGATACATTACCCAATCCGTTGAGTTCAGCATCTCAGAGATCATGCTCAGACTGATGTCGTGGTCGTCAGGCTAAAGCTTACAATATAAGGTTAGTTGCGCAGGTCCCGGAGAGCAATGAGGGTCATCGGTTCTATTTGACGGATGATGGAATAACCTATGAGTGTAATCGCAAGGTATGTTAGTGCTCTTCAGGGTTTGAAAAGAAACATTTCAGAGAGTACCGTACAGAGGGTTATAATTGATAAGCAATGAAATGAGACAGATAACAACAACAATTTGCATTTATATCGTGCCCCTATTGCAGGGTAGCCCTCCAGAGCTAGTCACAGTCACAGCCTGGAAACAGGTCTTTCTGCCTAACTACTCCACATGAAGAGATATTCCTCATTAGGATCAGATAGACTGAAGGCTCTCCTCCCTGCTCACTTCCCTGCTATAATAACCTCTGGTGATCTTGCAAACATCGTGTAAAGCAACAGATGGATTATCTCCTCCCAAACTCTGAGGAGGAGATATTCCAAATCACAGTCGAGTTGATTGGCTACAATTTGGCCTTTTTGATACAGTGGAGAAGGTGCCGTCCGGTGAAGTGGGCGGAGAGACGAGTGTCCCCGCAGTTGCTGCTGACGGTAGGTTGATGGCAACGAATTTGTAGACAGGTGGGAACATCAAGCGTTTTTCTTTAACCTCCCCTCACCCCCTCTCCCCAGCCCCCACCCCCCATCACCAGTTTCATGTTTGTTTCATGTTTCATTTGGTGACATTACAGAACATGGTGTATTTGCTCATCGGACAATCAAGTTGGGAATGGTTTGTGGGTCAGACAATATCATGCCAGGTGTAGCCCGCTGGCTGGCACCAGTTGGCCAGCTCTGATAGAGGGTAGACCTCACCCCACAGCTACGAGTGTAAAAGGAATATCTGCTCCCGATATTCATTCACTCATTGATCAAATCCTGACCAATACAATCTGCACTGAAAAGGATCCGATTTGTGTATTATTAGATTTAACAAATAAAAGTGACAGTTTTGTATGTATACAGTTAGCCAGAGCCGAAGGTCTTTAGTTGATGTGGTTGTGACGAGCCTTTAGACATTTCCTAAACAGATGAAGTTGTCGCTCTCACAACAGAGTGGATGTGTTACAATCTGGTATTTTCATACAGTAGAGAAGCCGCCGTCTGGTGAAGTGAGTAAACACTCCCTGGAGGAAAAGAAGAGCGTTTCTGCAGTTGCCGCTGATGGTACGTTCTCTGTCCAGGGGCCATGTTGTGTATTAGTGATGGTGAAGTATGATGTTTATAAGCTGCCAAATATAGGAGGAAGAGAAGAGTGAGATATGTCAGGACTTTCAGAGTCTGGGATCCTGGCACAGAGTGTATTGGAGCAGGGATTGCTGTGATGGATTTGAGGTCAAGCAGGGAGAGAGGAGGTAAGCAAGATAAATACTAAATGGATTCAACCATTAAAAACAAAATGCAAGATTATTAATAACAGTAATAATCCTTTGCATTTGATACAGTGCCTCATCACGTCTTTGATACGTCACAAAGCACTTCACAGAATATAGTGTAAAGTGAATTGACTGTATTTTGTGGGCAAAACATAGTGTTTTTTCTCAAAGTTCACTCTTATTCAAGAACTTGCACTGGCGCTGAGCAAAATGCAACTGTGAAGGAAGGATTCTGTTTCTGCATTGTAAGCAGTGACACTGTGGGTTTATTTGCATTGAGATAACCAGAAACATAAGGTTTTAATGATTCCGAGTGTGATGGATTTTAGACTTTTCATGAATAGAGGAGTTGTCGCTCACACAACAGAGTAGATGTGTTACAATCTGGTATTTTCATACAGTAGAGAAGCCGCCGTCTGGTGAAGTGAGTAAACACTCCCTGGAGGAAAAGAAGAGCGTTTCTGCAGTTGCCGCTGATGGTACGTTCTCTGTCCAGGGGCCATGTTGTGTATCAGGGAGATGAAATGTGATGTTTATAAGCTGCCAAATGTAGGAGGAAGAGAAGAGTGAGATATGTCAGGACTTTCAGAGTCTGGGATCCTGGCACAGAATGTATTGGAGCAGGGATTGCTGTGATGGGTCTTGATGTCAACTGGGTGAGGAAACAGTGAGCGAGGAGGTAAGCAAGATAAGTACTAAACAGATTCAATCACTAAAAACAAAATGCAAGAATATTAATAACTAATAATCCTTGCATTTGATACAGCGCCTTATCACGTCTTTGATACGTCACAAAGCACTTCACAGAATATACTGTAAAGTGAATTGACTGTATTTTGTGGGCAAAACATAGTGTTTTCTCTCAAAGTTCACTCTTATTCAAGAACCTGCACTGGTGCTGAGCAGATGCAACTGTGAAGGAAGGATTCCGTTTCTGGATTGTAAGCAGTGACGCTGTGGGTTTATTTGCATTGAGTTAACCAGAAACATAAGGTTTTAATGATTACAGTTGTGATGGATCTTTAGACATTTCGTGAATAGAGGAGTTATCGCTCACACAACAGAGTGGATGTGTTACAATCTGGTATTTTCATACAGTAGAGAAGCCGCCGTCTGGTGAAGTGAGTAAACACTCCCTGGAGGAAAAGAAGAGTGTTTCTGCAGTTGCCGCTGATGGTACGTTCTCTGTCCAGGGGCCATGTTGTGTATCAGTGATGGTGAAATGTGATTCATACAATCCTGTCAAATGTAGGAGGAAGGGAAGAGTGAGGGAAGCAAGGCTGATGTGCCAATGGGTGATGGCATGACTTATGGGAGAAGTCACTGTGAGGCCAACAACAACAACAACAAATTACATGTGTATAGCGCCTTTCACATCGGGAGGATGTCCCGAGGGGCTGGACAATCAATGTTTCAGACCTGAGTTGGGGGTCGGGATGGGGGACGATGAAGGGCAGGGGAGGAAGGATATGTGACGGAGGGTGATCAAAGGCATGCTTGAAGAGGAGGGTCTTGAGACGGATCTTGAAGGAGGCAAGGGAGGGGACAAGGTGGAGGGACTGCGGGATAGAATTCTGGGGGAGGTGGGACAGAGTGGTTGAAGGCCCACCCGCCAATGGTGGGGCAGGCGAGCCAAGGAATAGGAAGCAGGCTGGAGCCCGCTCAGCTTGCTGGTCTGACACATAGGGGAAATCTCCAAATGCTTTTCAGAGGTAAAGTGCGAGACCACAATGGTGGCAGATAGGGTGTAGGGAAGACGTAGCTGAAGACAACTACTGAGATATGTTTTATGTGGGTTTTGCAAACCGAGAGGTAGGAATTTAATGAGAGAGTTCTACACAAGCTACTCCTTTGTAAATTAATTGCCCTGGATAAGAAGGGTGCTGAGTGGATAATAACTGGTGTCAGGGAAAATGGGATAGGTATTGCTTGGTGTGGCTTGCACGCTTCCTGTTCCTAACACAATTAAATGGCTTATTATACAATCATAGAATTATACAGCAAAGAAGGAGGCCATTCAGCCCATTGTGTCCATGCCGGCTGTTTCAAAAGAGCTATCCAAATCAACCCCACTCCCCCGCTATCTCCCCATAACCCTGCAAACTTGTCCTCCACAAATAATTATCTACTTCTCTCTTTAAAACTGTTATCGAATCGGCTTCCACCAGACCAGCCTTTCAGGCAATGCATTCCAGATCCCAACCACTCGCTGTGTGAAAACATTTCTCCTCACCTCTCCTCGGTTTCTTTTAACAACTATTTTAAATTGGAGCCCTCGGGTTACCGACCCACCCGCCAGTGGGAATAGTTTCTCCTTGTTCACCCTATCAAATCCTTTCATCATTTTGAAAGCTTCTATTAGGTCTCCTCTTAACCTTCTCTGCTCCAAGGACAATAATCCCAGCTTTTCCAGCCTCTCCTGATAACTGAAGCCCCACATTCCTGGTACCATTCTGGTCAATCTCCTTTGCACCCTCTCCAATGCCTTGACATCCTTCCTAAAGTGCGGTGCCCAGAACTGAACACAGTCTCTCGCTGAGGCCTAACCAGTGTTTTATATAAAGGTTCATCATAACTTCCTGACTTGTGTATTCTATGCCCCTCTTTATAAAGCCTAGTATCCCATATGCTTTTTTAACAGCTTTATCTGCCTGTCCTGCCACCTTCAAAGATTTAGTATATGACCCCCAGGTCTCTCTGTTCCTTCACCCCCTTTAAGATTGTACCATCAGCTGATATTGCCTCTCCTCATTCTTCCTCCCAAAATGCATAACTTCTCATTTCTCCACATTAAACTTCATCTGCCCCGTGTCTGCCCATGTTACCAGTCTGTCTATGTCCTCTTGCAGTCTGTTACTGTCCTCCTCACTGTTTACTACTTTTCCTAACAATATCATCTGCAAATCTGGAAATTGGCCTCCCTTTACCCAAGTCCAGGTCATTTACAGCAGTGGTCCCAATACTGACCCCTGGGGGACACCACTGCACTTCCCTCCAGTCTGAACAACAACCGTTCACCACCACTCTCTGCTTTCTGTCTCCCAGGCAGTTCTGTATCCGCTGCCACTGTCCCTTTAATACCGGGGGCTTCTATTTTGCCTACAAGTCTCTTATGTGGCACTTTATCAAATGCCTTTTGAAAATCCATATAAACTACATCAACTGCACTTTCTTCATCCACCCTCTCCGGTACTTCATCAAAGAAACTCAGGTTTGTTAGACATGATTAACAAATCCATGTGGGCTGTCCTTTATTAACCCATATTTTTCTAAGTAAAAATTTATTTTGACCCAGATTATCGTCTCAAGATGTTTCCCCACTACTGACGTTAGGCTGACTGGCCTGCAGTTCCCGGGTTTATCCTTCAGCCCTTTTTGTACAGAGGAATAACATTTGCAACCCTCCAGTCCTCTGGCACCACCCCGGTATCCAAGGAGGATTGAAAGATTGTGGCCAAAGCCTCCATTATTTCCACCCTTATTCCCCTCAGTAACCTAGGATTTAGGACTAGGGCTTACACTTCAGACTCTGTGGAAGACAGTTACATTTGCGTCAAGTTGTGGGCTGGATGGATTGTGGAATCAGATCAGGAAGCCAATCTTGTACAAAGAAAATTCAAACTGGTGTGCACCCAGGCTAGTCACTGGCAAATAATGACATAAGAATTTCCTAGACGAAGGAAGACTAAGGTCCATCTGGTTCATATTCCACCATCCTGGCAGTCACTTGACATGTTATGTCCCAAACTATATACTGATCCTGAGATATCATTTTCCAGCAGAAATCCATCCAATTACTTCTTGAAAGAAACAACATTTTCTGCTTCCTCTCTCTCCTGAGGGAGTCTGTTCCATAAGTTTATTACTCGCTCACTGAAGTAGTGTTTCGCAGTTTTGCTCTGAATGTAACCCCATTCAATCACAGACTGTGGTCACACAGATGATGGCATGGTACTCCGCATTGGCACATGTACTCCATGGATCACTGGTTTAGAGTGTTATTCACCATATCCACTCTGAGGCAGCAAAATAGACATTTCAGAGAGTATCTTGTGGACGTATATAAGAAGCTAAATAGGACACACAAACACAACCTTAATTTCTGAAGGACTTTAGTGACGTGGCTGTGATGGGCCTTTAGACTTTTCATGAATAGAGGAGCTATCGCTCACACAACAGAGTAGATGTGTTACAATCTGGTATTTTCATACAGTAGAGAAGCCGCCGTCTGGTGAAGTGAGTAAACACTCCCTGGAGGAAAAGAAGAGCGTTTCTGCAGTTGCCGCTGATGGTACGTTCTCTGTCCAGGGGCCATGTTGTGTATCAGGGAGATGAAATGTGATGTTTATAAGCTGTCAAATGTAGGAGGAAGAGAAGAGTGAGAGATGTCAGGACTTTCAGAGTCTGGGATCCTGGCACAGAATGTATTGGAGCAGGGATTGCTGTGATGGATTTGAGGGAGAGAGGAGGTAAGCAAGATAAATACTAAATGGATTCAACCATTAAAAACAAAATGCAAGAATATTAATAACTAATAATCCTTGCATTTGATACAGCGCCTTATCATGTCTTTGATACGTCACAAAGCACTTCACAGAATATACTGTAAAGTGAATTGACTGTATTTTGTGGGCGAAACATAGTGTTTTCTCTCAAAGTTCACTCTTATTCAAGAACTTGCACTGGTGCTGAGCAGATGCAACTGTGAAGGAAGGATTCCGTTTCTGCATTGTAAGCAGTGACGCTGTGGGTTTATTTGCATTGAGTTAACCAGAAACATAAGGTTTTAATGATTACAGTTGTGATGGATCTTTAGAAGTTTCATGAATAGAGGAGCTATCGCTCACACAACAGAGTAGATGTGTTACAATCTGGTATTTTCATACAGTAGAGAAGCCGCCGTCTGGTGAAGTGAGTAAACACTCCCTGGAGGAAAAGAAGAGCGTTTCTGCAGTTGCCGCTGATGGTATGTTCTCTGTCCAGGGGCCATGTTGTGTATCAGTGATGGTGAAATGTGATTCATACAATCCTGTCAAATGTAGGAGGAAGGGAAGTGTGAGGGAAGAAACGCTGATGTGCCAATGGGTGATGGCATGACTTAAGGGAGAAATCACCGTCAGGCCAACAACAACAACAACAAAATTACATGTGTATAGCACCTTTCACATTGGCAGGACATCCCAAGGTGCTAGACCATCAATATTTTGGACCCGAACTGGGGGTGGGGATCGGGAAGGATGGAGGCAGGGGTGGAAGGAGAGTGATCAAAGGCACAGTCAAAGGGGAGGGTCTTGAGACAGATCTTGAAGGAGACAAGAGTGGGGGGGTAAGGCGTAGGGTTTGGGGGCTGGAGTTCCAGTAGGGTGGGGGCAGACTGGCTGAAGGCCCACCACCGTTGGTGGGGTGGACAAGGCAGGGGACATGAAGCAGGCTGGAGCGCGCTCAGCTTGCAATGGTCTGACACATAAGGGAACATCTCCGAATGCTTTTCAGAGGTAAAGTGCGAGACCACATTGGTGGCAGATAGGGTGTAGGGTAGACATAGCTGAAGACAACCAAAGAGATACGTTTTATGTGGGTTTTCCAAACCGAGAGGTAGGAATTCAATGAGAGAGTTCTACACAAACTACTCCTTTGTAAATTGTTTGCCCTGGATAAGAAGGGCGCTGAGTGGATAATAACTGGTGTCAGGGAAGGAAGCCGAGGGCATGGGAAATGGGGGAGGTATTGTTTGGTGTGGCTTCCTGTTCGTAACAAAATTAACTGGCTTAGACTTCAGACTCTGTGGAAGACAGTTACATTTCTGTCAAGTTATGGGGTGAATGGACTGTGGAATCAGATCAGGAAGCCAATCTTGTACAAAGAGAACTCAAATTGGTGTGCACCCAGGCTAGTCACTGGCAAATACTGACATAAGAATTTCCTAGATGAAAGAAGGTCAAGGTCCATCTAGTTCGCTTTCCACCATCCTGGCAGTCGCTTGACATGTTATGTCCCAAACTATATACTGACCCTGAGATATCATTTTCCAGCAGAACTCTATCTAATTACTTCTTGAAACAAACAACATTTTCTGCTTCCTCTCCCGAGGGAGTCTGTTCCATAAGTTTATTACTCACTCACTGAAGTAGTATTTCGCAGTTTTGCTCTGAATTTAACACAGATGATGGCATGGTACTCCGCATTGGCACATGTACTCCATGAATCACTGGTCTGGAGTGTTATTCACCATATCCAGTGTGAGGCAGCAAAATAGACATTTCAGAGAGTATCTTGTAGACGTATATAAGAAGCTAAATGGGATACACAAACACAACCTTAATTTCTGAAGGACTTTAGTGACGTGGCTGTGATGGGCCTTTAGACTTTTCATAAATAATGGAACTATCGTTCACACAACAGAGTAGATGTGTTACAATCTGGTATTTTCATACAGTAGAGAAGCCGCCGTCTGGTGAAGTGAGTAAACACTCCCTGGAGGAAAAGAAGAGCGTTTCTGCAGTTGCCGCTGATGGTACGTTCTCTGTCCAGGGGCCATGTTGTGTATCAGGGAGATGAAATGTGATGTTTATAAGCTGTCAAATGTAGGAGGAAGAGAAGAGTGAGAGATGTCAGGACTTTCAGAGTCTGGGATCCTGGCACAGAATGTATTGGAGCAGGGATTGCTGTGATGGATTTGAGGGAGAGAGGAGGTAAGCAAGATAAATACTAAATGGATTCAAACATTAAAAACAAAAATGCAAGAATATTACTAACTAATAATCCTTACATTTGATACAGCGCCTTATCATGACTTCGAGATGTCACAAAGCACTTCACAGAATATACTGTTAAGTGAATTGACTGTATTTTGTGGGCGAAACATAGTGTTTTCTCTAAAAATACACTCTTATTCAAGAACTTGCACTGGTGCTGAGCAGATGCAATTGTGAAGGAAGGATTCCGTTTCTGCATTGTAAGCAGTGACGCTGTGGGTTTATTTGCATTGAGTTAACCAGAAACATAAGGTTTTAATGATTACGGTTGTGATGGATCTTTAGACTTTTCATGAATAGAGGAGCTATCGCTCACACAACAGAGTAGATGTGTTACAATCTGGTATTTTCATACAGTAGAGAAGCCGCCGTCTGGTGAAGTGAGTAAACACTCTCTGGAGGAAAAGAAGAGCGTTTCTGCAGTTGCCGCTGATGGTACGTTCTCTGTCCAGGGGCCATGTTGTGTATTAGTGATGGTGAAGTATGATGTTTATAAGATGCCAAATGTAGGAGGAAGAGAAGAGTGAGATATGTCAGGACTTTCAGAGTCTGGGATCCTGGCACAGAATGTATTGGAGCAGGGATTGCTGTGATGGATTTGAGGTCAAGCAGGGAGAGAGGAGGTAAGCAAGATAAATACTAAATGGATTCAAACATTAAAAACAAAATGCAAGATTATTAATAACAGTAATAATCCTTGCATTTGATTACAGCGCCTCATCACGTCTTTGATACGTCACAAAGCACTTCACAGAATATAGTGTAAAGTGAATTGACTGTATTTTGTGGGCGAAACATAGTGTTTTTTCTCAAAGTTCACTCTTATTCAAGAACTTGCACTGACGCTGAGCAAAATGCAACTGTGAAGGAAGGATTCTGTTTCTGCATTGTAAGCAGTGACACTGTGGGTTTATTTGCATTGAGATAACCAGAAACATAAGGTTTTAATGATTCCGAGTGTGATGGATCTTTAGACTTTTCATGAATAGAGGAGTTATCGCTCACACAACAGAGTAGATGTGTTACAATCTGGTATTTTCATACAGTAGAGAAGCCGCCGTCTGGTGAAGTGAGTAAACACTCCCTGGAGGAAAAGAAGAGCGTTTCTGCAATTGCCGCTGATGGTACGTTCTCTGTCCAGGGGCCATGTTGTATATCAGTGATGGTGAAATGTGATGTTTTATAAGCTGTGAATGTAGGATGAAGAGAAAAGTGAGAGCTGTCAAAAGTTTCAGAGTCTGGGATCCTGGGGCAGAACGTGTTGGAGCAGGATATGCTGCAATTTGGTTTGGAGATCAACTGGGTGAGGAAACAGGAAGAGGTAAGCAAGAACATGGTGTGATGACAACATGGTGAGGATACAGAAAAGTAGACGAGGGGAGCAGGAGAAACACTTAATAGGATGAACCTTTAGAAAGCAACATGCAAGCTTGTTTGAATAAAAATAGTCAGATCTGTGACCACCATCATAGTTTTAGAAGGGGTTAAATCTAGTCTAACAAAAGTAATAGACTTTCTGACATCCCAATTTGACAATAGGAGAAGGCAAGATATATTGTAGATACACTTCTACAAGTCCATTGATGACAACAACAACAGGTTACACTCATCTCAAACATGATGTATGTGTTTGAGATGGTTGGGAGATGGTGGTGTAGGTGGGAGGTACAACAACAGCAACAACTTGGATTTATATAGCGCCCTCCACGCCGGATGGCATCTCAGAGCCAAAGACACATTCAACAACATATGTTTTTACTGGGTTGGTAAAGCAGAGAAAAGGAGCAAATTAAGGGAATAAAGGAGTAAGTTCCACACAGAAGATATCTTTGCAAATTGATATCACTGGATAATATAATAATAATAATAATAATGGTAATAATTCTTGCATTTGATATAGCACCTTATCATGTCATTGAGACGTCTCAAAGCGCTTCACAGAATATATTGTAAAGTGAATTGACTGTATATTCTGTGGGCAAAACATGCATTTGAATGATACTCAAAATGCTATTCAATGCAGATGAAGGCATGCTACTCCACACAGGGGTCTTAGGCATGGTGATGTGTATCCGCTGGCCAGAAATAGGAGACACATGTACTCCATGGACAAAGCACATGAGTCACTGCCTGGGGTGTTGTCTCATTGCTCATCATATCCAGTGAGTCATCAATACACAATGTAAAACAGGTTACAGTGTGAAATCTGTAGATGCCCAGAAGTCACAGTGAAGTTGGACAGTACTGTGGACAGACTGCACTGAAAGTGCGACCTAGCGTTTCAATCATTCCTCTAATCTCTGGAGAGATTCTCAAGGCGAAGGGGACTGATTGCCTGGATACTGGAGACAGACAAACCTATGAGAGGAATGGCAAGATAGGTTTAGAGCTCTTCAGCTTTGAAAATAGACATTTCAGAGAGTATTTTGTTGAGTTATGCAAGAAACTAAATGGGTTGTACAAATGGAACCATCATTTCGAATAGGTTTATTGCAGGACAAGAGTTTCAGGGTGGTAAACGGCACATTTACGTTTTTCAAATTCTTTCTGACATAAAATGAAGTCAGCAGCTTGAATGGGATACAAGGAAAGATAAGAGAACCCAGGTCAATACATGCATTAAAGGAAAAGCTGTAATGCGAGGGTAGCAAGGTTAGTATTCTGTAAGATTGAGATAAAATGGAGATCGAAGGTCCTTCAGCCTGAGAAGCTCTCCTGCGATCTTTGCTCACCATATCCAATTGTGCCCTTCGCAGCTCTGAAACTCTCAGCAAAAAAAAACAAATTTGTAGTCTGGAAACCTCGAGAATGTTCCAGTCCCACTAAGCCCTGGTCCCCACCGGGCCTCATTTTAATGCATTTGGTAACATTACAGAACATTGACCCTCTAACTCATATTCAGTTACTATTCAACTCCTGATCCAAGAATGGGCACTCCATCACTACTGTAGTAGACATTCCTGGAAGAGAAGTGGCAGTGAATTAAACAATAAACAAAAGGCAAAATACTGAAGATGCTGGAAACCTGAAATAAAAACGAAAGGTCCAATGACCTGAAATGCTAACTCACTTTCCTCTCCCCATAGATGCTGCCTGACCTGTTGAGTGTTCCCAGCATTTTCATTTCAGATTTCCAGCACCTGCAGTACTTTGCCTTTTTAAACTCCATAAATCCTTACATTTACACTGAACAAGGTCCAATTTCTGTATTATTAGATATCAGCAGTTTTCACAAAAACAAGGTGAAACTTTTATTTGCATTCAGTTAGCCAGAAAGATAAAAGTTTTAGTGATTACAGTTGTGATGAGCCTTTAGACGTTTCCTAAACAGATTAAGTTGTCACTCGCAATCGAGTCAATGTGTTACAATCTGGTATTTTCATACAGTAGAGAAGCCGCCATCTGGTGAAGTCAGTAAACACTCCCTGGAGGAAAAGAAGAGCGTTTCTGCAGTTGCCGCTGATGGTACGTTCTCTGTCCAGGGGCCATGTTGTGTATTAGTGATGGTGAAGTATGATGTTTATAAGATGCCAAATGTAGGAGGAAGAGAAGAGTGAGATATGTCAGGACTTTCAGAGTCTGGGATCCTGGCACAGAGTGTATTGGAGCAGGGATTGCTGTGATGGATTTGAGGTCAAGCAGGGAGAGAGGAGGTAAGCAAGATAAATACTAAATGGATTCAACCATTAAAAACAAAATGCAAGATTATTAATAACAGTAATAATCCTTGCATTTGATACAGCGCCTCATCACGTCTTTGATACGTCACAAAGCACTTCACAGAATATACTGTAAAGTGAATTGACTGTATTTTGTGGGCGAAACATAGTGTTTTTTCTCAAAGTTCACTCTTATTCAAGAACTTGCACTGGTGCTGAGCAGATGCAACTGTGAAGGAAGGATTCCGTTTCTGGATTGTAAGCAGTGACGCTGTGGGTTTATTTGCATTGAGTTAACCAGAAACATAAGGTTTTAATGATTACGGTTGTGATGGATCTTTAGACTTTTCATGAATAGAGGAGCTATCGCTCACACAACAGAGTAGATGTGTTACAATCTGGTATTTTCATACAGTAGAGAAGCCGCCGTCTGGTGAAGTGAGTAAACACTCCCTGGAGGAAAAGAAGAGCGTTTCTGCAGTTGCCGCTGATGGTACGTTCTCTGTCCAGGAGCCATGTTGTGTATTAGTGATGGTGAAGTATGATGTATAAATGTATAAGATGCCAAAAGTAGAAGGAAGAAAAGAGTGAGAGATGTCAGGACTTTCAGAGTCTGGGATCCTGGGATAGAATACGTTGGAGCAGAATATGCTTTGGTGGGTTTTTATGTGTATACTATAGACCACCAATTAGTCGGAAGGAGATAGGCAAGTAAATCTGCAAGCAGGTTTCAGAAACATCCCAAACCAATAGAGTAGTGATAATTGGGGGACTTCAATTATCCTAACACAGACTGGCAAAATAACAGTCTAAAGGGCAAAGAGGGGGAAAGATTCCTGAAATGTGTGCAGGATAACTTTCTGGATCAGTATGTTTCCAGTCCAACAAGGAAGGGAGCAGTGCTGGATCTAGTTCTGGGGAATGAATTAGGGCAAGTGGAGAAGGTTTCAGTAATAATAATTATCCTTGCATTAGATATCTCGCTTTTCACGTCGGGAGGACGTCCCAAAGTGCTTCACAGAACACACTGTAAAGTGAATTGACTGTATATTTGTGGGCGAACGCGGCAGCCAATTGCGCACAGCAATGTCCCACAAACAGTTGTGAATTGAAGATGACCAATTTATCATTGTTTTTGTTTTTTGGAGGGATTATTATTAGGCTCTGTGTGGAGTAAGGAAACTTGCCCAAGGTTTCGCCCTCTGCCTGGAATTGAACTCAGGTCTCTCACTTGCAAAGCGGGTGCTCTAACCACTGAGCTACAGGACTCCAGTAGGAGAGCATCTGGACAACAGTGATCACAATATCATTAGGTTTAGAGTATTTATGGAAAGGATCAGGAGCAATCAAAGGTGAAGATACTCAACTGGAAGAAGGCTAATTTCAGTGAGTTACAAAGGGATCTAGCCAAGGTGGACTGGAAGGAAAGATTGGCAGGTAAAACAGCTAACGAGCAATGGGAAGCCTTCAAGAAGGAGATAGTTTGGGGACAGAACAAATATATTCCCACAAGGAGGAAAGGTAGGGCATCCAAACCTCCCTGGATGACTAAGGAAATTGGGATTAAAATAAAAGGGAAAAAGGAGGCTTATGATAAATATCAGGTCCAAAACACAGAAGACAATCAGATAGAATATAGAAAGTTCAGAGGAGAACTGAAAAAGGAAATAAGAGGTACAAAGAGATTATATGAGGAAAGATTAATGGGTAACTTAAAAGGGAACCCTAAGGTATTTTATAAGTATATGAAGGTTAGTCAAAGGTAGCCTGGGTCCAATTAGGGACCAAGAGGAAATCTTCTTGTGGAGGCAGAGGGCATCGCTGACGTACTGACTGAGGACTTTGCATCCGTCTTTCAAAACGAGAGGGTGCAGCCAATGCCCCAATATCGGGGGAGAGGAGAGAAATTGGATAAGATAAGAATAAACCAAGAGGAGGGACTGAAAAGGTTGTCGGTGCTCAAGGTAGATAAGTCACCCGGTCTGGACAGGATGCATCCTAGGTTACTGAGGGAAGTAAGGGTGGAAGTAACGGAGGCTCTGACCACAAACTTTCAATCCTCCTTGGACACCGGGGAAGGACTGGAGGGTTGCAAATGTTATTCCCCGTACAAAAAGGGGTAGAAGGATAAACCTGAGAACTACAGGCCAGTCAGCCTAACGTCAGTAGTGGGGAAACGTTTGGATAATTGGATAAGATAAGAATAAATTGAGAGGAGGGACTAAAAAGGTTGTCAGTGCTCAAGACAGATAATCCGGGACAAAATAAATTTTCACTTAGAAAAATATAGGGTTAATAAAGGACAGCCCACACGGATTTGTTAAAGGCAAATCATGTCTAACAAACTTGAGAGAGGTATTTTGATGAAGTAATGGAGAAGGTGGATGAAGGTAGTGCAATTGAAGTAGTTTATATGGGTTTGATAAAGTGCCACACAGGAGACTTCTCTCAAAATCCACTCTTATTCAAGAACCTGCACTGGTGCTGAGCAGATGAAACTGTGAAGGAAAGATTCCGTTTCTGGATTGTAAGCAGTGACGCTGTGGGTTTATTTGCATTGAGTTAACCAGAAACATAAGGTTTTAATGATTACGGTTGTGATGGATCTTTAGACGTTTCATGAATAGAGGAGCTATTGCTCTCACAACAGAGTAGATGTGTTACAATCTGGTATTTTCATACAGTAGAGAAGCCGCCGTCTGGTGAAGTGAGTAAACACTCCCTGGAGGAAAAGAAGAGCGTTTCTGCAGTTGCCGCTGATGGTACGTTCTCTGTCCAGGGGCCATGTTGTATATCAGTGATGGTGAAATGTGATTCATACAATCCTGTCAAATGTTGGAGGAAGGGAAGAGTGAGGGAAGCAAGGCTGATGTGCCAATGGGTGATGGCATGACTTATGGGAGAAATCACTGTGAGGCCAATGACAACAACAGCTTACAATGGTCTGACACATAAGGGAACATCTCTGAATGCTTTTCAGAGGTAAAGTGCGAGACCGCATTGGGTGGCAGATAGGGTGTAGGGTAGACATCGCTGAAAACAGCCAAAGAGATACGTTTTATGTGGGTTTTCCAAACCGAGAGGTAGGAATTCAATGAGAGAGTTCTACACAAACTACTCCTTTGTAAATTGTTTGCCCTGGATTAGAAGGGCGCTGAGTGGATAATAACTGGTGTCAGGGAAGGAAGCCGAGGGCATGGGAAATGGGGGAGGTATTGTTTGGTGTGGCTTCCTGTTCGTAACAAAATTAACTGGCTTAGACTTCAGAGTCTGTGGAAGACAGTTACATTTGCGTCAAGTTGTGGGGTGAATGGACTGTGGAATCAGATCAGGAAGCCAATCTTGTACAAAGAGAACTCAAATTGGTGTGCACCCAGGCTAGTCACTGGCAAATACTGACATAAGAATTTCCTAGATGAAAGAAGGTCAAGATCCATCTAGTTCGCTTTCCACCATCCTGGCAGTAGCTTGACATGTTATGTCCCAAACTATATACTGACCCTGAGATATCATTTTCCAGCAGAACTCTATCTAATTTTTTCTTGAAACAAACAACATTTTCTGCTTTCTCTCTCTCCCGAGGGAGTCTGTTCCATAAGTTTATTACTCGCTCACTGAAGTAATATTTCGCAGTTTTGCTCTGAATTTAACCCCCTTCAATCACAGATTGTGGTCAACACAGATGATGGCATGGTACTCCGCATTGGCACATGTACTCCATGGATCACTGGTTTGGAGTGTTATTCACCATATTCACTCTGAGGCAGCAAAATAGACATTTCAGAGAGTATCTTGTGGACGTATATAAGAAGCTAAATGGGATACACAAACACAACCTTAATTTCTGAAGGACTTTAGTGACGTGGCTGTGATGGGCCTTTAGACTTTTCATGAATAGAGGAGCTATCGCTTACACAACAGAGTAGATGTGTTACTATCTGGTATTTTCATACAGTAGAGAAGCCGCCATCTGGTGAAGTGAGTAAACACTCCCTGGAGGAAAAGAAGAGCGTTTCTGCAGTTGCCGCTGATGGTACGTTCTCTGTCCAGGGGCCATGTTGTGTATTAGTGATGGTGAAGTATGATGTTTATAAGATGCCAAATGTAGGAGGAAGAGAAGAGTGAGGGATGTCAGGACTTTCAGAGTCTGGGATCCTGGCACAGAGTGTATTGGAGCAGGGATTGCTGTGATGGATTTGAGGTCAAGCAGGGAGAGAGGAGGTAAGCAAGATAAATACTAAATGGATTCAACCATTAAAAACAAAATGCAAGAATATTAATAACTAATAATCCTTGCATTTGATACAGCGCCTTATCATGTCTTTGATACGTCACAAAGCACTTCACAGAATATACTGTAAAGTGAATTGACTGTATTTTGTGGGCGAAACATAGTGTTTTTTCTCAAAGTTCACTCTTATTCAAGAACTTGCACTGGTGCTGAGCAGATGCAACTGTGAAGGAAGGATTCCGTTTCTGCATTGTAAGCAGTGACGCTGTGGGTTTATTTGCATTGAGTTAACCAGAAACATAAGGTTTTAATGATTACGGTTGTGATGGATCTTTAGACTTTTCATGAATAGAGGAGCTATCGCTCACACAACAGAGTAGATGTGTTACAATCTGGTATTTTCATACAGTAGAGAAGCCGCCGTCTGGTGAAGTGAGTAAACACTCCCTGGAGGAAAAGAAGAGCGTTTCTGCAGTTGCCGCTGATGGTACGTTCTCTGTCCAGGGGCCATGTTGTATTAGTGATGGTGAAGTATGATGTATAAATGTATAAGCTGCCAAAAGTAGAAGGAAGAAAAGAGTGAGAGATGTCAGGACTTTCAGAGTCTGGGATCCTGGGATAGAATACGTTGGAGCAGAATATGCTTTGGTGGGTTTTTATGTGTATACTATAGACCACCAATTAGTCGGAAGGAGATAGACAAGTAAATCTGCAAGCAGGTTTCAGAAACATCCCAAACCATTAGAGTAGTGATAATTGGGGGACTTCAATTATCCTAACACAGACTGGCAAAATAACAGTCTAAAGGGCAAAGAGGGGGAAAGATTCCTGAAATGTGTGCAGGATAACTTTCTGGATCAGTATGTTTCCAGTCCAACAAGGAAGGGAGCAGTGCTGGATCTAGTTCTGGGGAATGAAGTTTGGCGATTGGAGAAGCTTTCAGTAGGAGAGCATCTGGACAACAGTGATCACAACACCATTAGGTTTAGAGTATTTATGGAAAGGGACGTGGAACAATTAAAAGTGAAGATACTCAACTGGATGAGGGCTAACTTCAATGAGTTAAAAAGGGACCTAGCCAAGGTGGACTGGAAGGAAAAATGGCAGGTAAAACAGCTAACGAGCAATGGGAAGCCTTCAAGGAGGAGATATTTCGGGGTAGAACAAATATATTCCCACAAAGAGGAAAGGTAGGGCATCCAAACCTCCCTGGATGACTAAGGAAATTGGGATTAAAATAAAAAGGAAAAAGGAGGCTTATGATAAATGTCAGGTCCAAAATACAGAAGACAATCAAATAGTATATAGAAAGTTCAGAGGAGAACTGAAAATGGAAAAAAGAGATCCAAAGAGATCGTATGAGAAAAGATTAGCGGGTAACATAAAAGGGAACCCTAAGGTATTTTATAGGTATATAAAGAATAAAAGATTAGTCAAATGTAGGGTGGGTCCAATTAGGGATCAAAGAGGAAATCATCTTGTGGAGGCAGAGGGCACGGCTGACGTACTGGAAGAGTACGTTGCATCCGTCTTCACAAAACGATGCCCCAATATCGGGGGAGAGGAGAGAAATTGGATAAGATAAGAATAAACCAAGAGGAGGGACTGAAAAGGTTGTCGGTGCTCAAGGTAGATAAGTCACCCGGTCCGGGCGTGATGCATCCTAGGTTACTGAGGGAAGTAACTAGTGCACTGGTGCTGAGTAGATGCAACTGTGAAGGAAGGATTCCGTTTCTGCATTGTAAGCAGTGACACTGTGGGTTTATTTGCATTGAGTTAACCAGAAACATAAGGTTTTAATGATTATAGTTGTGATGGATCTTTAGACTTTTCATGAATAGAGGAGCTATCGCTCACACAACAGAGTAGATGTGTTACAATCTGGTATTTTCATACAGTAGAGAAGCCGCCATCTGGTGAAGTGAGTAAACACTCCCTGGAGGAAAAGAAAAGCGTTTCTGCAGTTGCCGCTGATGGTACGTTCTCTGTCCAGGAGCCATGTTGTATATCAGTGATGGTGAAATGTGATTCATACAATCCTGTCAAATGTAGGAGGAAGGGAAGAGGGAGGGAAGCAAGGCTGATGTGCCAATGGGTGATGGCATGACTTATGGGAGAAATCACCTTGAGGCCAATAACATCAACAGCTTACATTGTTTTGACACATAAGGGAACATCTCCAAGTGCTTTTCAGAGGTAAAATGCGAGACCGCATTGGGTGGCAGATAGGGTGTAGGGTAGACATAGCTGAAAACAGCCAAAGAGATACATTTTATGTGAGTTTTCCAAACCGAGAGGTAGGAATTCAATGAGAGAGTTCTACACAAGCTACTCCTTTGTAAATTGATTGACCTGGATTAGAAGGGCGCTGAGTGGATAATAACTGGTGTCAGGGAAGGAAGCCGAGGGCATGGGAAATGGGGCAGACTCTGTGGAGGACAATGACATTTGCATCAAGTTGTGGGGTGGATGGACTGTGGAATCAGATCAGGAAGCAAATTTTGTACAAAGAGAACTCAAACTGGTGTGCACCCAGGCTAGTCACTGGCAAGTGATGGCATAAGAATTTCCTAGACGAAAGAAGGTCAAGGTCCCTCTGCCTTCGTCCTCCTGGATCTCTTCGCCACGTTCGACACAGTCAACTATGTCATCCTCTTCCACCACCTCTCCACCCTTATCCACCTTAGTGGGATCGCACTCGCATGGTTCGAGTCCTATTTAACCAACTGCCTCCACTTCATCTTGACAAATGGTATCTCTTCCAGCCCCTACCCGGTTACATGTGGGGTACCCCAAGGCTCCTTCATTTCCTCATCTACATGCTCCCTCTTCGCGATGTCATCCGCAGACACGGGTAAACTTCCACATATATGTGGAAGACACACAAATATGCTTTGCCTCTTCCAGTTGCGACTCCAGGTCCACTGTTGTGCTATCAGCTTGTCTGGCAGATATCAGGACCTGAATGAGTGCAAACTTCCTGCACCTGAATGTGGACAAGCCAGAAGCCATACTGCTTGGCTCCTGTCAACGTCTTCACTCCTGTGGATCTGACCTCCTAAACTTCGCCAGCCTCTCTGTCAGACTCATCATACCAGTGACCAATCTTGGCATCTAGTTAGACCACCAAGGGGACCTTCCTTCGCCACATCTGGTCCCTGACCAGGACCTCCTTCCTCCACCTCCGCCACAGTGCCTGTCTCCGACCGTACCTTACCCCAAATGCAGCTAAAACCCTTGTGCATGCATTTGTCACCTCCCACCTGGATTACTCAGGCACACTCTTTGCTGGTCTCTCCAGCTCCACTATTCAAAATATCCAGCTCATCGAGAACTCTGTCGCCCCCCCCGTCTCACCCGGGCCATCTCACCCCCATCTCATCAGTTCTGGCTCAAGCTCCACTAGATCCCCATCACCGAACTTCAAGATCCTCACTCTCATTTTCAAATCCTTTCACTCCCTGGCACCTCCCGACCTCTCCGACCTCCGCACTCCCCAATCTACCACCCAGCACCTCTGCTCGTCTGGCACCGGCCGCACATTTGTCCGTACGCCCTCCTCGGCTCCACCGTTAGAGGTCACTCATTCTGCCGCTATGCCCCGAAACTCTGGAATACTCTCCCTTAATCCTTCTGCCTTGCCCCCTTCTCTCCCCCTTTTCAAGACCCGCCTGAAAACCTTCCTTTTCGACCGTGCTTAAGGTCACCTTCCCCCCCCCCCCCCCACATCCACTCCCCGGCTCGGAGTCAGGCTCCGCCACTGCTAAGCGCTCTGAGATGCTACTCTGCATGGAGGGCGCTATATAAGTGCAAGTTGTTGTTGTAGTAATCCTTGCATTTGTTTACAGCGCCTTTCACGTCAGGAGGATGTCCCAAAGCACTTCACAGGATTTACTATGAAGTGGAGTGACTGTGTATTTGTGGGCAAATGCGCCGGGCAACTTGCGACCAGCAAGCGATGTGACGCGATTGTTATGGGCCTTTAGATGTTTCATAACAAGATATAGTTATCGCTCACACAGATGTGTTACAATCTGGTATTTTCATACAGTAGAAAAGCCGCCATCCGGGGAACCGAGTAAACACTCCCTGGAGGTAAAGAAGAGCGTTTCTGCAGTTGCCGCTGATGGTACGTTCTCTGTCCGGGGACCTTGTTCTGTGTCGATGAGGTGAAACGTAGATCTTAAAAATCTGTCAAAGGTTGGAGTAAGGGAAGAGTGAGGGATGTTAGGAGCTTCAGAGTCTTGTGATCCTTCAACACAATGTGGGAAGTGACAAACGCATGCACGAGAGTTCCGGCTGCATTTGGGATAAGGCAGGAAACTGTGTGGAATGTTTGGATGTCAGCTCAGTGAGGACATAACAAAGAGGAGGAGGGCATTTGGCAAAAAAGTAGAATCAACCAAGAGAGGCAAAATATAAGATTATTTGCATATAAATAGCTTAATCTATTGCACCTCTCATAGTTTTAGTCGGCGTCAATCTTGACTGACAAACGTAATTCACTTTTTTAGGAGATGACATCCCAATGTGACAATGAGAGATGGCCTCACTGTCAGTGTCTACATATTGTAGATACACTTTTGTGAGGCCATTGACTAAAGCAACAGTTTGAACTAATGTCGCATCTTTCACATAAGAGAACATCTCAAAAGACTCTGTACCAGCTGGATGGGAGCTTTGGGTAAAGCTGTGAGATAGTCAAAGACATATTCAGAGAAATGTTATTAAGTGGGGATTGAAAGCAGCGAGGGAAGGAACGAGGCAGAGGAATTTAAGGAGAGATCTCCACACAAGACACTTGGGATGGGGGATATTGAAAGATGTGCAGAGCTGCTAGTTGACTTACTGCTCTTCAAATACAGGCAGCAATAAGCAAGACAGAAAGGCAGCTGGCTTACACTGATCAATCAGAGAGTTCATGTTCTCAGAAGTCTTGGTCAAATTGGTGCACTTCCAGCAATTCTGTTTGCCATGACCCAAAGGCCTGTCTGTACAACCAGAGACGGTATCAAGAAGGACATAGGAACAGGAGTAGGCCATTCAGCCCCTTGAGCCTGTTCCACCATTCTATTAGATCATGGCTGAACTGTACCTCAAGTCCAATTTGCCTTTGCCCCATATCCCATGTGGGCAATAAGATAATCCAGATAAGGGCCTTACATAAGGGCAATAAGATAATCAACCTCTTGTGGGGAAAGGCATGATAGGCCGGGGGTAATTAAGGTTTGAAAAGAAACATTTCAAAGAATACCTTGAAAGGGCACAAAAGCTGCTGAATTGGATAGAGAAGGAGAACCACTATTTCTCTAAAGCCTTCAGCACCTTGTTACAGTTGGAGTGTCACTTCCCTGTGTCACGGTACTCGTATCTCTGGGTGAGCACTAGATGTACCTTCCAGGTGCGCTCTGAAAGGAGCGATTCTTCTCTCCTCATTTTATGTTGAAGATACGTGCCCGGTCAGAGTCTCACAAATTACACCAAAATCTTGGCAATTGAAAAAATATTCCTCATTTATTCAAACCCACGAGCTTCAATATATATATGTGTATATATCTTTCCGCATTCAGAACATTCAATGCAAAAATAAACATAATTCTTATATAACACATTAATAATATATCGATATAACTTTAACAAGGCACAATATCCCATACTCTATAAGATATCTAATCACTCAGCCTCAACACTTGGACCACCAGGGATAAACAAATAGAACAGCCTTACCCCAAATTCACATCTCCTCAAAGTTCCTGAGATTCAGTGTTTTTATAATTAGTAAAATGTTAGAGACAAGTGTTAGTTAAAACTCCAAATCTCAACAACTCCCATAACTCCACTCCCTCTCTTTTATACCCCTAATGTGCCCATGTGACTTTTTATCAGTTCTCGGTAGTAGTTTGACAATTTGAAAACATAAAACTCATTAACTCAACTATGGTTCAGACTAAAATATTCCGACAGGGACCATAAAACCCATTAACTCACAAAATCTAACAAAAAAGCCATAAACTGAAAGCACTTAACCAACATTTTTACACCTTAAGAAAGATAAACAGATTGATATCTCAATCTAACAAATTTAACAGTGGCTCCGAACACCTGTGACCACTCTCATTGAACCCAAATAGTCACCCTATCTCCCTTTACTACCTCACACCTCACTCGTTTAAGTCCCGGGCACCCGTTACAAGCAAAATACCATCTGAAAAGGATCCAATTTCTTAAATATAACTATTTTTTAAAAAAGAAGATGAAAGTTTTACTTGTGTTCACCTAGCCAGAAACATAATGTTTTAGTGATTACAGTTGTGACAGCCTTTAGACGTTTCCTAAACAGATGAAGTTGTCGCTCTCGCAATCGAGTAGATGTGTTACAATCTGGTATTTTCATACAGTAGAGAAGCCGCCGTCTGGTGAAGTGAGTAAACACTCCCTGGAGCTAAAGAAGAGCGTTTCTGCAGTTGCCGCTGATGGTATGTTCTCTGTCCAGGGGCCATGTTGTATATCAGTGATGGTGAAATGTGGTTTAAAAAACCTGCCAATCCTGCCTCTCGTAGGAGGACGAGAAGAGTGATGATTGAAGGAGTTTGAGAGTCTTGAGTCTATGCACAGAGTATGGTGTGATGAGTTTTGTGGGCCACACAGGGCAGAGAAGAAACCTTCAAGAGTTGAAGAAAAACTAAGAGATTCAGCCATTAATAATCATAACAATAATAATAACTAAATAGTAATCCTTGTATTTGGTGCAGCGCCTTTCACATTGGGAGGATGTCCTGAAGTGCTTCATGGGATTTATTGTGAAGTGGAGCAACTGTGTATTTGGGGGCAGACGCAGCAGCCAATTTGGGCACAGTAATAATAATATAATAATAATAATAATCCTTGCATTTGATATAGCGTTTTTCACGTCGGGAGGACGTCCCAAAGCGCTTCACAGAACATACTGTAAAGTGAATTGACTGTATATTTGTGGGCGAACGCGGCAGCCAATTGCGCACAGCAATGTCTCACAAACAGTCGTAGATTGAAAATGACCCAATTTTTTTTTTATTATTGTTTTTGGGTTTTTTTGGAGGGATTATTATTATCTTGTTGATACTCGTCAACAAGGTGATGTCTTGTAATCCAGTAATTCCAGTAATCTGGAAGCCAAATACAAGATTAATTGCATAGAATGGCATAGAACAACAACAACAAGATTGCATTTATAGAGCGCCTTTCACGTCGGGAGGATGTCCCAAGGCGCTGAAATAGAATCCCAAGGCGGTGCCATAGAATGACACAGCAGGGAGATAGGGTCACAGGGAAGGATAGGAGAAGCCGGGTCAATGGACACATCAGAGAAATAGGGAAGTGGTCAGGTTGGTGTTGGGTAAGGTTGAGATCACATCAGCCTCAGGTTCTTCTTGTGAAACTCTCTTGCGAACATTGTGTAAAACAACACATTTGTAGTTTGGAAGCATCAGGGACTGTTTCTGTTCCTCGCCAAACCCAGGGTCTCCACCAGGCCGCATGTTTAGCACATTTGGTGAAATTTTCTCGGTACTCAGAAACAGCAACATTTAGACAGCAGAGTTGGCCACAACCAACACTTAAAATGGAGTGTCTCCGGCCAATATTCACTCTTTGCTCAATGAGCACTCAGTACGAACACCATACACCCACAATGAAAAAGAATCGTATTTCTGCAGTATTAGACATTAACTGAGTTAACAAAACTAACGATTTATTTGTATTCAGTTAGCCAGAAATGCAGGTATTATAGCTATTGTAGGCCTTTAGACTTTTTTCGTAAACAGATTAAGTTGTCGCTCACACAACAGAGTAGATGTGTTACAATCTGGTATTTTCATACAGTAGAGAAGCCGCCGTCTGGTGAAGTGAGTAAACACTCCCTGGAGGAAAAGAAGAGCGTTTCTGCAGTTGCCGCTGATGGTACGTTCTCTGTATAGGCAATATATTCTGTATCGGTGAGGTGAAATGTGCTTTTTAAGAACCTGCCAAATGTAGGAGGAAGAGAAGAGTGAGGGATGGAAGAAGTTTCAGATTCTTGGGCTCCTGTCTGGGAGAGGATATTGTGTGATGGGTTTTGATGCTGATGCAGAGAGGAGGAGGGGGAAACTGGAGAAAAACAAGAGTGTCAACCATTAGAAGCTAAATGCAAGATTACTTGGAAAGAATTACATTGAATGACACAGCAGGGAAACTGGCCAATTGGCTCAACTCGTTCTTAGCGTTGCTTATACTCCCGTGAGTCCCCATCTCGCCTGTTCTACGTCACATTAAACAACAGATTTGGAATTTGGCAGCATCCAGACTGTTTCCATATCCACCAAATCTGGGGTCTCCACCAAACTTCGCATCTAATGCATTTACAATACCATTGACAGGACTTATACACAGTAGCACCTCTCACTTAGTGAGAGTACAGAATGTTTTCCCTCTAATCAAAAACAGCAAATAATAATAATAATCCTTGCATTTGATATAGCGCTTTTCACGTCGGGAGGACGTCCCAAAGCGCTTCACAGAACACACTGTAAAGTGAATGGACTGTATATTTGTGGGCAAACGCGGCAGCCAATTGCGCACAGCAATGTCCCACAAACAGTCGTAGATTGAAAATGACCAATTTATTATTGTTTTGGTTTTGGAGGGATTATTATTAGGCTCTGTGTGGAGTAAGGAAACTTGCCCAAGGTTTCGCCCTCTGCCTGGAATTGAACTCAGGTCTCTCACTTGCAAAGCGAGTGCTCTAACCACTGAGCTACAGGACTCCACACAAATACATTTAGAGGATAGTGTCAGCAGTGTAACTAAAACATCTCCTCCCAATACTTACAACATCAACAACAAATTACGTTTACGCAGTGCCTTGCACATCAGGAGGACGTCCCAAGGCACTGCCCAGTCAGGGATTTGGACCCGAGCTGGTGGTTGGGATCAGGAGGGGTTGAGGACAGGGAGGGTAGGAGGGTGGCCGAAGTTGTGTTCAAAGCGAAGACTCTTGAGACATGCCTTGAAGGAGGCAAGGGAGGGAGCAAGGCAAAGGGATGGTGGGCTGAAGTTTCAAAGGCTGAAGGCCTGACTGCCGATGGTGGGCTGGGCCAGGCGGGCGATGTGGAGCAGGCTGCTGAGCGGAGGGGTTAGCATTCAGGATCAAACCTTGGGCACTCAGTATCAGCAAGATACATTCCCACTGAAAAAGATCCAGTTTGTGCTCTGTTAAATACTGGCTGTATCCAGCTACCCTCGCAACCAGTTCCATTCAACCGGCCTTCTCTCTTTCATGTGGCATTTTTATCCATCCTTGAAAGGCTTGATCCTCGCTTCTTAGGCATCTTTATCCCTTGAGATTAAGAAAATATGCCATTGAACTTGTTAGCATCCCTTGATCACATATTTGCACACATATCCTTTTGGGAGGACTTCTGTGGGAGCACTCCTATTGGAAGGGCTCCTTTTGGGAGGACTCCTGTTGGACTCCATACATGTGTGATGAACTTGTTTAGGTCACAATAGGTGATCCTGGAAAAAAACTATGCCCATGACACTTCCCCATAAGTTTTCGATGCGGTATAAATCAGGTCTCTACATCAATCAGTTATTGCGTTCTTAGCAGACAGACAGACACACAGACATTTTGTCTTTATTAGTATAGATACGCAGTTTTAACGAAAACAAACTTGAAAGATTTATCTGTGTGCTGTTAGGTAGAAACATAGGATATTAATGATTATTGTTGTGACGGGCCTCTAAACATTTAAATAGTTGAGTTATCGTTCACTCAATCGAGTAGAATTGTTACAATCTCGAATTTTCATACAGAAGAGAAATTGCCATCTGGTGAAGCGAGTAAACACTCCATGGAGGTAAAGAAGAGTGTTTCTGCAGTTGCCGTTGATGGTATGTTTTTGGTCCAGCAACCAAATTCTGTGTCGGTGAGATGAAATGTGAATATTAAAAATGTAGACAGAAGGGAAGAGTATAGGATGAAAGGAGTTTCAGAGTCTTGAGATTCTGGGACAGAATATGTAGCAGCAAGTTATGAGGTAAAAGGCTTTGATGTCAACACATCAACTCATCAGATGCAGGGAGAACGAGGTGGAGAGCATGCAGAAAACTAATAGAATCAAGATTATTTGCATGAAAATAGCCTCATAAGTGACAACCATCACAGTTGTCTAACAATGCTTATGGAGTTTTTTTTGAGTAAGGTGAAATCCCAATCTGACCATGACTACCACAAGATATATCACAGGGATGTGGGACTTCAGTTATGTGGGCTAGAGAGTTTGGGATTGGGAATGATGAGGGTTTTGATAGAGTAAAAAAGGAGAAACTGTTTCCATGGCTGGTGGGTGGGTCGGTAACCAGAGGACACAGATTTAAGATAATTCGCAAATGAACCCAAGGGGAGATGAGGAGAATTTTTTTTTCATGCAGCGAGTTGTGACAATCTCATATTTTCATACAGTAGAGAAACCGTCGTCTAGTGAAGTGAGTAAACACTCCCTGGAGGTAAAGAAGAGCTCTTCTACAGTTGCCACTGATGGTACGTTCTCTATCCAGGCAATATATTCTGTAACAGTGAGGTGACGTTGGTTTTTTAAATGTAGGAGGAAGGGACAAGTGTCGGATGAAAGGAGTTTCAGGGTCTTGGCATTTGGGACAGAATGTGTAAGAGCAGGATGGTGTGAAGAGGCTTGATGTAATAATAATAATAATCCTTGCACTTGATATAGTGCCTTATCACTGCCTTCTGCCACCCCTCTGGAACTCCATTCTACAGTCTCCCTGCCTCGCTCCCTCCCTCGCCACCTTCAAGACACATCTCAAGACCCTTCTCTTCGACCGTGCTAATAATAATAAATCTTGCAATTGAAGAGTATGATAACAACCGCCTTCTCTTTGACCGTGCCTTCAGCTCCCCTCTCGACTCTCTACCCCCTCCTCGCTCCCTCCCTTCCCCCCCCTCACCCTGACCATTTCCTCCCCAATGCTCGGGTCCCGACCCAACTGTCCAGCGCCTTGGGACGTCCTCCCGACGTGAAAGGCGCTCTATAAATGGAATCTTGTTGTTGTTGTATGTTTAGGTTACTACAATTTTCTTTCACCAGAGGCTAATGAACATTTTGAATGGGTTACAGGGGAAAAATAGTAGAAGCCAGAACATTGTGCACATTGAAGAGACGTGTTGAAATCCAATGGGCAGAACCTGCGAACTTCTCTCTTGTGAAAATCATGTAGTACAACTGTTGTGGCGTTTGGGAGTTTCAAGAGAGTTGCTGTACTCCATCACACCCTGGGACTCCCACCGAGCCTCGGGACTCCTGCCAAACCTCAAGTTCAATTCATTCAGTGGTGTTAGAACACGTTTTCCCTCAATTCCCCAAAATTCGAATGCATTCAAGAGGGTAAAGTTTCCCCGGGAGCAAACAATACACAGTAAAATATGGAGTGTGGCTTCTCAATATTCATGTATTGATCAAATCCGGATTAATTAATTAATTGCCCAATAATTAATTAATGGGCAAGGTGCGACTTCATTGAAAACGATTCATTGGTGTATCAATGCATTTGAGCAACTTAAACAAAAAAAACGGACGGGATAGTTTGATACAGCCAGAATCGAAAGTCTTTGGCGATATAAGTGTGAAGCGTCTTTTCAGGTAAGTTGTGGCTCACAAAGTTGAGTCGATGTGTTACAATCTGGTGTTTTCATATAGTAGAGAAGCCGCCGTCTGGTAAAGTGAGTAAACACTCCCTAGAGGAAAAGAAGAGCGTTTCTGCAGTTGCTGCTGATGGTATGTTCTCTGTCCAGGGGCCATGTTGCGTATCAGTGATGGTGAAATGTTGTTTGTACAATTCTGTTGAATGTAGGAGGAAGGGAAGAGTGAGGGATGTAAGGAGTTTCAGAGTCTTGTCCTCCTGGGATAGAATGTGTCAGAGCAGGATATGGTGCCATGGGCTTGGATATCAACACAACGAGGGTGCGGGGAGGAGAAGAAGGGAAACTGATAGATTCAAATTAGAAACAAAATGAAAGATTATATGAATGAAAATAGTCTAATAAATGACAACCTCGAGGCTTTAGAAGGTGTGGTAAAAGAGATTCCTTTACCAATTGATATCTTCAGATAACAAAGGTAAGATATTGGATGGTCGAAATTCTAGTAATGTAGAGGGTAAATAATTGAATGAAGCTGTCATCGTGGTTGGAGTACGGATTTCTTGATCTCAGGAACCAGAATTTTAGTTCCCAGTGATCTAAAGGATTTTAAATGTCTGTCTGTTGTCGAATCTGAAGGAAATGTCAATTCTAAGTTGACATGCGAAGGAACATTCAGCAGGGAGTCACTTGAGGTAGTTTTTATTCCAGGGTATCCACAACATCTCTTGGCAATTCATTCAGTGACCAAGACAAGGATGCAAAGCAGATCGTTTCTGTTGAGGGTATGTTTCCTGTACAGGCATTAACTTGTGTCCTGTCGGCAGTGTCACATCCTAGTTGTCCAGTTCCCCACAGATCCCATCCCAGCATTGGAAAGTGGCAAAATGATGCCATTATTCAAGAAAGAAGGAACTCTTCCTGTACAGGCCTTCATAGTAACTACAGGCCAAAGAATTTAACATAATTGGTGGGAAACCACAAGAATCCATCATCCATCACCGTCCATCATAGGACAGAGTAACTGAGCACTTTTTCACCAGTTGAAACTGAGATGCAGTTGCTTTTTCTTTGGAAAGGTAGGTCTTACATGAATTATCTGAGAGAGATCTAGTCCAGAAGCACAGATGTGGTAAAGGGAATAGATGGATGCCATCTAGATAGATGTTCAGAAGACATTTTCTAAGGTTCTACATTGAACCTGGAAGTGGTTCTCTTTACAACTGGCCAACCCCCAAGGAGCATTGCTCAGCCTTCAGTTTTCTAGCTGTGATGGAGCTTCAGAGAGCTGAGGAGAATGGCTGAAGGGTCACTGGCCAGTTGATAGGCAGACCAGGTGGAGGACATGAAGCAGATTGAGCAGAGGACTGGCAGGGCAGATGGATTGCAGCAGCAGGCCACAGAGGTTGGGTGGGGTGAAGCCGTGGAGGGATTTGAACACAAGAACAAGTTCGTGAACTTGATCCACTGAGGGTTGGGGAGCCAGTGGAGCCAAGTGAGGATGGAGTGATAGGCTCTTGGAAGCTGGTGTGGGAGAGGACAAGCTGCAGAGTTCTGGATGCTCAACAGCTCCAGCTCACGAGGGGAAGAGACTGGGAGTTTGACAAGCATGGTATTTGAATTGATGAGCAAGCTCTACATACCTACTCTTTCCATGCTGCAGACCAGGGTGATCCAACTGGTGTCCCAGGGAACATAAACTTATTGCCTTTTTGAGACACGGCTGTTTAGCATTTTCACAAGTTTTGTCCAGCTCTCCATTCACAAGAACACAAGGACATCAGAATTTGTTGGTGAAAGAAGACAAAGGTCCATCTAGTTCGCCTTCCACCATCCTGGCAGCCACTTGACATGTCATGTACTAAAATGTACGCTGAATCCCCAGGTCTTATTTTCAAGCAGAAATCTATCTAATTTGTTCTTGAAGCAAACAACACTTTCTGCTTCCGCCATCTCCTCAGGGAGCCTGTTCCATACATTTACTACTCGCTCACTGAAGAAGTAGAATCGCAGATTCCTTTTGATTGGTAAGTTGTGAATAACCCTGACCGTCTTGAGTTGACCTACAGTTCTGACTTTTGACTAATTCTCCTGACTCGCCTATTTTCTGGTGTTTTCTATCTTTTAGCAATATAGGTGCAACAGGTGCAGTATTGCTGGACACATTCCATTCCTCATCAAAATATCATGTGGTTGATTACATTTATTCACAACTGGTGATAGTGGAGAGCTCACACTATTAAGTAGAGTTGTTACAGCTTGTTATTCTCATACAGTAGAGAAACTGCCGTCTGGTGAAGCGAGCAAACACTCCCTGGATGTAAAGAGTGTTTCTGTAGTTTCTGTTGATGGTACGGTCTCGGTACAGGGGCCATGTTGTGCATCAGTGAAATGTAGATTTAAAATACCTGTCAAATGTTAGAGGAAGGAAAGAGTGAGTGATGCAAGGAATCTTGGGATCCTGGGACAGGATGTGTTAGAGCAGGATGTGGTGTGACAGTGGGAAAACTTGCCGGACAGCAATATCAATGCCAAGCTATGCGGTTTTAGCTGCTTAAACCCCAGCAGTTTGGCCAACACAGACTCTGGGGTCCCCAACCCTTGGCTCTTGCCAACCTGTGCCTAATATTTTCCGGAATTTGGTAAATTAGATGAGCGGGATGTGTTCCTCAGGGAGAGAGAGCGATTCCATTCCAACAATCTATCTCTGGGATTTCCATGGGTAGGTGGGACGCATGGAATTCTCAGCTTGGTTTGGAGACTCTTAAGCACGGGGATGGATTTCCACATGTGCCAGACACCCGGCTGAGCAAAAAAAAATGTGGTGTGATGGGTTTTGATGTGAACACAGTGAGGGCACAGGGAGAAGGAGGAAAAACAGTGAGCAAGAGAAAAACTAAGAGAATCAATCGTTAGAAGAAAAATACAAGATTTCTTACACAAAAACTGCCTCTTCATATCAACCAGCTTGGAAGGGATGGATATGTCTGAGAAAGCAAATAAACAATTTTGAAGAGGTAGGATTCCAAGCTGACAACGGGAAAATGCATGACGTAAGGGAGCTACATTGACATATTGATTTAACTGAACAACAAGAGTAAAACGTGGGATATATTTATAACCATTGAAAAGATAAGGACGCTGAGAGCAGTCCTAAGGAGAGCCAGGTTAAAATGAAAGAGATATTAGGGTTCTCTTGCCAATAATCATTGGTTGATCAATGCCTGATTAAAGATGAGTGCTTGGTATGAACAAGGTATGATCCTGGAAAGGATCTAATTAGTGCATTAGTGATATAAGCAGTTTAACAAACACAAAGTAATGGTTCTGTGACACGTCTGGGTGGACTTTGCATCGGTGGATTTACCGTTGCTCACATGTTCGAATACATTTATTACAATCAGTCCTTTTGTTACAATGAACAAGTTGGTGTCTGGTGAACGGAGCGAGCGCTCGCTGGCCGACTTCCAAACTCTTACTCAAAATTGTCAATACATTTGAAGGGAAGAAGTGCTTCAGAAAACAACCGTGTAAATGGGAGTGTCTCCTATCAATATTCTGGTTAAAGAATAGGCACTTGGTATAAGCGAGTTATACATTTGGACTGAAAAAGATCCAACTGCTATATTTCATTAGTAGATACACGCACGTTTAACAATTACAAAAAGGACAGAAACACAGGCCTTTGGTGTATAGGCCTTTGTCCTTTTTGTAAGTAGATGAGTTATCACTCTCACAATCAAATAGATTTGTTGCAATCTCATATTTTTGTACAGGACAGAAGTTGATGCCTGATGAAGTGGGTAAACGTATCCAGGATATAAAGAAGAGCGCTTCATTAATTGCCTTTGATGGTACGTTCTCTGTACAGGGACCATTCGGTGACAGGGTCTGTGTCGGTGAGGTGAAATGTGTTTTTTTTTACAAAAACTGTCAAATGTAAGAGGAAGGGAAGAGTAAACAAGAGGACCTGGGTCTGATTCCCAGGCAGGGCGAAACTTAAGGCAAATTTCCTTACTCCACACACCAATGTTTACCTAGCAGTAACAAGGAAACCAGTTGTTAGTCGATTGGCGGATCGCTTTCCAGGGGTAATAATCACTCAATCATTCAATCCGTGACTGTCTGTGGGGACGCTGCTGTACGCAAATGGCTGCGACGTTTCACTCACGAAATATACAGTCAATTCACTTTACAGATTGTCCTGCAAAGCTCTTTGAGACGTCTCAAATGCAAGCATCATCATTATAAGAATTAACAGACAATCATTAGAACCAAGATGCAAGGAGACTTGTATGAAAATAAATTACACTCTAATCAGCTTGGGAAGTGGGAGATCTTGTTTGACAAACTCGTGTTTTATTGAGGATGGAGGTTACATCACAATTTAAATCACAATTTAACAATGGGAGACCATATAACGTAGTGAGCAGATTTGACGACGTACCACTGGAGAGACTCAGGTACAAATTGACATCTTTAAATAGTAAGGGAAGAGATTGTGTGGATTAGCAAGCGGCTAAAAGTAGGAACAAAAGAAACACTGAGAGCTAGGTTGAAATGGAAGGGTGGTAGAGACCAGGACACTGGACTCATTTAAGAAGCAGCTTGCTAAGTGATGGGAGGACATCACATCCGAAGGATGAGATCAGATGAGTTGAACTTCATCCGAAGTCGAACTAATCTTGTGAGTTATTGAGTGGTACATCCCACAGTCCCACAGAACTATTTGTTTTGAGACCTTTTGTGATGTGGCTGCGATAATTCTCTAGACTTTTCATAAATAGATGTGGTATCTATCGCTCACACGATTGAGCAGATTTGTTACAATCTGGTATTTTCATACAGTGAAGAAGATACCGTCTAGTAAATTGAGTACAAGTTTGCCGGATGTAAAGAAGAATATTTCGAAAGGTTCCTTGATTGGTACGTTCTCTCTCCTGTGACCATATTCTATTTCAGTGATGCCAGCCATGGTTTCTAAACACGTTAAATGTAGGATGAAAGGAAGAATGAGGAAGTTAAGCAGTTTCAGATTATTGGGATGCTGGGACAGATTGTTATACAGGATATGGTGTGATGGGTTTTGATATCAACAAGCAACAGTAACAACAACAAATTACATCTGTAGAGCACCTTTCACAATGGGAGGACGTCCCAAGACAGTCATGGATTTGCACCCGAGCTGAGGTTGGGATCAGGAGGAATGGTGGGCGCGGTTGAAGAGGAAGGTCTTGATACAAGCCTTGAAGGAGCCAAGGGAGGGGGCAAAGCGAAGGGACTGTGGGATGGAGTTCCAAAGGGTGGGGGGGCAGAGAGGCTGAAGGCCAGACCACCGATGGTGGGGAGAGCAGCTCGAGGGCTATGCTGAGTGGAGGGAGTGGACGGGTCGATATGGAGGAGGAAAAAAAAACGAAGGCAATCAACCATTAGAAACAAAATGCAAGACTTGCATACAAACAGCCCAATAAATGGCAAATATAACAGCTTGGTAGACTGGTCTGAGAAAACAACTAGACTTTTTTGAGATGGGAGTATTCCAAGTTGACAATGGGAGATCACTTGATAATAGCACAGCTAAACTCGTGACAAAGCAGCACAGGATACAGCAATAGGGGAAGATATTGAATGTCTCCTACCAATATTCCCCGATTAAATGTCTGATTAAAGAATGGGCACTCGGTATGAACAAGTTACGTCTGCCCTGGAAAGGATTCAATTAGAAATTCAAGCAATTTAACAAAAAAAACAAAAGCGATCTTTCTGGAAGGACTTTTGGTAAATGGGTGAGGTATTACTCAGCCATTGGGGTAGGTTTGTTACAATAGACCATTTTCATACAATAAAAAAATCCTGCTAAAAAATTAAAAACTGGTATCTCTGGGTGTCACACGATGTGGTGCCTCATGTTCCTGCTTATTGCAATTGCAGATGTCACCAAGCTATTGGGAAGGAGACATCCCAACCCACAGCTCAGGTGCAGACCCTTTATTTGTCCAGCGCCTTGGGACGTCCTCCCAATGTGAAAGGCGCTATATCAATGCAGTTTGTTGTTGCTGTTGGTGCTGGTGGTAGTAGTGAGGTGAAACAGGGATTTTAAATGTAGAAGGAAGGGAAAAGTGAAGGTGATAAAGAGCATCGTATCTTGGGCGCCTCGGAAAGAACGTGTTAAAGAGTTGGATGTAGAGGGATAGCAGGAGGAAAAGTAATGGAAAGAATCAAAGGAAGCAAAATGCAAGGAAAAAACATATATGAAAATAAATGACACCCAAAACAGGTTCAGGAGAGGGCGATCTTGTCTGATAAACCATATAGATTTATTTGAGGTCACATAAAAGGAGCCAAAATGATATAGTGATCCAGATTTGCACAAAGTACATTACAAGGCGCAAAGTGCTATTGACAAAGTACCATTCAACACTCCTTTTCAAAATCAATGAATGACATGGGGAAGACCTATGTGGATTAGCTAAAAGGAAAAGGCCACAGGGAATAATAATAATAATAATAGAGAACTAGGATAAAATGGAAGAGGAATTGTATAATGTGCCTCAGACCTATTTGCTTGGAGGTCTTGGTGATGCAGTTGTGATATGTTTTTAGACTTTTCATACACACAGTCGAGTAAATTTGTTACAATCTGCTATTTTCATACAATAGAGAAACCGGAATCTGTGGACTCAATGAAAAGTGTTCCTGCAGCTGCCGCTGATGGTATGTTCTCTGTAATCGGACCATGTTCTGTATCGGTGAGATTAAATAGTATTTATAAAAAAAACTGTTAAGTGCCAGAGGAAGGGAAGAGTGAGGAATCCAAAGAGTTCCAGAGCTTTGGGATACTTTAAAGAAGTGAGTTTCTCCCTGTGTCCTGGCCAACAATCCCCTGAATAAAATGGGTCACTCACGCCACGGCTGTGTGTGGGACGCTGCTGTGCGCAATTGGCTGCCATGTTTCGCCCACAAAATACACAGTCAATCCAGCTTTACAGCTTCACAGATTGGTGGTTATTGGGCAACAAGTATAAAATATGGGGTGTATCTGAAACCAACAAAAGATAAAAGAAGCAGAGAGTAGCCACAGTTATGTGGTCTGTCTGGTGGATGTTTTGTGAGTGGGTGAGTTACCAGTCAATCGTTAGAGTGGATTTGTTGCAATGGGTTATTCCCATACAGTAAACAAACCTGCCACACTGAGCTTTAATAAAAGAGAAACGCTGATTTCAATGGATGCCAAGGGTTTGACAAGTGTGTGTATTATTACACACACTTGTGTAATAGGATAGATTCTTGTTAGTTCAGGGGATCGAGAGATATGGGGCAAGGGCGGGTAATTGGAGTTGAGGTACAGATCAGCCGTACCCAGATCTAATACAGTGCGGCCCAACAGGCGCCCCGTGGGCTGCCAGCGCCCGGCAGGTGAGTGTATGCGGCTCGCAACCATCTCCACCATTTCCATGTTGCACTCCCTCCCTCCCTCTCTGGTGAACATCCTCCCAGGGCAGCGGCAGAAGCCAGCGATTAGGAGGCCCCAGCCACAGAGCCTTTACTGCAGTCTGTCAGGAAGGCAAGTGCGTCTCTTACCAACTGCGTCCTTAGCAACCAACCTCCAGCTCCTGCCGCTGCAGATAGTGAGGAAGGGAGTGGAAGTTGCAGTGTTGGAAATGGTCTTGGGCCGGATGTGGCCCGCGGGCTGCCAGCTGACCTATGCTGGATGTGGCCCGTGGACCTTTCTCAAATAGGAAATGAGGCCCACAGCAGCCAATAGTTTGGGAACGCCCTAATCTAATAGAAGAATGAGATCGATAGATTTAAAAAAAAGCTAAAGTGATACTCATTTCATTACTCACAGTTTTGATTGATTCCTGACCAAAGAATGGGCATCAGTATAAGCAAGGTCCATCCGCACTGATAAGACTCCAATTACTATAGTTCGTTAGTGGGTACAAGTTGATCAGTTATCGTTCACATAGTTGAGGAGATGTGTTACAATCTGGTATTTTTATACAGTAGAGAAGCCGCCATCTGGTGAAGTGAGTAAACACTCCCTGGAGCTAAAGAAGAGCATTTCTTCACTGGTCGCTGTTGGTATGTTCTCTGTACGGGGGCCATGTTGTGTATCAGGGAGTTGAAATGTTTTTTTAAGTGTAGGAGGAAGGGAAGCGTGAAGGTGATTAAAAGCATCGTGTCTTGGGGGACCTTGGAAAGGATGTGTTAGAGTTGGACGTGGAGTGATAGATTTGGTGTCAGTATATCTACAGGGAGGAGGAGGAGGAGGGAAGGAAAATAAATAGATGCAATCAGTGGAAGCACAATGTAACATTACTTTTATGTAAAATAAATGACACCCCAAAAAGCTTTAGGTGTAGAATGTGCTCTGACACACCCTCAGGTTTACTGGAGGTCACATCCCAGTTTAACAAGAGAGACCATGTAACATGGTGAGATGCAATGGGGGAAGTATTGAGTGGCAGGCTACAAAGCTATTTGCTGGGAGCCCTTTTAGGCATTTACTCTTTTCTTAAATAGACAATGTTATCGCTCATACCATCAACTAGATTTATTACAACTCTCCTCCTTGTGGGGGAGGTAAGTGTGTCTCCGTGGAGCTGAACTGGCTCCAAGATGATGTGCCTGGCAACAGAATGTTGGAATCGAGCAACCCTCTGTACCGGTCTCTAGTCCGCTCCTGAGCCAGGAGGGTCCGCAGTATTCCAGGGCACTCAGTGCTGATGGCAGCACAGCCATTGGCAGGACCTGGAACAGGAGACCAGTCCCCTGGGGCCAGTGAGTCATTCCACTGAGCGCCTATAAACCCTGCCAGCCAAAGCCCTAACTGGTAGGGTGGTCCTAGCTGGACAAGCAACGAGAAAGCTTGCCAGACAGCAATATCAATTGCAAGCTATGCGGTTTCAGCTGGTTAAACCACAGCAGTTACCCCAACGCATACTCTGAGGTCCCCAAGCCTTGGCTGTTGTTAACCTGCGCCTAATACTTTCCGGAATTAGGTAAGCAGGATACGTCCCTCCAGGGAGGGAGAGCGCATTCCATTCCAACAATCTATCCCTGGGATCTCCATGTGTAGGTGGGACACAGGGAATTCTCAGCTTGGTTTGAATAACCCATAAGCATGGGGAAGGGTTTCAGAGTCAGACACCTGGCTGACCCCCCAAAAATAATGATTTATTACAATCTGGTATTTTTATACAATAGAGAAGCCGCCATCTGGTGAAGTGAGTAAACACTCCCTGGAGGTAAAGAAGAGCGTTTCTGCAGTTGCCGCTGATGGTACGTTCTCTGTCCAGGGGCCATGTTGTGTATCAGTGCGGTTGGATTTTAAGAACAGTCAAATGTTGGGGGAAGGGGAGAGTGAGGGATGTCAGGAGTTTGAGAGTCAGGGATCCTGGGACAGAATGTGTCCGAGCAGGAAATGGTGTGATGGGTTTTGATGTCAACTCAGTGAGGACAAAGGGAAGAGCAGAAAAACTGAGAGATTCAACCATTATAAGCAAAATGCCATAAAAACAGCCTTGGATCATGTCAACTTGACCTAAACGGTCGTATTTTAGGTGAATAAGGGGTGTCCCTCTGGGAGGAAAGTGTGTCCTCCGTACCAGACAAGCAGGAACCATATGCACGTGGAACTCTCATGAGTTTGTTTTGGATATTCTTAAACATAGTGATCAGTTTCTGCATGTGTTATGTAGCCAATTGGCTGAAAAAAAATGACCTAGACTTGGACACTCTGAGGAAGATTGCTTCAGGTTGCAGGTAACGTGCTACCACAAGGAGTTGTTGAGGCAAAGAGCAGAGATGTATTTAAGGGGAAGCTGGATAGGTACATGAGGGAGAAAGGAATAGAAGGTTATGCTTGAAGGCTTAGTTGAGGAAGAATAGGAGAAGGCTCATGTGGAGAATAAATGCCGGCGTTGACCAGTTGGGCCGAATGGCCTGTTTCTGTGCTGTATATTCTAATGTAACCAGAAGTCACAGATTTAAGGTAATTGGCAAAAGAACCAGAGGGAGGACGAGGAGAATATTTTTACCCAGAGGATTGTTACGGACTGGAAAGCACTTCTGGAGAGGGTTGTGGAAGCCGATTAGGTAACAGCTTTCAAAAAGGAATTGGGATAGGTACTAAAAAAGTTTTAAAAAATTGTAGGACTATGGGGTAAACGTGGGGAGAGTGGGACTGGTTGGCGGCTCTTTCAAAGAGCAGACACAGGCACAATGGGCCGAATGGCCTTCCTCTGTGCTGTAATATTCTGTGATTCTGTGATGCTGTAGCACCAACTACTGGAAGGGGAAAGGAGGAAACTGTGGAATGAGATGTACCTGATCCAAATGTAATCAAATGTGATATTTTCATACAGTAGAGAAGCCGCCGTCTGGTGAAGTGAGTAAACACTCCCTGGAGGTAAAGAAGAGCGTTTCTGCAGTTGCTGCTGATGGTACGTTCTCTGTCCAGGGGCCATGTTGTGTGTCAGTGCGGTTGGATTTTAAGAACAGTCAAATGTTGGGGGAAGGGGAGAGTGAGGGATGTCAGGAGTTTGAGAGTCAGGGATCCTGGGACAGAATGTGTCCGAGCAGGAAATGGTGTGATGGGTTTTGATGTCAACTCAGTGAGGACAAAGGGAAGAGCAGAAAAACTGAGAGATTCAACCATTATAAGCAAAATGCCATAAAACAGCCTTGGATCATGTCAACTTGACCTAAACGGTCGTATTTTAGGTGAATAAGGGGTGTCCCTCTGGGAGGAAAGTGTGTCCTCTGTACCAGACAAGCAGGAACCATATGCACGTGGAACTCTCATGAGTTTGTTTTGGATATTCTTAATATCCACATTCGCGACCACATCACTCCCACTCTCTGTCGCCTCCACTGGCTTCCCATCCCCCAGAGGATCGAATTCAAGATCCTCATCCTCACCTACAAGGCCATTCACGGCCTCGCTCCCTCCGACCTACTATCCCCCTACTTACCTGCCCGTGCCCTCCGTTCCTCTGGCTCCGGTCTGCTCCACATCCCCCGCCCCAACCGCCCTACCATCGGTGGTCGGGCCTTCAGCCTCTCAGCCCCGAGGCTCTGGAACTCCATTCCCCAGTGCCTTCGCCGCTTCCTCCCTTTCCTCCTTCAAGGCTGGTCTCAAGACCTTTCTCTTTGACCGTGCCTTCAGCTCTCCTCTCGACTCTCTATCCCTCCCTCCCCTCCCCTCACCCTGACCATTTCCCCCCTGCTCGGGTCCTGACCCAACTGTCCAGCGCCTTGGGATGTCCTCCCGACGTGAAAGGCGCTCTATAAATGAAATCTTGTTGTTGTTGTTGTTAAACATAGTGATCAGTTTCTGCATGTGTTATGTAGCCAATTGGCTGAAAAAAAATGACCTAGACTTGGACACTCTGAGGAAGATTGCTTCAGGTTGCAGGTAACGTGCTACCACAAGGAGTTGTTGAGGCAAAGAGCAGAGATGTATTTAAGGGGAAGCTGGATAGGTACATGAGGGAGAAAGGAATAGAAGGTTATGCTTGAAGGCTTAGTTGAGGAAGAGTAGGAGAAGGCTCATGTGGAGAATAAATGCCGGCGTTGACCAGTTGGGCCGAATGGCCTGTTTCTGTGCTGTATATTCTAATGTAACCAGAAGTCATAGATTTAAGGTAATTGGCAAAAGAACCTGAGGGAGGACGAGGAGAATATTTATACCCAGAGGATTGTTACGGACTGGAAAGCACTTCTGGAGAGGGTGGTGGAAGCCGATTAGGTAACAGCTTTCAAAAGGGAATTGGGATAGGTACTAAAAAAGTTTTAAAAAATTGTAGGACTATTGGGTAAACGTGGGGAGAGTGGGACTGGTTGGCGGCTCTTTCAAAGAGCAGACACAGGCACAATGGGCCGAATGGCCTTCCTCTGTGCTGTAATATTCTGTGATTCTGTGATGCTGTAGCACCAACTACTGGAAGGGGAAAGGAGGAAACTGTGGAATGAGATGTACCTGATCCAAATGTAATCAAATGTGATATTTTCATACAGTAGAGAAGCCGCCGTCTGGTGAAGTGAGTAAACACTCCCTGGGTGTGAAGAAGAGCGGCACTGCAGCTCCTACTCAAAGTACGTTCTCCAAATTCAGTACCATCGACCACCCCAGCCATGGTTTTACCCGAGCAGTTTCAGGCAGGAGTTGACCATTCGTACATCCAAATTCTCGTGGATTTCTTCCAATTTACTGTATATAAGCGCTCTGGGACGCAACCCCACGTGAAGGGCGCTATATAAGTTGCTGTTATATATGTTTGAATCGAATAACCCCTGAAGCCACCTGGTTGACAGGAACTCATTTAGTTACCTTTTTGAAATGCGTTGTGGGTTTGTTGCACCACTGTGGGTCCACACGCCTCGCACCCTTCTCATACAAGAAATTCTCCTGACTTGGTTATTCCCTTTGGGCATCTGAACATTCCTGAACATCTTCCATTCCTGATCAAAGGAGCATTATTAAAACATGATGTGATTTCATAAGAAGATGAGGTATAGCTCGCACAGATGATTAGATTTGCCACTATCTGATATTTTTATTCCAGTTGAACAGCAGCCGCCCGATCAAGTTGAAGATAGAAAGATCACTTCTTCTGAAGGTACGTTCTCTGTACAAACAGCACATTCTCTGTTATCTACAACATATCAGATCCTCATTATCTGCCCCTAGCACTGAAAGGTACCAAGCATGATTACGTTCAATTCCTGTCAGTGCGAAACCTTGGGGAAGTCTCCTTACTCCACACGCCTCTGTTTACATAGCAGTGAGTGGGAACTCAGTTGCCAGTCGATTGGAGGATAGCTTTTCTGGGGGTATAATTCCTTCATATATAAAAAAATAAATTGGTCATTCACCTGTTTGTGGGACACTGCTGTCAGCAATTGGCTATCGCTTTTCGTCCACAAAATATCCAGTCAATTCACTTTACAATCTATTCTGTGAAGCGCTTTGAGACGTCTCGAAGACGTGATAAGGCGCTGTAGCACATGCCAGAATTATTATTATTCAAGAAGAAAGAAAGGACAAAACCAAGTAACTGGAAGACAATGAGTCCTGAGAAAACTGTTAGAATCCATCAGGTAACTAGTATAACAGTAAACTAATCACTAAAGGTTAAAATCACTAAGGAGCCATTGGCACGGGCAAAACAATACAAAATTTCATAGTTAGAGGCATAGAATTTAAAAGCTGTTTAAAAACCTGTTATAGTCAAGGTACAGTATAATCCCTTTAATAGTAAATAATACCTTTTAGAGGGATTGTGAGACGTAAACACTTTGAGCAAAAAAAAGCGAATTTGTTTTGCATTAAATGACAGAATTTTTCGGAAGTGTCTGACTGGATGAGGGAGTGCTCACACAATTGAGCAGTTTTTATCATGTTCCCTTTTCCCGTTGTAGAGGACGAATCCGATGATATCTGTGAAATGACCGATGACCAGATGACAGACGCTGCTCAGGGTATGTTTGCTGCATTCCGTAACCGTTAACAGGGATATTCCACTACCAGCTGCTCATTCTCCCGTTTCCCACAGAGACACTCGACCTATTCCTACATCCTCACTTTATCTCATCCAACAGCTCAGCTTCTCCTCCCTCCCCCCCCCCCCCCCCCCCACACACACACACAGTCACTTGTGACGTACCTCAGGGTTCTGTGGTCAGTCCTGTCCTTTTCACCATCTATATAATCCCTTTTGGCAACAAGGTCCCGTCTGCCTGTTCAGTTGGATGTAAAAGATCCTACGGCACTATTCGAAAACAGAAAGGAGTTTCTCTCTCGCCAGTGTCCTGGACAACAATTCCCCCAAATAAAATTGGTCACTCGCTCCACGGCTGTTTGTGGGACGCTGCTGTGTGCAATTGGCCGCCGCGTTTCCCCCAAAAAATATACAGTCAATCCGCTTTACAGTGTATCCTGTGAAGCGCTTTGAAACGTCTCGAAAACGTGATAAGGCGCTGTATCAAAGGCAAAGATTACAAGGATTGTATTTTCATGCAGAAGAGCAGCTGACATCTGGTGACATTAGTAAACACTCCCTGGATGTGAAGAAGATCGTCTCTGAAGTTTCTCCTGAGGGTAGGTCCTTTGTACAGCCTCCCTGTGCTGTAGAGGGAATGGCAGGCATGTTTTCTTTAAACCTGAGAAATGCTGATGGAAGGAAATAGTGAACGATTCGCAGAACTTCACTTCCTCAGGTCCTAGGAGAGAATGTGTCAGAGTAGGATATGTGTGATAGCCTCTAATGTCAATGCCGGGACAGGGAGCATCAGGAAGGAGGAGGAGAACCAAAAATTCAACCCAATGTTGGATGAGAGTGGACCTTGTCTGAAAAAGTTCATGGATTTCTGTGGAGGAGACATTCTAATGTAACAGCAGGAGATCAGATGAGGCAGTGCAGCGGAGATTGTGCATTGTATTTCAGACACAGGAATTTCCATGTATACGTGGAATTCTCAGTCTGGCCTGAATACTCTTAAAGCATAGTTATGGGCTTTCACATGTGCCAGACACCTGGCTGACCGAAAAAACAGTGTTACACGTTCAGGGTGGTGAAGGAAACATTTAAGCTACCAAGAAGAACTTTTTTACACAGATGGTAATCAACGGTTTGAAGGGGTTACTAGGGAGGTTAGTAGAAACCAAGCCACAACATGCCTTCACATAACAATAATAACAAGACATTGTGGTCTTGCCCCTGAAAATGTCTCTTGGGATCTGGTGAAAGTATGTGGAACAGCATGTTTGAAGCTTGGGAGGATCAAGAAAATTGCTGTATCCAACCAAACCCTGTTTCCCCACTATGCCTCAAAGTCTAAAGCATTAACTGACAATTTCAGGTTTGATTTGTGCGTTAGTCCATGTAAGTAAGCTGGTTAAAAACCAAACCACAAGTGGTCACTTTATTTTGCAAGCAGTGAAGCCAGAAACAAGTCTTCAGTGAAGCAGCACAGTTTACACTATTAAACTACTGCTTATCGCTCCAACAGTTTTACTAAAAGAAATTCTCCAATTCTGCCTGTTCTCTTGTTTGCTTTCAGCACTTAGATATGGGTGAGATGTCAGTGTTGCTGTATTGTTTGAGTGCATTCTGTGCATAGATTAGGGAATGCCTTTACAGTGTGAAGTGGCTGATTTGACCTTTCATAACTAACTGATCATCAGTATCGCTCACACAGTCAATCAATGAGATGTGTTACAATCTGGTGTTTTCGTACAGTAGAGAAGCCGCCGTCTGGTGAAGTGAGTAAACACTCCCTGGAGCTAAAGAAGAGCGTTTCTGCAGTTGTCGCTGACGGTATGTTTTCTGCACAGGGGCCATGTTCTTTGTTGATTGCAAACGTGGGTTTAAAACACTTGTAGATAACAACAACAACAAAATTACATTTGTAGAGCACCTTTCACGTCGGGATGACATCCCAAGGTGCTGGACAGTGTACAGTATCTCAGACCCGAGCTGGGGTCAGGGGTGGGGGGAGAAGGGAGGGGAAGGGGTGGGGGGGTGATCGATAGCATGGTCGAAGAGTAGAAGTAAGGGATGGATAGTAGGAGTGAGGGAAGAAAGCAAGGAAGACAACAGAGTGAAGGGACTATGGGATGTAACAAAAGCTGACAAATCAGTTGGTATTATGCTGAAACTGGATAGTGCTGTGCTGAGACCACTCACCGCACTACTGATTGCCACCAGATAAGGGGTGACCTTGTCTGCCCTGGTGCGAGACAGTGCGGAGGAGAGGTACACACCTCATCCACAATGTTAGAGGGGAACAATGAGATAGGTTTGGACTTTCGGCTTTAAAAGAGACATTTCAGAGGATACCCTGCAGGGTGGAGTCCTGTAGCTCAGTGGTTAGAGCTCTCGCCTCGCGAGCGAGAGACCTGGGTTCGATTCCTGGCAGGGTGAAACGTTGGGCAAGTTTCCTTACGGCACACGCCTCTGTTTACCTAGCAGTAAGTAGGAACCCAGTTGTTAGTTGTCAGCTCGCTTTTCCAGGGGTAATAATTCCTTCAAAATCCAAAATAAATAAATCGGTCACTCAATCCACGACTGCACTTGGGACACTGCTGTGCGCAATTAGCTGCTATGTTTCGCCCACAAAATATACAGTCACTGCACTTTACAATATATTCTTTGAAGCTCTTTGAGACGTCTCAAGACGTGATAAGGCGTTATATCAAATGCAAGGATTATTATTATTATATTATAAGTTATGTTGTCATGTAGTATAAAATAGTAACAATTTCAGGAAGTAGGAGATCAGTCCACCCAGCTATCCATCCACCCAAATTCCCACAAATACCTTTTGATTTATACACTTATAAATCTAACCGCCCTGAAATGTCAGGAATCTATGCAGGTCTTTGAAACCCTTTATAGTTTCTTGCTCCAACAATTTGATCCACACACGTGGCCCCATTTACCGAAAGAAATTCTCCTGATTGACCTGTTCACTCCTGTTGTCCTGTAGATATGGGCGAGATGTCAGAGTTGCTGTATTGTTGACTATCTATCCCTCTGTTGACCTCTATCCCTCCTTCTTGCCCCTTCATTCCCCATTTTCAGGTCGCACCTGAAGACCTTCCTCTTCGATTGTGCCTCCGGTCACCTCCCTCTCCCCCGGCTCCCCATTGTCAAGCGCTCTGGGACGCTATCCTGCAGGAGGGGTGCTATATAAATGCAAATTGTTGTTGTTGAGTGCATTCTGTTCCTAGTTTAGGGAATTCCATTACAGTGTGAAGTGTGAAAATTTGACCTTTCGTAACTGATCGTCGGTATCGCTCACACTGTCAACCAATGCGGTTTGTTACAATCTGGTGTTTCCATCCAGTAGAGAAGCCGCCGTCTGGTGAAGTGAGTAAACACTCCCTGGAGGAAAAGAAGAGCGTTTCTGCAGTTGCCATTGATGGTACGTTCTCTGTACAGGAGCCATGTTGTGTACACTGTTAATTGCGAACACGGTTCTGGAGCACTTGCTGATTGTTAGGAGGAAGCGAAGAGTGAGGACAGAGCTTTGCAACTTGGGGTCCCTGAGAAGGAATGTGTCAGAGCAGAATGTGGTGAGATGGGATTTGATATGAATCCACTGAGTCATTAGAGGCAAAATGCAAAATGTTCTATTTAAAAAAAATAGCGAATAATGGCAGGCAACTCAGCTTTGTAAAGGGTAAGTCCTGTCTGCCAAGAATGTTGACTATCAGTATCAAGTGTAGTGGTATCTGATAGGCATCTGGACCTCAGCAGCCAACATATTGGACACCACCCACTCTGCTCTAAGGCATTGTTGATAACGGACTAATCTGATTCATCAGCGAGACTTGGACAGGCGGCTCAGACCAGATATTACTAGGGTGACAGATGTTTCCTACTTGCCTCCTGTTAGTCTTACGAGCCAAAGCCCTAATGGGGAGGGTGGTGCCTGAAGCCTGAAGCTCAGCATCGTGCTCTGCAAACACTCTGGGATGCTACCCTACGTGATGGGTGCTGTATAAAGCAAGTTGTTGTCGTAGGTGGCATACATATGTAGAACTCTCAGTCTGGTTTGAATGCTCTAAAGCAAGGTGATGCATGTGTTGGGCACCTGGCTATCCAAAAGAAAAAAAGATCTCGTTCACATTCAGCAAATGAATTGATGGAGCTAACTAATCTTTACGTAAGTAGATAAGGTGTAGCTCGCAGAATTTAGTAGCTTTGCTGCAGTCCAGTGTTTCCAGGGGTAATAATCCCTTCCAATAATAACAATAACTTGGTCACTAAATTCACGACTGTTTGTGGGACGCTGCTGTGCACCATTGGCTGCTGGGTTTTGCCCACAAAATATACAGTCAATTAACTTTACAGAGTGTTCTGTGAAGCGCTTTCAGATGTCTCTATGATGTGATAAGGCGCTGGGATAAATACAAAGGTTATTATTGTTATATTATTTCACGCAGAAGAAGAGAAACCATCTGAGGAATTGCCTGGTGAATCAGAGGAAGAAGAGAAGCCGGAAGCTGAAGTTCCTACTGAAGGTACGAGCTCTGGGAAGGAGAGTTTCTGTGCTGACGAGGCTGTTTGGTGACAGATAAAAGAAGGGTTTGTTGGAAAACACCCTTTTTTTATGCACTACCGGAGTCCCATAACACAATGGCTCGCCTCGCAAGTGAGAGGACCAGGGTTCGATTCCCGGGTGGGGCGAAACATTAGGTGTTTATTTCCTCCACACGCCTGGTTACCTCGCAGTATGTAGGAACCCAGCTGTTAGTCGATTGGTGGATCGCTTTCCGGGGGTAATAATCCCTCAAAAAAAATATAATAATAACGTGGTCACTCAATCCACGACTGTTTGTGAGACTCCACTGTGCACGATTTATTGCCGCGTTTCACCCACAAAATACATTGCCGACAATATATTCTCTGAAGCAATTTCGGACGTCTCAACAACATGATAAGGCACTATAATCAAATGCAAGGATTATTATTAACAACAACAAAATTACATTTGTAGGGAGGACGTCCTTAATCAAAAATAGCCCCTCATGACTTGTTGAATTAATTATCCTTCACAGAGAGTTTAATGTCAGCGTCAAAGGAAATCAATACTGTCTGCATCAGTGACCAAACACACGCGTCTTCCAGTAGGGGAGAAAAATGGAATAGAAACAGGAACTGTTGAAGTATTTAATCAGTCCATTACTCAGGGATGCCGAGTCTGATCATTTCTTATTTAAGAAACTTAGGTGAAGCAAAGTGAGGACGCCAAAGAAATAATAAAGAGCACGGAGAGTGTGTGTATAAAATAATAATAACCTTTGCTTTCGATATAGCGCCTTTCACGTTGGGAGGACGTCTCAAAGCGCTTGGCGGGATATACTGTACTAAAAAGTGATTGTATTTTGTAGGCAAGAGGTAAAACAGGCAATGGCCATTTAAAACTGAATCGGGTTTGACAATAAGATAGGATAAGTACACAGTGGAACGCTCAAATAGAATTGAGTTGTATGTTGTCTCTTAAGAGTCTCCGCCACTGTCTCACACCGCAGGCCACCAAAACCCTCATACACGCTTTCATTACATCGAGGCTCGACTGTGCAAACTCCCAGCTTGTCGGCCTCCCCAACTCCTCCCTCCACAGGCTGCAGATCATCCAGAAATCTGCAGCCCGTGTCCTCACCCCCACCAGGCTCCGTGACCCTATCACCCCCATCTTCGCCCGTCTCCACCGGCTTCCCATCACACAGAGGATACAGTTCCACATCCTGGTCCTCACCTTCAAAGCCCTCCGCGGTCTTGCTCCCCCCGACCTCTGCGACCTCCTAACCCTCTACCATCCAGCCCTCTCCCTCCCCTCAGCGGGCTCCGGCCTGCTTCATATCCCCCACCTCACCCGCCCCACGTCCTCCCAACTTGGAAAGATGCTATACAAATGTCATTTTGTTGTTGTTGTGCAGTGAAAATTGTAAATAATAATAATAATAATCCTTGCATTTGATATAGCGCTGTTCACGTCGGGAGGACGTCCCAAAGCGCTTCACAGAACACACTGTAAAGTGAATTGACTGTATATTTGTGGGCGAACGCGGCAGCCAATTGCGCAGAGCAATGTCCCACAAACAGTCGTGGATTGAGTGACCACAATTTTTTTTGGAGGGAACTGTTGTAGATTGAAAATGACCAATTTATTATTGTTTTTGGTTTTTTGGAGGGATTATTATTAGGCTCTGTGTGGAGTAAGGAAACTTGCCCAAGGTTTCGCCCTCTGCCTGGAATTGAACTCAGGTCTCTCACTTGCAAAGCGAGTGCTCTTACCACTGAGCTACAGGACTCCAAAAGACAATATGGTGATGTACCATCCCATTCGTGATGGTGCAGCTTTAGTGATTCACTATGATTGAATTTAAATAGAAAAATTAGGCACGATTAGATCTGTAAACTTCCTGTCATCTTCCTCCAGTGGCCGAGGCACCACCTCAAGAGTCCAAAGCAATCATCACACCTCCAAAGAAGATTTGCCGACCTGCTAAGAAGGGTATGTTCTCCGCACAGCCAATGTGATCCGTTACCGTCGACAGCTTGTGTTTCAGTATCGTTATCTCTATGTTGGTAGCCTATATTACAGGCCGGTTCAACCTTTTGGCTGCCGGGGGCCGGATAGCCTATTTGAGAAACATCTGCGGGCCTCACAAGCAATATTTTTGTGTAACATAATATTTACGGGTTATGGAGGGAGCGAGTGGGCCAGATGAAATGGAGGTTTGGGAGTGGGGGGGGGGGGGGGGAGAGGGTGAAGAAATTGGCTGGCAGGCCAGAATGTGGCCCACAGGCTACCAGTTGTGCCACCCTGGCCTAAAGGAACAACCGAGGCACATTGATCTCTGCTATTTCTACTAGCTCCTGGCTGGCAATCCTCGAGCTGGTAAAGAGACTTTACAAACAGTTTAAAACTCAACAGCTTTTGGACCAAACTTGCATTCCAGGTGCTTGTGATTTGGTGCTTCACTGAGTCTCCTCATCGGCCTTCCCAACTCTTCCCTTCACAAGCTGCAGATCATCCAAAACTCTGCAGCTCGTGTACTCTCGCGCACCAAGTACCTTGACCCCATCACACCCACCCTCACCCGACTCCACTGGCTCCCCATCCCCCAGAGGATCGAGTTCAAGCTCCTCGTCCTCACGTTCAACCTTGCCCCCTCCTACCCTCTCTGACCTGCTGACTCCCTACCAACCTGCCCGCTCCCTCCGTTCAGCAGGTTCCAGCCTGCTCCATGTCTCCCACCCGACCCACCCTACCATCAATGGCTGGGCTTTCAGCCTCTCTGCCCCCATACTCTGGAACTCCATCCCACAGACTCTTCGCCTCGCTTCCTCCCTTGTCTCCTTCAAGGCCGGTCTCAAGACCTTTCTCTTCAACCATGCCTTTGGTCTCCCTCCCACCTCTCTGCCTTCCCTCACCCCTACACCACCCCTCCCCTACGCTCGGGCCCGACACCTGACTGTTCAGCACTTTGGGACGTCCTCCAGATGTGAAAGGAGCTCTATAAATGTCATGTTGTTGTTGTTGTTGTTGTTGTCTCAGCAGCTTCCGTGTCTCTCTGTCATTTCCTGTCCCTCTTCTGCAGCAACCCACCATCAGTGGTCGGTCCTTCAGCTTCTCTGCTCCCACCCTTTGGAACTCCATCCCACATTCCCTTTGCCTCGCTCTCTCCCGTGCCTCCTTCAAGGAACGTCTCAAGACCCTCCTCTTCGACCTGACCTTCGGCCATCCTCCTAACCTCCCTGATCCCAACCCCCTCCTTGCTCGGGTCCAAATCCCTGACTGTCCAGCGCCTTGGGATGTCCTCCCAATGTGAAAGATGCTTCACCAATGTTATTTTGTATTGTATTGTAAGAACTAATGATTTGCATCAGCAGCTATCACCAACTTGCCCAGCTGATGACCTTCCAAGCATTTACCTAAGACATTGATGTCAGCGAGCTATTTGACGGTAGCATGAAATTATAGCCCTAATCTTATCCTCATTGCTGACCACATATGCATCTTCCAGAGGGGTGACAGGACATAACATGCCTTTGAGTTATTTTCTAGGTCATAATCCAGGATTGCTGACGGCAACTTTTTCTTTTCAAAACAAACGTGGATGAATAATTAACCAAGGCCAAGAAAAAGTGCCGAGGGTTCTAGAGAACATACCACAAAAACCCGCCAGTCATATCAAGGGTCATAACAAAAATTGTTATAAGTGCATCAAGAAAGAGAGAGCGAGAGTAGGAAAACAGGAATGGCCCATTTGGAACCAAATCTGATATGACAGTACTAAAAGGGAAATAGACAGGGGAACTCCAAGTTGGAACTAGCCTTCAGACCCAGTACTACAGGGCGACCAAAAAGTCTTATTTTTCAGCAAAGTCTATTCAAAAAAATCATAATTTCCTTGATGCTTATTAGATGTTATAATGGTATCGCGACTTTTTGGTCACCCTGTATAAAGGTATTATCGATATGGATGCAACATTCTATTAGTGGATTAGTCGCTTAGTATTGCAACTGATCAGATTTTATTAGGTGTGGCTAACTGTGTGTTTTTAAACTCTTTTCCTACAGTAGTCAAACCACCACCTGCAAAGAAGTGTCTTCCTAAGAAGGGTACGTTCTGTCTACAACCTGTTATTTGGTTATCATTGATAGCTCATGTTTCAGTATCACATCCTCATTGTCAAGTTCCCCATCTTAATAACCTCATAGATGCACTTAATAACCATAACCGTAGATAACTGTCGATTTCTGCTATCTTCAAACAATCAACTGGGAGAGAATACCCACGAGGAGAGTTGGGTACAGCTAGGTTAGGTATTGCTTATGAAAATAGGTTAGAAAATTAGATATTGCTAATTCTGTGATTTTCTTATCATGCACTATCTTCAAACAACAGTCAAGCCACCACCTGAAGTGCCCCAAGAAAGCATCAAGTCTCCAAAGAAGCTTTGCCGACCTCCTGCTAAGAAGGGTATGTTCTCTGTACGGCCGATCTGTTCCGTTACCATCAACAGCTTGTGTTTCAGAATCAGATCCTCATTGTCCAGCTCCTCGGTTTTCCCTCCATCGCAGGTAACCCTTGATTTCTACTCCCTGGAAACAATCAAAGGGGAAGCAACTATTTTGCAATATAATTCCAGTTCAGGGGAGGATAGAAACAGATGTGAGATAAAAGTAGGAGCTGAAGGAAGAGCCAGTTTCCATAGTTTAGTGCCATTGAACACTTGAAGACCTTCCTCTTCAACCGTGCTTAAGGTCACCTCCTCCTTCCCCTTGGGTTGGGCTCAGCCACTGTTAAGTGCTCCGAGGCACTACCCCGCATGACGGACGCTATATAAATGCAAGTTGTTGTGGTGGTGGTGGTGGTGATGGTGGTATAATAACGCTAGAGGAATAATGATAAGGAAATTGGCTTTAATCTCATTAGGAAAGAGTCGGTCAAGGAGGCAAGATAAACGTTTCAAAATTATGGAAGAATTGTTAAAGCTACTCCAAACACATTGTTCCCCTAGAAGCTCAAAACTATGGGAAGATTATCTAATATTCACATAGAATAAGTTATCTGAATTTGCCTCCCAAGCAAGACGACCCGGGTTCGATTCCCGGGCGAGGCGAAACCTTGGGCAAGTTTCCTTACTCCACACAGAGCCTAATAATAATCCCTTCAAAAACCAAACAATAATTAAACTGATCATTTTCAATCCACGACTGTTTGCGGGACACTCACTGCTGTGCGCAATTTTGCACAGTTCGTCCGTGAATCGTTGCCGCATTTATATCTCACCATTTCGCCCACAGATAAAGACAAAGAGAAACAAGAAGCAGATGAGGTTGAAGGCACAAAGACCGAAGAACAAGCACCTGAGAAGGATGAGTAAACCATTACATCATCAAAATCCATCTACCCTCCCAATCAACAGATATCAGCACAAATTCTATTTACGTTTAGTTTTAGGACATGTACCGTGGTCCTGAGTCTTCACTATTTTAATGATCGATTGTTGTATGAAATTAAAAAAAGACATATAAATGTCAGGCTGAATCCTATAAATCTACTGATATATTTGTACGCTTCTTGAACTCAATTACGGTTTCGCTTCCACAGCTCATCAGAAAGATCTGGATGAAGAGATGTGGAGTCCTGCAGTGTAGAGGGCTTGCCTCACAAGCAAGAGGACCTGGATTGGTTCCCGAGTGGAGTGAAACTTTGGGCAATTATAAGATTATAAGATATTTCAGCCCATTTGATCACGCAGCATTATCAGGGAAACATGATCCTCATCTGTGATATCAATCCAACAAGGACGGAAGGTACACCTGAATGCTTTAAAGGCAAATATTGCCTTGTCGATAAGATTCCAATTACAGGAATCAAATATGTAACAGATGTCATTCCTGTAATTCTAATAAATTTGGCAAGGTGAAAGAGCAGAGAAATTGGATTAGAGTAAATAGCTCCAGTTGGGGACCCAACACTAACAGATGCAATGGGCTGAATAACCTCCTTAATATAGAAATTTGTGTGCTCTTCAGGGTTATTAACAAGTGAAATTCTAGACAAATGGTACCATCTAGTGACCAAAAGGAGCTTAATAAGGGGAAGGTAGTGTTGTTTATCCGGATTTCAGTCAGGCCTTTGATACGGTTCCTCTTGAAAGGCTGGTACTGAAAATAAAGTGGGAATCAGTGGAAGTATCTTACAATGGATATGTAATTGACTGACTGATAGAACCCAGAGAGTGGTGGTACAGGGAATGTCGCCGGGCTGGGAGAATGTTACCAGTGGAGATCCACAGGGGTCTCTCTTTTATTTAACATCTTCACAAATGATCTGGAGCTAGGAATCACAAGCACAGTGGCTAAACTTGCAGATGACCCAAAGCTAATGAAGGTGGTGGATGGCAAAGATGAAAATGATTGGCTACAGGAGGGCTTGAACATTCTTGGGAATTGGGCAGATCGATGGCAGATGAAATTTAATGTAGAGCAATGCAACATGCTTTAAATAGGGACAAAAATCCAGGAAGGGACTATTATTTAAATGAAAGACAATCATCTGTAGGGAAAATGAAAAGGACCTGGGGGTCTTGATTGACAATAAATTGAAGCTCAGTAGCGAGTAAGGCAAAACCAATGCTGGGTCGTATTAAAAAGGAGATATTGAGCCAATATAAATCACGGGTGTAACCGCACTTGAATTCTGTGTGCAGTTCTGGTCACTGCAATACAAAAAGCAATTGAGAGGATACGGAGCAGAGCAACCAAAATGATTGAGAGGATGGAGGGACTGGACCATGAGGAGCGATGAGGTAAACTGGGCATGTTCACGCTGGAGAAGAGAAGGTGGAGGGCTGATATGATTACAGTCTTGCATATTCTAAAGGGATTAAATAATGTAGACAACAATGTTTTATCTTGTACTGAACCAGAAGAACCAGAGTAGAACCAGAGGACACGGCCTGCGGTTGATGGGGCGTAAATTCAGAACAAATATACAGAGGCGCTACTTCAGTGAGTGAGTAGTAAACGTATGGAACAGACTCCCTCGGGAGATACTGGAAGCCGAAAGTGTCAATTATTTCAAATTAGATTGATTTCTGTGAGGAAATAATATCTGGGGAGACAGTATATAGTTTGGGACACGACATGTTAAGCGACTGCCAGGATGGTGGAAGGCGAACTGCATGGACCTTGGTCTTCTTTCACCTTGAAAATTCCTATGTTCAATGTCTGTACAACAACTATAATTGCTCCATACAATCAAGTGTCGTCGTTAGTAAACTTCGAGCCCACTCACAGACCTTTCAAATGCACTACCACCTAAAGACAGCCGTACAGGTCAGCCCCATTGTAACGTGGTAGTTAAGATCCAATAAAATCCCAATACCAGGATACAATAGGCGGTCAGCATGTCCACATTCAATAACAGCTCACATGTATAGGGGGCCTTTCATTAAGGGTGATGTCTCAGAACGCTTTACAAAGACAGGGTTTGACGCCAAACAACAGAGAGGGGTCGGGGAAAGGGAGAGTGGCCGTAGGCACATTCAAAGTAGATTTTGAGGTGGGGCTTAAAGACAAAGAGAGAGGGGAGTGAGCCACAGAGATACGGTGGGAGTTCAACAGGCGAGGGGTACGGGATCCGAAGGATCAGCCACACATGGTAAGATGGAGCGGACGAGCCCGAGTTTGATAAGCAGCTGCGCGCCAGCAGTATGCAGGATGTGACATAAGCGGTGAACGCTCTAACCAATACGCTACAGGACGACAAGAATCCAGTCTGTGGCCAAAGTGTGCTTTGTGGGTTTGACGCTCACATGGGCTCTTGTGAATCACGCATAGCTGACAAACCACATCAGAGTGCAGGGAAGGCCAGATGCGTCTGAGTGAGATGAGATCATACCAGAAAGCAGATATCCTGAAACTTCAAACTGCTTCCTCTTTCAAGAAACATTTTCGGCCTCTGGATGCCTAATATAAAAGGGGTACAAAGTTCAGACGAAATGTAATTTTACAGTCCCAAGGTGGCTTTGTTTATCAGATATCTACGACATTCTTTGAAACACCCAAGTTTCTAGAAGCAAGGCTCAAAACGAACTTCACATACTTTCAGAGGGAGCTTTGCCCTCCGTTCAGTCGTGGACTGGAGAACATCTGTCCGGCTTGGATTGCACTCCTCGCAATGAGAAAGATCCTGGTTTACCCGAGTCAACGTGAAATCCCACATGCAGAAAGTGTGATCTGACAATCTAACCTTTAATTGAGCATGTTGGTTATTTCAGCACAGGTACCTTGTGACCAGCGACGGGCATTTGGACTGAGTGCGTGCTTAAACCAAATGGTGCAACATTTAGTGTTTACTGTTTTCATATCTTCCCCAAAAGTGCAGATCTTAAATGTAATAAATATAGATTTGATTAAATTGGCTACGGTGACCTATACGTTAACGAAAGGAAGGTACCAAAAGAGAAGGTAGGGCATTATTAAAAGCCTATGGATAATAAATAAAATAAATAATAATCTGGTCACTCAATCCACAGCTGTTTGTGGGATGCAATTGGCTGCCACGTTTCACCCACAAAATATGTCAATTCACTTTACAGTATATTCTGTGAAGCGCTTTGAGACGTCTCGAAAACGTGTTAAGGCGCGATATCAAATGCAAGGATTATTATTATCATCAAAGGTTATGTTACATTTCTTGGTAAAGGCTTCATTATAAAAATTCAGGAACCTGAAAGAGAAGGCAGTTCAGGTTTTCAGGAGATAAGAGTTGCTTTTGTGAACTGTGAGCACACATTAATTAATGGTTGCAGAAAGCCTTTGCAATGTAATAATTGGTGTAAGTGAATCTGAATTAACTGAAGCTAAAAACAGTATTTTTTACAGTGACCTGCACTTGTAGGAGGCAATGAAAACAGTATAAAAATACACGTTGAGATAAATTTGAATGAGTCATGTTGTCCATCCACCCCGTTACCACCAAGTGTTTCTACTCTCCATAATCACTGCTTTCTACTGGATCCTGTGGAGTCCTGAAGTATCGGTTAGAGCACTCGACTTGCAAGCGAGAGGACCTTGGTTTGATTCCCGGGCAGGGCGAAACCTGAGGCATGTTTCCCTACTCCACGTACCTCGCAGTAAGTAGGAACCTGGTCGTTAGTCCATTGGCAGATCACTTTTCCGGGGATAATAACCCCTACAAAACAATAATGATTATTTGGTCACTCAATCCACGACTGTTTGTGGGGCACTGCTGTGTGCAATTGGCTGCTGTGTTTCGCCCGCAATATATAGTCAATTAACTTTACAGTATATCCTGTGAAGCGCTTTGAAATGTCTCAAAGACGTGATAAGACGCTCTATTAAATACAAAGATTAATGTAACCCAGGACAACAAAAGAGCTACCTATCCTTCTGCCATCAATGGTATAACCGATGAAAAAGTCCTCTCGCTTGCGAGGCGAGCGCTCTAACAACTAAGCTACAGGACTCCATGGATTGCTGTTTTGGTGGTTCGGTTTAAGGTCCAGTGAGAGTATAATCGACTTAAAATCAAGTTCAATCGTATTACTTTATTTCTTTACAGAATCTGTTTGCAGAATATAAACGTATTACTTTGGGTGGCATTGACTGACTTTCTCTGCTCGAGTGTGACGTGCTGTGGGACATTGTCCCGTGTGAGGGGAGCTACATAAATGCAAGTTGCTGTTGTTCTGTGTGTGCCACTTGGAATTGTTTTATTTACTTTACTCTTGTTAAAAATAGTCTCTCCATTTTGCGTTGACCACAGCTTCTTAAACGGTCATGGCACAAGGTAGGGAAGTGATTAAACACATATTAAAATGGAACAAAGCTTAATTGTTGTGAAGATCGGGGACCTAGACTCGGTGAGATCATCAGAATCCTTCTCAAGAGCACCATCTGCACAAACTCAAATACAGACTCCTCTGGGATACTTCCTCATCAAAATCGTTCAGTGCCTGAACACACGCTGCATTTGCCCCCTGAGTGAACGTGGAAACAGGAGACTGGAAAGGTCGGCTGTGATGGTTAATGGTTTGGATTGACTGTTAACAGTACACAGAACAGTGACAATCACAGTCAAGACAACTGATCACTGGCACCAAACTGGAAAGTCCGGAATTTCACTTCAACAACAGCTTCGCTTATAAAACTGTCTTTCACTTTTGACGAACGCCTCAAAGCTCTTTAGAAGATGATCACCAAGCACGAAGCTAGAGGAGAGAGAACTGACTGAAGTCATGGTCAGAGACAGAATTCAGGGAGGGTTTTGGAGGGAAGGAGAAAAAGTCCAAAGCAAAGGGGTGTGTGTATTTATTTCAGGTCATTCAACATCAAACATGTCAGCCTAACTCAGTTAGTAGCACTTTCTGAAGGCTGTGTTTTCAGGCCCCTTCATGAGACTTTATGTGCTCCCATGTGAAGGTCGCTATATAAATGCAACTTGTTGTTCTGTCTCATAATAATAATAATCCTTGCATTTGATATACCACTTTTCACGTCTTCTCAACGTCTCAAAGCACTTCACAGAATATACTGTAAAGTGAATTGACTGTATATTTGTGGGCGAACACGGCAGCCAATTGCGCACAGCGATGTTCCACAGTCATGGATTAAGAATGACCAATTTATTATTGTTTTGTTTTCGGATTATTATTAGGCTCTGTGTGGAGTAAGGAAACTTGCCCAAGGTTTCGCCCTCTGCCTGGAATTGAACTCAGGTGTCTCGTTTGCAAGGCGAGTGCTCTAACCACTGAGCTACAGGACTCCACTGGCTGACAAGTTGGGGCAGACACTCCACTGAAATGCTAATAAAGCACTGCATTGTAGGTTTGTCTTTAAGATGAGACGTTGAACTGAGGTTAATTCTACCTGTTCAGATGTGAATCCATTCAAAAGGAGAAGGGAGTTTCTGGTGGTATCCTCGCCAAGAATCCTTCAGGTAAATTGGTCATTTATTTCATGGTAGTGTGTGAGATCCGTTGGCTACAAATACACAATCACTGAACTTGGCAGCAATTAGCTCTAAAGCACTTTGACCTTATTAGTCACATTATCAAATGTTAGGATTATTTTAAAAAGAGAAAAGGTTTGACGTGGAGCATATCCCTTTGTCATGAAAGATTAACCCAAAACATCCACCCCTTCGGATGCTGCCTGACTTCATAGAATCATAGAATTATACAGCACAAAAAGACACCCATTCGGCCCATCATGTCTGTGTCGGCTCATTGTAGAGCTTCCATATCAACCCCTCTCTCCCCCGCTCTCTCCCCATAGCCCTGCCAACTTGTCCAGTGTTTTATAAAGGTTCATCATAACTTCCTGACTTTTGTATTCTATGCCCCTATTTATAAAGCCTAGTATCCCGGATGCTTTTTTTGAAATCATGGCACTATTTAAAAGGAGAAGGGAGTTTCCCCCGGTGTCCTGGCCAATAATCCCCATTCAATTTATGGCTGCTGGCAAACATTTGCTGTACACAAATTGCCCACCGAATTTGCCGACAAATACACACTCACTGCACTCTACGGGAAAATCCTGTTGAGTACTTTGAGACTTCTCAATTCTCAAGCTCAAGACTTCAACGAGCATCTCTACCAATGAGATGAATGTCAATGCCAATGTCGGTCGGATTGTCTGCTGGAGCGGTAAATAGGATCTGATCCATGTCCGGGGGAGGAGGGAGGTGGGTGGGGGGGGAAGAAGCACTTTGTGTGAAAGCGGAGGAGCTATCTCTCCTCCCACCATCAATGGTATAACCGATCTATAGATTAACGAACAGCCCAACATTCTTTAATTTTTTTTATATAATGTATTAAAGCAGATTTACAATGTCTCAGAAACACGACCTGTATTCATGGTACAAATTTGATTTGCTCTCCACACACACGGTCATCTTTGAGCCTCTCTCACATACCCTCCTGGCACCATTAAGAGATGCAAGGTGGCCCTGGAAGATGACCATTCCACCTCTTTGCTTCATGGCTTAGGGACAAAGACCAAGAGCTTCAAACTTTACAAAGTCAAACCTGCGCTCTTCATAAGAGCACTATCATGTAGCACCATTGGAATAGAAACTGTTTCATTACTGAGCACCGGGTAGGTAAGAAGATCACAAGCAGATAACAACTCTTTAAATTGTGTTCCCCATCGGACAGCAAAGGGTTTCTAATAAATTCTTAGGGTTGGAAAGTGGAAAGCTCCAAATCCTAAAATAGCATCTTTTATTGCTCCCCTCTTGATCAAAGTGAACTATTCAGGACAACGGCACAAGCTGAACATGGCAATGGAGGGAAAAAGACTCAAGACTGTGACATTATCAGTAGAACTGAACAGGTTGCAGCAACGAGAATAAAATGGCATGATGTGGGGTCGTGGTTTACACGTCGGATGGTCATTTTAATGGGAGATCCTTTTGGTATTGGAATTAAATTGCTTTTGAAAGCAGGTTTACGTAACTGGAGCTTTTCCTCATTTCCCACTGGGTAATAAGGCTCTCACAGAGTCCAATTCTATGATCACCAAATCAAAAGCACGACAAAAAGTTTTGTCAAATAATCTGCGTCAATGATGCAATAAGTGCTATGCAGAGCGAGTTATACCCCAGGTTAGCGAGCAGACAAGAGAATACCGTTCACATATCTGCTGGGTGGAATTAAACATTTGCCTAAGTGTCCATTTTGCACTAATTGTTTATCTGTGTAATAATGATCAGAACCAAAGTGTACACTAATAATAAATAAGATTTGTTTTAAAACGTTTGCTGTGTTTTACACTGCTTTCCAAAATCCAGCCACCTTAATGTCTCAAGGACAATATACAGTAATTCACAGAAACAATGAATAAAGAGTGAGTGCCCACCTCAGCAGAGCAAGGAGCAAGTCAAGATCCAATTACCCCATCAACGTATCCCTTAGTTACAAAGTAGTAGTAACCCACATCTACTCCCAATCTGATTCAAATGCTTTGCATGAATGTGGCAGTCCACCCAAACCCAAACGTAATCCAGATTGGAACCATGCCGTTGGCAGATCAAACCTCGACACTAAAACAGGTCTGGATTCAGCTCCTGAGGAAATAGAAGCCTGAAGCCTGAGTCAATTGGGCTGATTTTGCAGCCAAACTGCACTCTGTGAAGAAAACTCACTGGTCTCACCAGCCTCGTGCTGAGCTACAGACAAGGGAAGAGGGAGATAACATGGATTCGAATCAACTTTTTTTGGTAAATGGAACTCCAGCCTTTCAAATACAAAAAACAAAAGTCTATTTTGCAGCAAACAGCTGCACCATCTCCCTCAAGCTAAATACTAAAGCAGGTCTTAATGCCAACTTCACTGACTTTCCGCACCGTAATATGGGGAAAATGTTACAATTAGTGATCTGACATCACTGGAGCTTACTCCTGGCGTTATGTCAGTCTCCCAGCAATTACCTCTGACAGCCTCTAAAGTAGTCAAATCAAACCCATTAAATAGGTCGCTCATTCAGGCAAATTTGCTCAGTAAAGGGGAGAGTTATCAAAATATACACATAGCTGTGTATTTAGCTAGCCTTTGCCAAAGCTTTAACACGCTGCAACATTTTGTAAAGAAATCTTTCTCTCTCAACCCACATCTCTCCCCCCCCCCCACCTCCCCCATCCTCCAACATGAATTTCAATTCCTGTGATATCAGGTATAGGGACATTTCTGTTTAGGATCTGTTCATCACCAGAACAACATGGGGCTGAACAGAGGTTTAGGATTGTGGGAAACAAAGTCGGCTAAATAATAGTCTTAAAATGTGTTCCCGTGCCTCAATGTTTTACCTGGTGGTATTGACAATACGTAATGCCGTGGAGGATAATAAAAGGAGGAATATCCATTTTATTCTATATCGGTTTTGTGGGATAATGCAGATTTAATTGCAGGGTTTCTCCCCCTGCCCCTCCCCCATGTATACCTCCAAATATGAAAATCATACTAGTTATTGTACATCATCCACAATTTATACTAAAATAAAGTGGAACACCTTTCCATTTCAAAGCTCAAAATACAGCTAATATTTTCAAAAGCCATTGTAAACACTATGCTCATGTCTGTCTATTAAACATCATATAATACAATCCCAGATTTCATTAAAAAGTCAATACATATTTTCTTAATAATTAATTTTTGTCTTTTTTTTCCTCCTCTCTCTCTCTCGTATTCAAAAAAATGGAACCATTAGGAACACAAAGGACTTTGTGACCACCTCATGATCCCTTTAACAGAACTGTTACTAGAAAAAAATACATTGAGGGGGGGGGGAAAAAAAGCAACGAACTAAAGCGTCCACTCAATCACAGTACAAAGCTGTCATTATTAGGTGTGACAAAATCTAAGGCATCTCTTATTAGAAAACGGACATCTGTAAAGTTACACCTGTCTTTTTACAGGAGGAATGCACAGTGCAACTTCAGCTGCAGTGAATATATTTGCTCCTCTTACTTTCACTTTTTTTTTAACTCTATTGTCCTCTCGTTCTCGCCACTGTCGTGTCCAGACGCCGAGGACCGATCCGACCCCATCGTTCCAGCTCTTCTGCGTGGCGTTGAGTTCCTGGCGATGGGGTTATCGGGGAAACCACCTGTCCGACCGCACAGGGGCAGGAAGCATCAGTCAAGGAAAGACCCAACACCTACTCCCCACCCCCCACCCCCCCCCCCCGCTATACTGCGAAAACTTTTTTTTAAAAAAAACAACACAAAACATTGTTCGATTTCCATTTTGGGCCGTGCCGGAGCCGGACGGTCCCCCACACCGGAGTCTTATACCAAGTACTTTGTGTTCAAGTGTGTTTTGTAGTGTTTGGTCAGGTGGTCACTCCTCATGAAACGCTTGTGACACTGTCCACACTCAAAGCGCTTGTCACCTGCAACAACCAAAAAGATGCACAGTCGTACACCAACCTCACACGTCATCACCACAACAACAACAACAAATTACGTCTGTAAGGCGCCTTTCGTGTCGGGAGGACGTCCCAAGGCGCTGGACAGTTAGGGATTTGGACCCGAGCAGGGGGGTTGGGATCAGGAGGGGACGGAGGGCAGGGAGGATAAGGTGTACGAGGGTGACCGAAGGCGCGGTCAAATAGGAGGGTCTTGAGATCTGCCTTGGAAGGAGGCGAGGGAGTGCGCGAGACGAAGAGACTGTGGGGTGGAGTTCCAAAGGGTGGGGGCAGAGAGGCTCATTGGCGTACAATTGTATGACAATCCTACATATTACAATTCAGCTTTCCAAATCCTACTCTTCAGCCAACACCTGGCATTTTCTGAAACATTCAAACTCTTCTTTAAGATATTCCACTCACACATACTGTTAAGTTTTCTCCCTAAGGAAGACTACTTTTGGTGGGAAAGTCTATTCACGTATTTGCTGCTTTGTATGAAAGTAAAACTCTTATCATGAAGCTTGACAATTTTGTGCTTCTGTCCCTTGTTAATGTGATTTCAGCGCCTTGGGACATCCTCCCGACGTAAATAAGTTCAATTATCAGTCTCCTCTCACAACAGAATGCTTGAAATATTGCTCTTCTCTGAACTCCCCCTCAAGCAGCAATGTACTTTTAAAGGCTCGGTCTGCCAAATTTGGAGTAATATTCCAAGTATGCCTCCCAGCAAGATATACAGGAGAAAAATAATATCTTGAAGGACTTATGATCGTTTTTTAATCCCAGTGCTCAGTTAGGATCATGAGTCCACAAAGGCTTTATTTTAGCACAACTGCCTCAAACTGACTTGATATGTTCACTGAACGGTCAATACAGGCTAATGTTCAACATGAAGCTCGTGTTCCCAGAACCTTGGGAGTGGCAGCTACAATGAAACTTCCCTTTGGGAACGCTGGGACCCAAGGTGCTTTCCATGCAGCAAACACTAATGGTGTATTTAAAGGTGGCTTCCCTCATGCTGGGCAGTGTGGGTGTGAGCTGCACTTACCTGTGTGAGTTCTGGCATGCCGCTGTAGCTCATCGCTGCGAGTGAACCTCTTCCCACAAAACAACCAGTTGCAGGCGAACGGACGCTCTCCCGTGTGTAAGCGAACGTGCGCTCTTAACAAGGATGTTTTCCGAAATACCTTCTCGCAACCTGGAATGTGGCAAATGTGCTTCTTCTTCCCGGGCTCTCCACTCCTAAGTGCACAGGAAAGCGAGAATGGAATGGGATTCATTCCAGGAAACATACAGTCAATTTGCTTCACAGTATGTTCTGTGAAGCCCTTTTGAGACGTCCAGAAGACGTGATAAGGCGTTTTATCAAATGCAAGGATTATTGTTATTAATAAAGTCCTTAGAACTGGGGAAGTAACCATTGCTGCTCTTATTCTATTTCATTTTGCTTTGAGGTGCTGCAATTCCCACTGGACGATGCATTTGTCAGGCTCTGTCACGTGCTGGGTGCTAGCGTTCTCTTCATATTTTGCTTTTAAAATCACAACTTCAGTTAACAAAAGAGCTAACAATGCAGCCTTTAGGGGAAGGGGAGGAGGAAAGCAATAACATCGAGCTTGGTTGCCAAGGCAATTTATAATTAAGCTCTTGGAATATCAACAGTACGAAAAATCTAACTAAAAAAAATGAAAAACAATTGATTACCAAAACTATACCAGGGAATAAAATAACGAGAGAAAAGTATCTGGAAAAATGGGTTAAGGTGCAGAAACTGGCTATTATTATTTTGACAGTGAAATCAAATTCAAATCCTGATCTCATCAATCTCCTGTCCTCCACATATTTTTCCCTTTTGTCTTTCTTTCCACGCCCCCTTCGCTGTTTTTCCTTATAAACTGCTCCCTTCCAACATCACCCAGTTCTGACAAAAGTCATCGACCTGAAACGTTAACTCACTTTCCTCTCTCCATAGATGCTGCCTGACCTGCTGAGTGTTCCCAGAGACTTCTGTTTTTAAATCAAATTTTAAGTCTGTTTCAATTAATGATAAATTATGATTAAGTGGCTCTTGACCCAGTGGCGCCAGCCTTTGCTGATTCCTGCCAAGAATGGATGCAAGAGCAGGTGCAGATTAGTTTCTTCCAATGTACTCAGTCTTTGCTTCATCAACAGTTGTGCCTTCTGCACAAATAAATGCCATCAACAATTTGCCGTAAACTCTGAATGGCCCAGTCAGAAGTCGAAATCAAAGTCCCCTCCAGATCATTATTCAGTGACCCTTGCCAGAAAGACTTGTGTCAGACATGAGTTAGTCTCAACTACCTTCATCTGGAACAAAATTAAAGCCACTTTAATAATAATAGTAATCCATGCATTTGATTTTACATCTTCGAGACGTCTTAAAGCGCTTCACAGAATATACTGTAAAGTGAATTGACTGTATATTCGTGGGCAAAACACGGCAGCCAATTGCACACAGCTTTTTGTTCAGTTCTTGCCTCTAGCACAAACTTCAACCACCTCTCTGGCTCCTCACATCAGCTAACAAAGCCTTTGTTTGACTTCCCGGCTCAGCTTCATACCCTACATCGGTTCTTGACCAAGACTGCCTTCTTGGGAGTCCTGTAGATCAGTGGTTAGAGCACTCGCCTCGCAAGCGAGAGACCTGGGTTCGATTCCCGGTAGGGTGAAATGTTGGACAAGTTTCCTTACTCCACCTGCCTGTTTACCTAGCAGCAAGTAAGAAACCGGTTGTTAGTCGATTGGCAGATCGCTTTTCCAGAGGTAATAATTCCTTCAAAAAAAATAATAATAATAAATTGGTCACTTCAATCAACTGTTTCTGAGACACTGCTGTGTGCAATTGGCTGCCGCGTTTCGCCCACAAAGTATAGTCAATTCACTTTAAAGTATATTCTGTGAAGCACTTTGAGACGTCTCGAAGACGTGATAAGGCGCCATATCAAATCCAAGGAGATTATATCTCCAGAATTACCTGCTTATGTTCCTATCTTATCCCCTCTGCAGCAAATCCTCGTCCATGCTTTTGAGGCCTGATTTCTCCATTGCTTCAACCACACCCCAATCCAGCTCAATCCTCCATAAGCTCCAACTCACCCACACACCAGAGCCCATAATCTCTCCAACACCAGGTTCATCTACCACATCTACTTCCTCCTGATCTTTGCCAAGATCCACTGATTCCCAAATCCTCATCATAGCAACTTCAAGATCATCATCCTGACCTTCAAATCCCTCCACTCTCTTGTCACTCCCAAACTCTACAATCAACTCCAGCCTTATCCTGCTTGTGTCCTCCGCTCTTCCAACTCTTGGTTGTTGCTTGTTCCTCACATTCCCTCTATCCCAACATTGCTAGCCAAACTTTCAGCTCCCATGCCCTATACTCCACGGAACTCTCTCCCTAAATGCCTTTGCCTTGTACCATCTCGCTCCTCCTTCAATTCCCCTTAAAAAACTTCTCACTATAACTGTTTCTTTGGTCTCTTTGGCCTTAAAAATTCCCCACTCGTCTCTCTTCGGCAAACCCTATTGTTTCTGTTAAGAGCTTTGAGACGTTCATTCTATATGATAATCACGAAAAAGGTACAAGTTGTTGAAGGCTTCCCTCAACTTCAAGACTCCTTTGTAATTAGTGTGGAACATTGTGTCAGTGTAGCCAAAGGGAACGTAAATCAACCGTAAAACCAGTGCTAACCTTTTCTCGCCATCTTTGCAATTTGGACACGTGCACGCCATTCGCTTCATCTTCTTATTCTGCTGCCCTTGGATCTCATCAGAGGGCAGGGTTTGCTCCATCTGCAATTGGCTGATCTGGCCTGGACTCAACCCACTGATGGTAATGTTGTTAGCAGACACCGGAGACATAACGCCCGTTTGCATGTTCAACTGTTGTTGTCCTGTCAAGGTTTGAGCAAAACAATGGATTTTTCTCTTTTTCTCCATTTACATGGATAGAAGTTGCATTTATAGTTGCATTTGGCCAATTAAAGGTCAGAGACATAGCCCTATATTTTATCCAACAGACAATAAAAGTTCGTAAGTGACTCAGTTTGTTAAGTCACAAAAACCTGGAAGATTCCACTTTGGTCCCAATTTTAGTCAGTTGATGTCAGCAGGACGCGCATTAGGGCAAAAGTAGTTAGGCTTCCCTCTCTAGCTCATTAACTCTGCTGATGAATGTGTGTCTCTGGAACTGACTCGGCTGTGAGGCCCAATCGCTGGGAAACATCTCACAATGAAGAATGGCCAATTGGGCAAGGAACCAGGGACACACATAGAGCTGTATCTCGGCATAGATAAGGAAAGCAACGAGAGAGAGAGAGAGAGAAGAATCAATAACTCATAAATTCTCACCTCCTGCATTGGTGACTGTCACGGGAACTCCTGGTACCTGGACTCCATTGATGCTGATGGTCTGGATGGTCTGGCCTGCAGCAAACTGTGCATTGTTCAGGCTGATAGAGCCGCCAGCTGGCGCAATCCTGGGCAGTGCATTCCCTTTGCGGATCATAGACCCCGTGGTGGATCTCTTCCCTCCTCCGGCTGGTGCGATCCGTGGTAAAGAGCTGCCCCCCGAGGTGGTGGTGGTGGTGGTGGTAGCTTGCTGAATTGCTGAGGTGTTCTTCACCTGCAGGGTCTGCCAGTTGACCTGCCCTGAAGGGGTCACCGACTGGGCTCTGATGATCACCGGAGTGGATGGCTGCTCGCTCGTCTGAACCTGGAAGTTCTGAGGGGATTTCTGAGGGACGGTGGGAAGGGTGTGACCACTCATGGAGGCTGCCTGGACCACGCGGATGGCCTGCTGAGGAATGGTCTGCATCCCCTGCTCCTGCTTCAACACCTGTACTTGTTGCAGAACATTGGAGCCTGGGCTCTGGACAAAGAGCATGTTGGATCCTGCTTGGATGGCATTGCCCGCGGAGCTCTCCACCAAGGTCACCGTCTCTGCTACCGCCTGTGTATTTGCTGATTTCCTTCGGGATCGTTTGCCTACCTTTGAGGGAGCTGCACATATTGTGTCTCCGGTCAGATGGATTGTCGTTCCATCACCAGCACCCATCAAGTTACTGACGGGCAATGACAAAGCCACATTTCCACCACCCTGCAACTTAATGACATTGCCTGGGGTTTGCAAAGCTGTGCCCCCTACGTTCATCTTCTGCACCTGGACGGGGAGGGACACGGCCGGTTTGATTTGCATTGACTGGGGACAGATTTTCTGGGTGTTGGTCACAGGGACTGTGGTTATGATGGCTTGGTTGGTCCCTGGAATGATCTGGATCTGACTCGTCATATTCTGCTGGATGTTGGCAATCTGAACAGATTGTCCACCGATGGTCTGAACCTGGGGAATCACCTGATATTGAACGTTCCCTGTCGGCCGGGAAGCTTTTTGGACGACTGGCTGATTCTGAATGGCAAAAACTAACTGTCCCGTACCAGGAGAGGTAATGGTGGGAGTGCTGATCTGAGACCCCTGGATCTGAAAAACCTTTCCGTTGGCGGATATAAAGCTAATGTTGCTGCCACTCTGTCCGTTGGGCGCTGGTGCGGGCTTCAACAGTGGTAGCTTTTTGGCCACCACCTGCACCGCAACGGGTGACGGAGAGACCCCGACTTCTGCGGCTGGTGGTCCAATCTTACTGCAGGTGGCAGCGAGGAGAGCAAGTGGCGATGGCTGTGTATCCTACAACAGGAAGTGGAAAGGAAAAGGAAAAGCCTGAATATTGCAGTGTTTCTCAGTCCTCTCTCTAAGAAACTCTTAGGCAGGACATCTTCACGATAGCTCACAACATATTATGTAGAGGAGCTTGTCGCATCTCGCTATTGATTTATTTATTAATTTATCGAGTTTCAATAAAAGATGGTCTAGGTCATAAACAGCTACCTGCTAATAAAGATATCACCAGAGTAACCCAGGAGTAACGCATTCAAAAGGCAGATCACAGGTCAGTACCGGAATTCAGACCTAACCGGATTGAGCCCAATTGTCTGCCCCGTTTCGCCCACAAAATATACAGTCAATTCACTTTACAGTATATTCTGTGAAGCACTTTGAGGCGCCTCAAGATCGTGATAATGCGCTGTATCAATTAAAGGATTATTATTATTACTTCATTACAAAAATGAAAAGTCAAAACTGCTGATAAACAATATGAAGGGTACTATAAAAGAATCCAGTGAAATTGGCTAGAGAATGGGAGACAGCACCCAGGGTAGAGATACAAGGATCAGTCCTCAGCACTCCGCAATGGGGTTCCACAATGACTGTTTAAAAGCTCTTTAGCATTAAGGAACATCCCATTAAATTCAAATAGTTTTCATTGGAAAACAGATTGAGAGGTGACATGACCCTGATTTTCACAATGCTCAGACGGTCATAATGCAGCTATTGAAAGTAGGTATTGTAATGCAGTGAAAGATTCATGAAACTGTGCTTTCAGTACTGGAGTACAGAATTGTTTTGTTTCACTTGTGACTGAGAACAAATTTCCCCACAGAATAGTAAACTTATGGAAAAAAATCAAAGCATGGAGTCCTGTAGCTCAGTGGTTAGAGCACTCGCCTCGCAAGCGAGAGCACCTGGATTCAATTCCCGGGCAGGGCGAAACGTTTCAGCGCTTTGGGACGTCCTCCCGACGTGAAAGGCGCTCTAATGTAATTTTGTTGTTGTTGTTGTTGTTGGGCAAGTTTCCTTACTCCACAAGCCTCTGTTTACCTAGCAGTAATTAAGAACTTGGTTGGTCGATTGGCGGATTGCTTTTCCGGGGATAATAATCCCTTCAAAAGAAATAATAATAATATGGTCACTCAATCCACGGCTGTTTGTGGGACACTGCTGCGCGCAATTGGCTACTGGGTTTCACCCACAAATATACAGTCAATTCACCTTACTGTATATTCTGTGAGACGTCTCAAAGACGTGATAAGGTGCTATATCAAATGCAAGGATTATTATAATTCACGGACAGCAGATTAAAGGATAAAGGTTAGGAACTTCCTTTTACTACTAAGCCTATGTCTACTTATAAATGGCTCAGATTTTGCTGCTGTAAACTCGCTGTCTGTTTATGAAAGTTGTAAAGTACTGAAACACAATCACATACTCTCTTGAGTATGGCACAAAGGAAAAGTGCAATGCAACTGGTCATAACCAAACAATTGTTACATTGACATGTTGGGAGGTTTGCTTCATGGTCAGGGAGAAGTTTTAATCTTCCCTCTGATTACTTAGCTCCCTCAGGAGATTGGGTAAATTGCAAACTGTTCAAATTACATTTTGTCCACTGAAAGGGCAGGGCACAATTAGTCAATTAGACACATAGACATGTTTGGTCCACGTTTTCTTCGAACCGTGGTAGAAAGGGTGGTGGAAACAGATTCAGTAACAGATTTCAAAAAGGGAATTGGGTAAGTACTTGAAAAGGAAAAATTTGCAAGGCTATGGGGATAGAACGGGGGGAGTGGGACTGACTGGGTAGCTCTTCCAAAGAGCCAGCGCAGGCACGATGGGCCAAATGGCCTCCTTCTGTGCTGTACTGTTCTGTAAAACTCATCAAGCAGAAAAGGTTTCCTGTTTCACACGCCTTGCCACAGGAGCTGCTCTCTCAGTAATAGCACAGCATACCATGACATGAAAGAAATGAACCCCAATGTAAAGTGAAAGTCTCTCATCGAATGCTCCAAGCAATACAGATCTACTCAGCAGATAGAGCACCATTCACTGAGAACACCAATTCCATAGTTTCTCTGTCGCAATGTAATGGAAACTCCGAGAACCCATTTAATTTTCGTAACTCCTGGGCCTTCCTTACCTCAGTCACGGTAGCGGCTGCTGGCTGGAGGTACTCACTGGGACTAACAGCGGCGGTAGCAGCCATACTGTCTTGTTGGTCTGAAAAGAGCAGAGAAATATATTATATTACAATGCAAGAACCCAAGGATTCAGACACCAGTGAGGTCTTTGCACTATACATTCATGTGGAGAACTCTTCCTCTTTGGATCCTGTTTTCTAATGCACCGTCACACATGCAACATTTTCTTGTCTATTTCTGCCACCCTCTCCCTCTTTGATCCACTTTGCACCCCTGATCCGCACTCAACCCTTGCTTCATGTCCCCGACTTCAGCCTCTCTGCCCCCACCCTCTAGAACTGGATCCCACAGTTCCTCCGCTTCGTCCCCTCCCTTGCCACCTTCAAAACCTGCCTCAAGACTCCCCTCTTCGACCATGCCTTCGGTCACCCTCCCAACCCTACTCACCCGCCACCCCTCCTGATCCCAAACCCAGCTTGGGTGTGGATCCGACTGTCCAGCACCTTGGGACGTCCTCCTAACGTGAAAGTCACTGTGTAAATGTAATTTGTTGTTGTTGTTTACTCCCCTCGAATTTGCTCTGTAGCACTTCCCCAGTGCATTACACTGTTTATGGTTTCTCTGTAAAATTGCCTTTGCCTACTCTCAATCATCTTTCCTGGCAGTTTGGGATTCTGGTAAGCGATGCTCCCCTCTGAATAAGATGTGCTACCACCTTTGATCTCTCTATCCTCAATCTTTCCTCTCTCCCTCACCAGTCCTTCGGTGAAATACAAATTGCATCAACAGCCACAAAAAATCGTTCAAATATAATTGCCTGTTTCAAGAGTTATATATTCACCCTCCTGTTGAAGACATCGACTCGTACTAGGATGTGGTCCACAAGAGTCAACTACCTTTTAATACCTCATCAGACTGGTCATTTTTCATAATCAACGAAAGGCAAAATACTGCAGATGCTGGAAATCTGAAATAAAAACAGAAGTCACTGGGAACACTCAGCAGGTCAGGCAGCACCTTATCCTCTCTCCATAGATGCTGCCTGATCTGCTGAGTGCTCTCAGCGACTTGTGTTTTTATTTGGTCATTTTTCTGGATTCTACACAGACCGTATCCAACAAAGCGTAATGTTACATCATATATTTTATAATTATAGACTAACATCCTTATCTGCTTGGAGAAAGTTGTGCAGAGTTATCTTCAATGTCATTTTTCCCTCCAGGAAAGTGACTTTCAAATAAATGTCGTAATTTCTTTCCTGGGACAGAAAACACACATTTCTCCTCAGATGTGATGTGCAGGGAAAGGATGGGGTATATACAGCCTTTTCAACTCATAAAGACCACCTTGGTATCTCGAGCTGCTCGAGTGCACTGTCATCCACACACGATAATCTATAAATCATATTGATCCAAGTTCAAATATTGAATCACCATCGTGGAAGCTGGAAGGCTGTAAGATGACCTCATGGTCCCTTGCAGATCCACTAGGAGATTCGTGATCACATTAATAATAATCCTTGCATTTGATATAGCGCCTTTTCAAGTCTTCGCGACGTCTCAAAGCGCTTCACAGATTGTGGCTTGACTGTATATTTTTTGTGGGCGAAACACAGTAGCCAACTGCGCACAGCAATGTTCCACAAATAGTCGTGGATTGAGTGACTAAATTAATAATTTTTAAAAAAAAGTTTTGAAGGAATTATTACCCCCAGAAAAGCGATCCACCTATCAACTAACAACCTGGTTCCTACTTACTCACAAAGCTCTTTAGGAGAAAATAAAAAACATTTGGGCAAGCAACTGTATTTTTATTCTCTCCCCTTCTCTTGTGAAGACTGCCTCGTAAACCACTAAGGATATTGAGTACCTTGTCTGGCAGCAGTTTGTCGTGGGAGTAATTGTCAGTAAACTGTTCTAGGAGTAAACTATCACATCTATGCCCGCTCCCATTATACCCAACACACATACATACTCACATCACTGAAAACTCAAGGTTAAAGGTTATGGCCACGATTATTTTAGTGAGGATGTAATCTCTAACTAGTTGCGATGCAACGATGTTGAAATTGCCCAATTTACTGGAACTCTGCATTTTAAAACCAGCAGCACAGTTCCAATAAGACCTGCACAAGGTGCAGCGCAGCCCTTACAGCAACGTTGCACATCTCAGCAAGGGATAGCAATCAATAATATTAACAATCCTTGCATTTGATATAGTGTCATCACATCTTTGAGACGTCTCAAAACTGCTCAAACAGAATATACTGTGAGGTGTAGAGTCTGTGTATTTTGTGGGCGAAATACAGCACACAATTGCACACAGCAGTGTCCCATAAATGATCGTGGATTGAGTGACCAAATGATTCTTTCTTGATATTTATTCATTTTGGAGGGATTATTAGTACTGGAAAGCAATTCGCCAATCGACTAACACCGGGGTTCCTACTTACTGTAGGTAACAGCGTTATAATATAGCACGTTAACAAAGTAATATTACATCATCACGGTGTTAAATTACTGCGATCTCTTTTACAACATAGTATTTCTGTACTCATTATAAAAGTCCTTTCATAAAGCACGTTACAGGACATAATACAGAAACACGATTATCAAGTATCACAGAGCAGGATGACAAAACTCTTGTATAAAATATAAAACAATATCACAGTAAAAAAATTATAATTTGCTATGGAAAACAGGATAGTGCATTACTGTGGTACCAGAATAGCTTAACAGTAAACATTACTTATTACAAAACAAACCCTGATACAATAACTAATGTACCAATTTATACTACAGTGCAATATATTACTGTACAACCCACTGTAAAGCATCAATACACCCCCCCCCGCCCACCCTGATCACAGCACCCCCCCGCCCCACTCTGCTCACAGCACCCCCCCCCACCCACCCACCCTGCTCACAGCACCCCCCCCGCCCCACCCTGCTCACAGCACCCCCCCCCGCCCACCTGCTCACAGCAACCCCCCCCCCCCCACCCTGCTCACAGCACCCCCCCCCGCCCCACCCTGCTCACAGCACCCCCCCCCCGCCCCACCCTGCTCACAGCCCCCCCCCCGCCCCACCCTGCTCACAGCACCACCGCCCCTCTCTGCTCCCAGCCCCCCCCCACCCTGACTCACAGCAACCCCCCCCCCCGCCCCACCCTGATCACAGCAACCCCCCCCGACCCCACCCTGCTCACAGCACCCCCCCCTGCCCCACCCTGATCACAGCACCCCCCCCACCGCCCCACCCTGACTCACAGCAACCCCGCCCCCCCCACCCTGCTCACAGCACCCCCCCCCCCACCCTGCTCACAGCACCCCGCCCCACCCTGCTCACAGCACCCCCCCCCACCCCACCCTGCTCACTTGTTGATGTTATTGCCGGGAGCTCAGCGGTTGGTTCTCTTGCTCTATAGGGGAGGTTACCAGCTGCGGCCGGAGACCATGGAGTTCTGGCAGGGGCAGACCAACCGCCTGCACGACCGACTCTTGTTCCGACGCAAGAAGCCCGGGGATCAGCTGGATCCCTCTCTCACTCACGAGGCTGAGGGAGACTGGGTGTTCGAGAGGCTGTCTCCCTGACGACCCCCCGACCCCAGGCCCGACCCAACTCTCGATTCGAATTTGACCGCGAGAATGGGTTCCGCTCGGCCACTGAGAACCGTGAATCTTCCCAGAGTTTATTGGCCGAGTTTGTAATAAACGGTGAGTGTGTAGTGACTGTGTGGTGTGCGTAGTGTGTAGTGACTGGGGGTGATGGGACCTCTCCCCTCCACCCATCTCACCATGATATTGTCCAATGAGATGATCCGTGCTGAGCCAGTAGAGAGCATCATGGGATTGGACTTCTCCCCGACGGCCAATGGGAAGGCAGGAAGGTGGGCTCCCATCATGCACTGGGCGCGCGGGCGTGCCCAGCGTGTGGTGCGTCTCGCCTTGTTTGATGCATGTTTCCGGGTGGGGCGGAGGCCAGCGAGCAATGGCGGAGCCCGATGCTGAGGTAGGGGCAGGAAGGAGCCACCTGAGCTCTTCCCATGGCCGTGTCGTACGTCAAGCTGCAGCCAGATCAAAGGACGTCATGGAGTGAGGTTTCCTCACACGTGACGGAGTGACCTTTCCCCTTTCTCTCTTTCCCCCCGGAAAATCTCACGGACAAATCTCCCCCTCCTCTCCCGAGCGCCTCGACTCTTTGGGAATTGCTGTTGTTAAGTAGCGCTCCGAGGGGCTGCTCCGGTGTGAGGGGCACTGCGTAAACGTGGTGGTTCCGTGGAAGCTTTGAGTGTTGCCAATATATTCACCACAGGGCAACCCCGGATGCGCGCATGTGGGTACATCCACCCACAACCCCCCACACCCTCACACCCCATACCCCCACACTACCACACACACACCCCCACACACACACCCACACACACACCCCCACACACCCACACCCACACACACCCCCACACACACACCCACACACACACCCCCACACACACACCCCAACACACACCCATCCTCACACGCACCCATCCACACACACCCCCACCACACACACACCCACACACACCCCCACCCACGCACCACCACACACACACCCCACACACACACCCCCACACACCCACCACACACACACCACCACCCACGCACCCATCCACACACACACCCCCACACATCCCACACACACACCCACACACCCCACACACACACCCCCACACACACCCATCCACACACACACCCCCACACATCCCCACACACACACACCCCCACACACACCCCTCCACACACACACCCCCACACATCCCCACACACACGTGCGCATACACCCACACCCACAGACTCACACCCACACACCCACACACACAACGGCCAGTGGAGGAAGGTGAGACGGTCACTGCATATAATCATTGCATTTAACACAGCACCTTTCACATCGGGAGGACGTCTCAAAGCGCTTCACAGCATTTACTGGAAAGTGTAGTGACTGTGTATTGTGTAGGTGCTTTGAGCATCCTCCCACCACGATGTGAAAAGTAATTAAATGTAAAGATTATTATCTAAAGGTTAGGACAAGGATCGTGACATTTATCTGAAGGATGCGATATAAATGCATTATAATATTATATAATAACAATAATCCTTGCATTTTATACAGTGCCTTATCACATCTTCCTCAAAAGCGCTTCACAGAATATACTGCAAAGTGTAGTAACAGTATAATTTGTGGGCGAAACGCCAATTAGGAAGTTTTTTTTCCTCCACTAACTTCTTAGTTATATGGTTTAACCATTGAAACGTTCTATTCTGGCTGTAGTCGAGGCGGGTGGGGAGTTCCTGGTCCTGAGGTCTGGGTGCTCTCCTCTATTGTGGGGTCCTGTAGCTCAGTGGTTAGAGCACTCGCTTTGCAAGCGAGAGACCTGAGTTCAATTCCAGGCAGAGGGCGAAACCTTGGCAAGTTTCCTTACTCCACACAGAGCCTAATAATAATCCCTCCAAAACCAAAAACAATAATAAATTGGTCATTTTCAATCTACGACTGTTTGTGGGACATTGCTGTGCGCAATTGGCTGCCGCGTTCGCCCACAAATATACAGTCAATTCACTTTACAGTGTGTTCTGTGAAGCGCTTTGGGACGTCCTCCCGACGTAAAAAGCGCTATATCAAATGCAAGGATTATTATTATTATTATTATTGTACCCAGCAAGCTTGGTGCACTCAGAATCCTAATGATTAGACAAGCATAGGAACAGGAGTAGGCCATTCAGCCCCTCAAGCCTGTTACGCTATTCAGGGTGGCCCAACTGGTGGCCCCTTGGGCTGATTTCATCCACCCCCCAACCCCTCCATTTGATCTGGCCCACCTGCTCCCTCTATTACCTATAAATTTTGTTATGTTATGTTTCTGGAAGGGAAACAAAGAAATATTGTTTATGTGGACACGGACATCTCTCAAATATGGCATCCGGCCCTCAGCAGCCAAGGTTGGAG